AATCAGACTCATCACTGTGTTCATATCAGTCCTGCACTGTATCAAATACAGAGCCAGTTTTTGTTTACAACCCATTCTAATACTATCCCTCAACGATTTCCATGCAGTTTTCGTTCCTTTGTTCCAGACATGTTGCGGCGATCTTTAGGGGAGAAGCAATGAGAATGGTACACAGAGCTCTCACATGAACTGCCTTGTTAATGGCTGGAAGAAACAAAGCAACAGGGCCCCAGCTCATGCTGCAGTCACTTGAGTGCACCCTTCTTTGTACAACATATGCAGTGTATGCCCTTAGGTATTTGGTGGAATGATGATTTCCCATGTTTTAGCTACACAGACAGAGCAGCCATTTCAAGTAACTTCCGGCTAAATGACTTCTTCACACAAGGAATCACTGAGCCGCTCATTAGCACTAGTTCTTTGAGAACCAGACTTGTCGAGGTGCCACTGTATTACTGAATGACTGTTCAGTGGTCGTGAAGCCAAGTGAAATCTAAAGAAAATGTGTGAAGTTTCTTGCAAAGTCTAACTGAGCTGGCATATGGAAGTTACATTTGTTTACCTACAACAAAGGCTCTCAGTGAACAGTTGTGGGACAGCGCCTATCTGAACTGAAAGTTTTCCCATTGAAAGTGAAATGGTACACAAAGCAAAAGAGTAATTTCTTAGTTATTGTATGCATAATAAATCAACAGACTATGCATGCAAGATCTGAAAGTTTATGTTTCTGGACATTATCCATCATCCTCTTTTTATTTAGAACATGATGTTTCAGGGACTGCAATCTGTCTCTGTCTTCAGGTAAAACCTACCTGGTTGGACCCAGTCAACAGAGCTAGTCCTTATATCCAGACACCTGCCCCAACACAAGATAACTCCCGCAGATGGTCTGTGCTGTGCTTGGTTTGTATACCCTACCTTGTGTTGCTGCAGGTGTCCGGAGATATGGACTAGCTCTATTGGTTGGTTCCAACTGAGTAGGTTTCACGTGAAGATTGAGACAGACTCCAGTCTCCGAAATATTGTGCTTCAAATAAAATGGATAATGTCCAGAAACATAACATATGTACATAAGCATGGGTGAGTCTTGGACTGGTGTGGTTGTTAAGTTTATTTGACAAGCAATACAGAGATCAAAGTAAAGCAATGCATACTGGCATGTAGTCCTGCAAAACTTCTACTCCACAATGCAGTGTTACACCCAAGAAAACAGTGATTGTTGTGAGAACCTGAAATCTTACAAAGCACAGCACTGTGTGTGCATATTTAATGCCAGCACTTTACAACAGGACAGGTTGGTTATGCAGTTCCCAGCTGATGTGCAAGATGCCCTGTTGGTCCTGCTTACTGTTCATAAATGAAAATTCTGACTCAAACAGCAAGTGACATGTTTCTGAAGATCTAAATATTGTGCACATTGCCATGGACTTGACCACAAGACAGCGGATAAAGTTGAGGCGTCTGCTTTGAGCTCTACTGGATTATTGGATAAAGTGGTTAATATTAGTAGAACTCCTTGTATAAACTGTAATAGTTTAAATGGTGAGATCTTAAAGTTGTAAGATGAACTTAAAACTGCTGTTGTTCATAGATATATTATAAGAAGTCAAATTAAGTAGCATGTCAGAGTGTCTTAGTGCCTTGGAATTTGAGTGCAGGGCCAACTGTTCCTATTGTAAAGAGAGCGGCGAATCAAGTACTAGTGACTGGATACAAGTAAGAGTAAGTCATGCAATCAAGAAGAGAGGTAATAAGCCAGCTTCTATGCTTCTATGCTTCTTTCCTATTCGTGTTCCTATATGTGTTCTGAGTATCCTGTATTGCTGCAACAATACAGGATACTCGGAACACATATTAAACACCAGACATGCATACGGTATGTTAGAAAATACTATGGACATCATAGCAACAAATAGGAAAGGACAATATTTAAACACAATAGAAAACTACCATATATACAGAACGACAAAGAAAAACACGCATATGAATAACATAAATAAAGAAATATATAACCCAATATTTCACGAATTTCACACAATTTACACAGAACAACACAACACAACCCCACCACCTACCCCCACCACACTTACCCCTACAACATCATATCTCAACCTAAACGAAGACAGCACACACACACACACACACACACACACATACGTCCAGCAGTACAACGTATGCAGCCACATAAGAAACTCCAGCAGTACAACGTATGCAGCCACATAAGAAACACATATCATAAGACGCAGTGAGTAATAAACATTATAATGATAACAACATGTAACAAATAGAAAGCAAAACATAACATTAATACGTAAAATTTTCACGTTGCAGGTATATACACAATTAAAACATAAGAAGAACGACTCCCATAGTGGATGACTGGCATTACACACGAATTTGATATACGACATGTAAGATGATACATCTTAAAAATTTTAATATATAAATTTTATTAATGAACAAAACGAACACACATTTTGTATCATTTTATAAATGGACACTTGATGGCAGGCAGTGCAATAGTTCAACGTGATTAATACAGCTGAGGATGCCAGAATGATGCCGAAACATGTAGTGTGAAGTGATGAGTGAGATTGTATGCACTAAAAGATGGTTAATATATACACATTATGGATACAATTATGTATTCTGATGGAAATTACTGAGAACTTAGAAACGCTGACATCAGACGGTAACAAAACTAGTTTTTTGTTTTGTAGTCATGGCTACAAAAAGAAATACATCTGGTTCATTTTCTAAGAAAAACATGGATGAAGCTGCAAGGTTAGTTATGCAGCATGGATGGAGTGTCAGATGGAAAAGGGACCATCATTCCAAACAGTAGAAACGTAAGATAAGTTGTTTTATTTGAGTTCTGTGCCACAACTGCCAACTGCAACACAGGTATGTAACAAAAAAGAAAATCCTGATATACCAGTCATGATGTGGCAAAAAAAAATGACACATGAAACAAATGGCAAAAGGATGCAATATGGGACTAAGCTTCATTGCAACATGAGAGTGTGAGTGAGCCACCTTCACCGTTAATTTATGCAAGTATTATGCTGATAAATAGCGTAAGATTTTGCCAAGTTCCCACACTAAACCCAGACGGCCAGCAGGCTGAAGCACAAATGTTCACTGCTCAGTAGCAACCCTCTTTGCATATAAAGGACAGAGGTGGTAATTAGAGTGGAGTATAAAAGTCTTATGAGCAGTAGAAGCCTGCTGCCTAATGGGGAAAAAAATTTGCTACCTGTTCCTTTTGAAATTCGGAATTGTTGAATGGACTTGGATCTTTACTCAGACTTCAAAGACTCTACTTCCAGACCCTCATAATAATGCAGTTTTGGAGTTCTCAAGTTACTGAAAGGAAACTACCTACCACCAAACGAAAAACAAATTCTGTGGCTTTAGTCCGCAAGCGAACTATACTGACTGAGCGAACGCCACTTGTCGGTGAAGTTAGCACCAACTTTAGTAGATAGAAGGTGTCACGTGGTCAGCGTGACGAATCCCCATGGCCGTTAATTTCGGTTTTCTAGACCAGAACTACCTACCACCAGTGGTAAATATAATACATTGATGTACTGCTTAAACTGTTGCTTCATGCTAGGACTTCCTTCACCCATAGGGAACTTTGGATTGGTAGTCTTTGAAATTCTGAAGGCAGGGATTGAGTGGAGAATGGAGTCATGGAGTTTAGAGTACTGTGAATGGTCATGTTAAGAGGGTTCTGAGATTGGGCACCACAGTAAACAGTTTATGTGGACAAATACACATTCTTTTGTAAACCTCAGAAAATCAATAATAAATCTTTCAAACATACCAAACATATTACAGAAGCGGGATTTGAGATTCTCACAGCTATGGAAGTGTTATCTACTTGTTAACTGCTTCATACTGGTTCTGGCTTCACTTATTGTTCAATTCTGAATGTGGACATTAAGATATCACTCTGGGACATGAGCTAAATTTTCAGTGAACTGTATGGTGTTACGTACTCTTCATAATCTGAAAGCATGCTACTGCCTCAAACTTTTATCACTATAAACTGCAAAGTTTCTAGCCTCTACAACATTCCAAGCTCCACTGATTCCTGACCTACACCAGCATATGTTAAGGCCCATATGCAGTATTCCCTGAGATAAGTCACTGCTCTACCAAACAATGACCTAAATCCTATCCATTGAACTAATCCTATATGATTACAGACACCAAAATTTAATTAAATGAATCACGATGAGAGAAAAGCACATACCACAGCAGAAATGCCTTCCGGTTGGTGAATTCGAGAAGATGGATGGTGGTTGGCTATACTGCTGGAAATACTTCAATGGAATTAAGCTACTCTGAACCAACTATATCCTAGTTTTGTTTCATGTCGTTACTGGCAAGAGAGTCCATCATCTGAATCATGACACATTCCATTCTGCCAAGAAAACACAACTCCTGAGATACTGAACCCCATAGCTCACTGGGTTAGACCATTCAATATATGATATAAACTCCGTCTTAAGTGCAACAATTTATTATAGGTCTTTCATCTTGCTTTCTTCTATACTACATGTTTCGGCCACCAACGGCCAGCATCAGGTGTATACGCTCACGTAGCTGTTACAGTGCACTTAGTTTAAAATTTAAAAACACAGGTCTTCCCAAATGTTCCCTTCGTCGTTGCTAACAGGATCTAATTCACTGATATCTGTCTGATTTGTACATTATCTTTGTCACCTATACATGTTAAAATGCTTTCATGAACTGGTCCTTTCAAAATCTTCAGTTCCAATTTTTAAAAGATTCCTTAAAAATTTTTTTTTTCTGAATTTTAAAATTTAAAATTCTCAGGGTTACTCACCCTATGTCTATAGTGCTGCAGCGGCTACTTCTTGTTTTCAGCACTGTACAGGTGTTATTCTGTGTAGGCTCCCTGTGTGCGTGCCGCTGCTTATCTTTACTACGTGTCAAAATTCAGAAAAAAATTTTAAAGGAATCTTTTAAAAATTGGAACTGAAGATTTTAAAAGGGCCAGTTCATGAAAGCCAAATTAATGTGTATAGGTGACAAAGATAATGTACAAATCAGACAGATATCAGCGAAGTAGATCCTGTTAGCAATGACGAAGGGAACATTTGGGAAGACCTGTGTTTTTAAATTTTAAACTAAGTGCAGTGTAACAGCTACGTGAGTGCATACACCTGATGCTGGCCGTTTGCGGCCAAAACATGTGGTGCAGAAGAAGCAAGACGAAAGACCTATAATAAATTGTTGCACTTAAGACGGAGTTTATATCATATATCGTATAGAGTGCAACAGGATGCTTAAATATAATACTGCAGACCATTCAAATTAATCACCAAACCTGGATCTGTACATACCTACCTACCTACTTACCTACCTCTACTCCTGAGAAGAAACCCTGAGATACATTTATGCCAGGAGGAAGAAGAGGAGGAGTGGTGGGGGGGGGAGAAGAAGATAATGCCATTGGCATGCTTAAAGAAAAGAGAGCAGTTATAAGAGAGAAGAAGGCTTCTCCCTCAGTCACTCTTGCACGCATCACTTACACACGGAATGTACAATGAATGTATGAGGGGTAGGCCTCCTCGGCCCTTGCACCATGATCTACAGTGGTCTATTGTGCTTAGAACGGAATATACAAAGGAAGGTACACTCACATCACTAAGACATAAGCTTTTTTGAGTGGGGCCATCAGAAGGTCTACTGTTCAGTTTCCCTTCTGTCACATTCCTTGCTTCTCTAGCCCCTAAAAGCAGGAATCCTGTTCTCTGGGCAGGGTCAATCCTGCCCTTCAATGCCTATAAAACAAATCCCTTTGCATTTAAGGTCCTCCTGGTGGTCAATAATAATATTAAAGTTGTCTTCAATGTCATGCCATCTAGTTTCATAGATGGGTACCAGGGTGTCATAGGAACCTGACAGACGTGCAGAGAGCAGGCTGGTACCCAACTATCAAACCATACCCTTAACCAATCTCTCACCCATCCCTGTCATTTATACCCTGAAACACTGGAACCTTTCCTGTTACTACATGATGTCAGAACCCAGAAAAGAAGCAAACAAATGCAAACTTAACAGTATAATGTTGTATGTTTCCATCTTATGTCTTTAGAAAGGAGATGAGAACATTACAGATTCTGCACTGACTGAATCTGCTCCTAATTTTGATCTGCTATTATCATTAAAAAATATTTGAACTTGGCCACTTTTCTCTAAGGATTCACTATCTAGCTTCTTAGTTTCATCTGTCCTGAAATATGATAACATGCGAAATACTTAGCTTCTTCTGCATGTATTTCTACACCAACCTGTTTACTGTCTTTGTGTCTCTCTTGATTGTGTTTGTGTTCTTGCCTGATACATTAATATAATTAGCACAGACAGAAGCTAATGTGTTCCATTCAAATTCCTGTCCCTCCTGATTTTCTTGGACCTTCTTAATGGAATATTCTACAGCAAAATAAATCGAAAAATTTTATTTCATCATTGCATGACCATTAAAATCTTATTCAAGTACCATATTCTCACTTGAATGGCAGGGGGTAATATTAAAAACACTATCACAGGTCCAGATATAGTACTAAGCTGACACTGGTGTAAAGAAATTCAAGTAACACAGGTGATGGCCTACAGGGGAATGGTGAAACTGGTCCTACATGAACAGAAACATAAAGCTCTGTAATGTCTCTTCCCTCTATGTAAACTTCCTGTATGATTATAACAGGTCAGAAGCAACACACATACTCAGCCTCATCTCTCACACGTCATGGTTGAGAAGTGGTTCCTCCCGGTGGTGAGACGCACCAGCACAAGGAAGGAGCCATAATACTGGGTGTCCACGACCACACACTTCTGTCAGGAGGGCCAGCTTCGGTCTCTGCGGTCGAAATGGCCCCTGATGCTGAACTTGCTCAACAGCTGTTTCATCACTAAATATCGCCTGGAACTGATCCACGAGGATTGCAGAAACAAACATGCCGAACAATGCGCTCTCCAACACCAGGATCACACAGTGCAGACTGAAAATAAGCATGGTCAACAGACATTTATTCTGTATGGGTCAAGCAGGTCTGTGGGTATGACTTGGTTCTGGGTTTGACCCCAGGTCAAGTCCGAGTGATTATTCCATTCTGAGATCTAACTCTTCAACCTTATGAAATAAAAAAATTCTAGAAACATGTAAAATACCAGGCCCTCAAACCCCTGCCGTTCAGAGTCCACATTAAGTTCTAAGTCCCATCAGCTGACCATCATCCTCATGATCACAGAATCTAGCCTACTGGTAATTCCACTTCAGAATGGATTCTACACCCTTGCCTAAGTGGGCAGAGGGCAGAAAGGTCGAAGAGACATGTCTAGAGGCACTAGAGACCAATCCACATTTACTCTGCAACCACGTTAACCCTGAGGTATAACCATCTGAAGTCCAATTTGAAAGAAAATGGAAGGGAGTGGGGTAGTTAATTTACTTGTACACAAAATGTAAAGTGATCGTTTCTGATTCGTGTTGTAAAGAAACAGAAATATAATACAAAGTGATCCAAAACTCCTAACCAATTTTACAGGACAGCTTCACTAAAGCTAATGAATATTAGTTATGTTATGGGGTGTCACTGTTGTGTAACATAGTCAGTACAGCCCAACTTGCCCCCTTCCATTTCAAGATATTGTTCCCAGAGTTCCACAGTAGCTCTGGAAACATCACGAAGCATGTTGGATGTTAGTGCCTGTGCTGCTGCGTAGATGTGTTGCCATAGGTCCCGAAGATCAGGAACCTTTGTTTGGTACACCTTAGACTTAATGAAGCCCCAGGCAGAGAAGTGTAATGGTGTCACGTTGGGAGAGCGTGGTGCCCAATGTTTTGGTGCAGCTCTGCCTATCCATGTGTTCCAAAAGTGTCATTGAGGTAGTCACGCACTTGAAGATGATACAGGGCTCATTTTGTAAGTTTAAAATGCAAAACTCTCCAAACAGCTGTCCTTGGTATGTCAAGTTGGTTACTTTAGCAGCGAATTGATTGATGTTTGTGGGCTCTGCTCAGCTGTTTGCTGAACTTGTCCTACGTCATCCTTAGAAGTCTGCAGTCTGCCTGAACGTTTCTCGTTGAGCACACTTCCTCTTCTCTTGAACTTGTTAACCAGAAGTTGGATATTGGCTCTAGTAGGAGCTGATTTTCTGAATTTCCATTCAAAATTCCATGCAGTCATGTGGAAACAACTGCTACCCTCTCTTCAGTGTTGAGCATATTTCTTCGTTAGGCGGAAACAAACTAAAAAGAATGATGGAATTCACAAAAATGGATCAAGACTTCTGGATCACCTATAGTTCTCTGGTAAGGTGAAGCTATCCCTGTGCTTAACTAATTAAGCACTACGCCATGAAGATGTATGTGTCAATGGATGCATACATTCACATTTCCTTGGCCTTGGCACTAGTTGGAGGAGAGTGGTCAGCTTCACACCCCAGCTGCTTTCCAGGGAAACAGCCCAAGGTATCCTTTGGATAAGAGGTTGGAGATGTGGAAAAGAAAAAAATTCTTGACCCTACTAGGACTCAAACTCTGACTCCTTGGTCAGGGGAAAATAAATATTTTCTTAAGAATAGTAAAACAGGACACTTTACTGGAAGAGTACTTAAAGTAGCACTTAACTCACATGCGACTCTGCTTGATAGAAATCTCACTGCTGCATTCAGGGCACTCAACAACCCACGAAACCACCACTAGTATAATGGCATAAGTTGCCAGGGCACCAACATAAACAAGGAACTGGATGAAATACTTCTGGTTTTGTTCACCCACACAGTTGTTGATCCTGCAAAAGAAACACTGCTTGGTTTATTTGGTCTTTGTTGATTCAATTGCCCAGGTTATGTCGTGCAAAGTGTTGGAATGATTTCTGGACAGGAAAGTCTGTGGAAGCACCACAGTACTACTCCAGCTCCTACCTGGCAGGAGTGAGAAAGCCATGAAAATCCTCAGTCAGAATGGATGATCTCCAGGCAAAGAATTGAACCTGGACATTTGTAATGTACTGTAAGAGTGCTGATCACTCAACTGTGATATTCAGCAAACAATGATTGGATGTACTTACTTACTTACTCATGGAGCTGAGCCCTTCCAGAGGAACCGCTAATTCTGCAGCTACTCAAGAATTTCCCAGCATTTTATGGAACCCGAAGGTTCATTCCCTTGTTCACAACAGTGTGTCACTGGCCCCAATCCTGAACCAGATGAATCCACTCTATACCCCTTATCCTATTTATTCAAGAAACATTTTGATATTATCTTCCATCTATGTCTAGGTCTTCATGTGGTCTCTTTCCTTCATGTTTCCCTATCCAAATTTCTGTAAGTATTCCTCCTCTCTCTCTTGTTTCATGCCCTGCCCATCTCATCCTCCTAGTATTGATCATTCTAACACTATTTGATGAGAACTACAAGTTGTGAAACTCCTTTCAATGCAGTACTTTCCAACTTCCCCCATCTTACACTCACACTGAAGTGAACATGCCACATGAAAATTGCACACATAATTCTGGTAGTGGAACGTGCAAGGTGGCAAACAGTAGCATAGTTGGTTGAGGCACTATGCTACAAGCTACGGTGAGGTCACTGGATGTTTCAATTTACCTAATCCTTCGAGTTGCACTATGGCCCTCGGGTCAACTCAGCCTCCAACAGGCATGAGTACCAGGAATTTTCTTGAGGGTAAACAGCAACCAGCGTGAAAGGCTGACAACCTCACCACCAACTGTGAGCTGACTGTCCAGAGAATGTGGGAGCCTCTACTTCTCACAACCCTATGGGCCTACATAGCGTGTTATAAGGATACCAAAAAGAAAAAAAGTGGAATATACAAGTCTCTACATAATACAGTCACAGCATAAGACCCACAGCTTTACAATTCAGGGATCAAAGTTTAGAGCCAAGTCCAGATTTTTACAATTCCCAAATCTGACTCCCCTGCAAACTAACTTAAAGAAGACTGGCTCAGCAGAACCAAACTCACCCTCAGCGTGGATTAGTATGTGGTGAATATAACTCACCAAGGACAATGATGGTCCATCCTACGGATGCAGCGCTTACAGATACGACAGTGGTGTGCTCTCGGCGGTCGGTATGTTTCACACCGTGAACATACTGTCCAGTCCCCCCGCTGGAAAGCCCCAGAAGAACCTGCACACACAAATGAATATTCAAAAATAACAGTTAATATACTGTCACATATTTATGGTCGTGACTAATAATAACGGGTTTGGATTGGATTTATTGAGCACTCCCTGTACAATCACTCATAATCACAATAAACTACAATAATTTGCAATAAATCTTCAGCTTAATTCTGATCTGATCTCTCTATTCAGATCCGAACTATGACTGTCTTCTCTTCTAGTCTGTCTTCTACTGATCTGAACTCAATTCTGTTTTCCTCTTATATAGCATATCAGTATCCAAGGAAATGTTTGCTGTTCACTTGTATCCATGGAAACGTGTTCTGTAATGAGTTGGGTTCTGTGGAAATGTGTTTGTCGATGTGTTCCCTAGCAATGGGTCTACATGTCAAAATATTTAAAATCACTTCTTACTATGTTCCAGTCATCAGTATTATGTGTATGCAGAACGAAAATCCAACAAAACTTTTTCTTAATGTGATTGTTCCCACATAAATTGAGTCGCAGTTCCCACAGCATTACACGTCCTTAGGGAACTGACGGTGATGTCCTCCTGGCAGGGAGGGGGAGTGACCACTGTGGTACATATACTATTCTAACCTAGATCTTAAATCATCCATAGAATGCCTTCCTTGTCCAACTGACCTAGTATACCTGACTTTATCAGTATGATTATGAATGTCTTCTGCTCCTGGAAAGTTTAATACAAAAATCAACTCATAACGATAACTACTCGACATGCCATTTAACATGACTGCACCCTAAACCAAGTATTCTGACAATCACAACTTAACGTGCTGTCACTTATTCACTAGCAGGCAAAGTCACATGAATGCCTACTCATGTGAGTATGACTCAGTACTTACTAACAGCACTGGACACGCCATAGCTCAGGTGGTTAGTTGCCAGCTTCCCACCATAGCGGCCTGGGTTCAATCCCCAGTCAGGTCACGTACAATTTGTGGTGGACAAAGTGGCACTGGGACAGATGTTCTCTTAGTACTTCAGCTTCCCCTGCCAATTCTCATTTCATTGACTCCTCCACACTCATCATCATCCATCATCCAGGGCTGGTACAATATGCCTAATAGTGGCCATAGTACCAAATGGACTCAGTCACACTCAACCCCAAGAATTAAAAAAAAATATTAATAGTGCTTGAGCCAAGCCATTTTACACTCAGCTAAAGACAGGCTGTCGCTGGCAAGCAGAGAGGAAGTGAAACAAAAGTGTCACTTGTGAGGAAGCTGCATAAGAATAGGGTGTGAGAACACTGGTTGAATTTATCTGGCTTAGGAAAGGGTCAAATGGCAGGATCTTGTGAACACCCCCATGAACCTTCAGCTTCCATCTATGATGGGGAAATTCCTGACTAGCTGAGCAACTATGAGATTATAAAAAGAGGGCTTTGTTTGATAGAGTTACTCATTTAACAAGACCTCAAATTTAAAACAGAACAGACCAAGCTGGTTGGCACAGCAGCAACGCTCTACCTTTGGATTCGGGAGACACCATCTATCTTAAGTGATGCTTTCTGTGGATTCCTTAGTCTCTCCAGGATAGTACATCCATTAGATCATGACTGCTTCCTTCCAAATTCTTTCCAATCCATTATTATTCGCCAATAATCCTACCATTATGAACCCTGCAACGGTTCTTCTCTGTGAAGTTCTTTGGAGTCCCCCCCCCCGAAACGCCGGGATGCGAGCCATTCCTCTCTTTCCGCTTAAAGTCTTAGCTGACGTCAGGTCAGCTGACCTTGTTTCCCCCCCTCCTGGAAGCAATGCAAGGTTTCCTGTTCACGCCGAACGAATGCATCGTTCTCTCTCCCCGATACCTTCAGCCAGGTAACATCGCTGCTTCCAAATTCTGTGTTTAGGTTGAATTGAGCTTGTGAAATTCTGTTTCGGCCCGTGCAGTATCTGAAGGGGGAAGAGTGCTCTCACGACGTGATCGAGGTTGCATCAAGTCGTGAGGTTAATCTTGTGTTTGTAATTTTGGAAACGCCAGTATGTGACTTACTGATGTACTTGGTTTCCTTTTCATCACAACGCCGTGTGGCGTAAGTAAATTGTTTTGCTTGGAGTTGAGTTGGCTTAAACAGCCGATCGCCCCTCAGGCGTGCAAGTAACCTGTGTATATTTTCTTGTGCCCTTAAGGCTTGCCGAAGTACAGGCTTGTGTGTCCTTAAGGTTTGCCGAAGTACAGGTTGTTTCCTAGAGAAGTTGAAAGATGCCATGAGGCGTGCCAATAGTTGAGTCTGTGCGGCTAGGCACAGAGTAATTCTGTATCAACTGTCTATTTTGTTTTGCCCAGTCCCTGCCCATCAGGCAGAGTACACCTGTATACTTATGTTATCAATATATACATTTATTTATATGTTTGGAAACGCCAGTTGTATTTGTGTATACTTGGGTTGTGTGTGTTCCCTACCAGTTCGGACTAGCAGATCCGTCCAGCTTGGCCCATAGTGCCGACAGTGGTTTTCCTCTCCCGAGATCCCCTACTCGACCTTGGGGAGGCATAGTGCATCACGTACAAGCAAGTCGTCTTATGAGCCTGTCCCTTACCCATATTGAACAGGAGTTCACGGGTCTAAGTGGGTAGGAGAACTGGGTTCTCGACCCACAGGGTCGAGGGACACGGCTCAATTCAACATTATATAGTTTATATCGTCACATAATGGAGTGATTATACATGGGGTTTGAATTAGATTCTAAACAGTTCTGACGATGGTGTATAGCACTCAGAAATAGTGGGTTTTTGGACTTTGTCCATTGTCTGGTAGTCTAGAAACTAGAAAACACAACGTTCTGGAAATTGGATCATTTCCCATCCTCAGGTGAGGGGGGAAAGATTGGGGTTAGCTCTTTCTAAGGGACCCAAATGAGTAGGAGTCTTCCCCCTCCCCCTCACCTGAGGACGGAAAATGGTCCAGTTTCCAAAACGTTGCTTTTTCTAGTTTATAGTATACCAGATGATGGACAAGGTCCAAAAGCCCAGTAACTCTGAGGGTTGGAATTGGTGATCAGATTTGTTTGACTCTTACAGATTGTAACTACAAGTATTATAGCGCTACTGTTAATTCACTACAGAATGCACTAAGTCTTCTCAGTCTGCTGTGGCTCCACTGGTTACCACCTGGTAATGGCTCCCAACACTGTAGATTCCACAGCTTCCGTGTTCCATGGCCCCAGTAATTGTTGGCTGGTGTCTATCTCACAGGACTCTGTGTTGCTACACAATGTCTTACAACAGTGGGGGCTCCTCCACTTCCTATGTTTCTACCTGGGGTGCCTTTCAGTTGCAGTCTCCAAACTGCTAACTGCAGACTCACACCTCTCGGTTGACTTGTGTTCCAGTTCTCCACATATAGCCCCTCCATAGACACGCAGAGAACACTGCTTCCCACAATTCCTAAATTATTGTGTGACTAGGTATCAACACAGACCACATAAAAAACACTGGGTCATGTGTTCTTACTGTGCTGTTCCCTTGCAACGGCTCTCTATACTGGCTTCACAATCCTGGCTTTCAGTGGATATGCCACATTATATTACAGCATCATAAAAGGAACAAACAGAAAAGAAGAGTCAATATCATACTGTGACCTTCACTTCGCTTCAGTGACAACAATGTATTAGGCACTTACAAGACTCCAAAAAAATGAATTTTCAAACTTATACATTCCAGCCCATTAGATGGCTCTTGTGAAGCAGACAACAGGATGGTGAGTCACACTATATTTACAAGTCCACCATACATGAAAACTAACAAAATGCAGTGCAGTTACACTTTATGCGACTTTGAAACAGTGCAGTACATAAAAGTCTCACTTTATTTGCAAAATTGGAAATAATTTGAATCCCACCCCCCCCAAAAAAATTTACATAGATCACACATGTGTCTTTCCTATGAGAAAACTTGTCGTGAATTATGCAAGTCTTCAGGAATGCATCCTTGCATCAAATATGACTGCACTGTCAGCATTTCAGTTAACATCAGAACATTAACTAATTCCATGGAGCACAGCCTTTCCCTAGACACTTACAGTAGCTCACCCACCCAGGAAATTCCCAATATGGAAGTCAAAGCTTTATTACTGTGTTCATGACAACCTGCTACTGCAGGGTCCAGTGATTGACGCTAGCTCTTTCTAACGGGCCCAACTGAGTAGGTTTATCCTTCACTACCCACCTGAAGATGGAGACAGGTCCAGTTTCCGAAACGTCATGGTTTTTTGTCTTTTACATACCAGACGATGGATGAAGTCCAAAACAAACCAAAAGAACTACTGCTACTGCATGCATCATATGCATGTATAAAATTTCATCAAATCCTAACTTACTTTCTAATTTCTTGGATGTCTTGAAATTAGTGAGCAATACAATATGTCATCGAAATGGACAACTCACTGAGCAAAACTCACTCACAAAACAAACCAAAAGAACTACTGCTACTGCATGCATCATATGCATGTATAAAATTTCATCAAATCCTAACTTACTTTCTAATTTCTTGGATGTCTTGAAATTAGTGAGCAATACAATATGTCATCGAAATGGACAACTCACTGAGCTGAGTTACAAAAAAAAAATAAGGGAATGATCATACTGTAACTTCAGAAAGAAAAGCAGACATTGAAAATATGAACATCTAAGAACATTGCTAAGTTAGAAACATTTTTAAAACATTAGCAAAATTAGTAATTAAAATGAAAATTCTTAGGATGAAATGAATTTTGTTATGTTTTTGATAAAATGGAACAAATGTATCTAATATTTGTCACTGCTGTAAATACTAACTCACTTAGTTAGTCAGTTATTTAGAGAGGGTGGGTTTCCTCATGCACCGCGACCAGTTTGATCTATTGTGCTTCCCTCTATGATATTCTACCAGTCTCTATACCCTACCGATAAATGGTGCGTACCATCAGTCCCACCGAGCAAGCGAGTTCGGCCACTTGCTTAGTGTTATCTATAATGCTTCCCCCATCTATCAGAGGCCTTAGAGACTATTGTTGGGCGGGAAACGTCCTGGAATTTGGCTCAGTGATCCCCTTTGGGGATATGAGGTTCTTTTACGTGCCGTAAAGTTACGACACGGGACACACAGCTTAAAGTCCCTCCTGGAGGACTTGTTCCCTGAATTTTTCCACCCTTAAAAATTCGACGACATCCGCCGGGTATTTGAACCCGCGTACCATGGGTCATGAGGTGGGAACGTTACCTCTAGACTATGGAGGCCGCTTACTAACTCACTTACTCCTTGACTCAGTTGTCCTCTGAGAACCTTGGCCTCCTCTGCAGCAGATGCAGAATTTTATATGGTATTCAGAAGAAACTGACGCCTTAAATGGTTAAAGTCTTTAGTTGCTTTGTAAGCCCTTTACTGAATAGGAATCAACACAGCAACACTTTAATGCACAAATCTACTGGACTACAGAGATATAACATAACAAAACCTAAATAAAACATGTTATGACAAAATTAGGACAAACTTACATTAATTTCATCTCATTTAAATAGATACTGAAAAATGGAGCCACGGTGTGTTGTTGCACCGAATTTCATATTCACTTTCAAGCTACAGCAGAAGCAGTACAAGATGAGAGATACCATGCAAAGTCATACAGAACCTGAGTGAATGTCTGAGAAGTCAACTCTGTTCTGAGGCAGAGGTACAACTCCTGGATCAGAACACACCGCTTTCAAATGTGCCATCGCTAGGAGAAAAACTATGGTATTGAAGAGAACTACATGGAATGGTCCCCATAAACTGAAATCAAAATGAAAAACAAAACATCATGATAGAATGACATCTCCACAAACACACGCCTCATTATTAGTGTGGCTCAATCGCTTGTGGGATGTCATTATGATGAGACAACCACTTGTTGAACTGTTCTATAACATTTATTATAGTTGAACAGTATACACAGACGAACTTGAAGAACTGAAGAATAATAATAACAATAGTGAACTCTTTAACACCTTGTAAAACACCTCCCCGTTGCTAAGCAATGATACTTCTGTTGTTAGTGTAACGATTGCTTGAATGCGGGCAGTTACCACATGCTGATATATGTAATATTAATCTGGGTATACTATATATATGCACCAAACGTTTATCGTGGTTTTAATTTAACAAAATCCTGAGTAAAACTGTAGTTAAGAAAAAACTTCCAAGGTAAACTTTCTAGGGTCAATATACGAACATAGATAGCCATATAACAAATTGTACCTGTTCTGCATTGTCTGCAAAATAATCCATCTTATTACTACGTAATCGGCGTAAAGTATGGCCACATATGTCAACAAAATACAAACAATTCCACACGGATCTCTCACAAATGTTGACATGATCCACCATCAACTTCCCTCCGATCACTACTGTCATTCCACCAATCACTGCGAATTCTATGTGCACGACCAATTGCACAATTCTACCAATATACAAGTTTGGTACGTAGAGATTTTCTTACACAATACCCAGTGTATAATAAAGAACGGTAGTGATGTACGTATAGAATATAAAATAACTCACCGCAATTTTACAGATTTTACATTTAGTCTCAAGAATCTACGTCAGCATGACCAAATCTCTAATGACTTGGAGACATATGTAATGTTCGTGAACCTGTAATAGTTGCATTTGCTATGGCAACAAATTATGTTTACAGGACAATGTTAGCAGACGATGCTTTAACGTTTTAAATACATGGAGAAATATAAATTGACATATTTAAACCGACCAAGTTCTCACTGCTGTAATCAATGACGTACATATTTTAAAAATTCACGATGTCTAACGCAACGAATGGTGATGCTGAAAATTTACCAGAAGAACTGTCTCATGCTGAAGTAAGGAGGGTGGAAGAATCAGGAGCAGCAGGCAAAGAACAAAGACAGGAAGAGAAAAAAGTTCAGGAAGAAATTCCAGAAATATTAAATTCTGATGATTTCATCTCTAAACCCTTCTTAAGTAAAAAGTGCACCGTGCCTGAAGCTATTCTCGTTTTCCAGTATCCTTTTTTATGCAGGCTAGATACATTGATTGACTATAATAAGGCATAAGAACATTGTGCCATGCTGCTTGATTTATGTTTCAGGAATAAATTTATATCTTATTTTTTAAATAGATTACATTGGTGTGTAATTAATTATATACATTATAATAGACATTTTATAATATTGTTAGTGTGACGTACCAGAATGAAACAAATCAAATTATAGACATCATTAAACAATCCTGCAAGGGTCTGTTGATCAGTAACTGCTAGTCTTGCACTCAAACAGACCTTATTTTCTCTGTACACTAGTTACAATGAATATTTTTTTTGCACGTTCTTTGCAGTAAGTTGCAAAAATGCGCCAGTTAGTTCTAGGATGTCTGCCTACATGTAGAGCTCAGTTACTATGTGAAGAGGACACGTGACAGCACAGTGAGTGACCCCCTTAAGAGCCACTCTAAAGCAGAAACCAGCAGCCAACAGCAAACTAAACCATCTATCCCTTATATCTGCTGTAAGAGATGTGGACTCATCCATTCCTCCCATACATGAAAACTGTCTTCTTTACATGTACCATCACATTGTAATTGAGCTCAATCAACTTTAAAAATTATATATTCCTACCTCTGACAGGTATGAGCACCGTGACATGAAGATACTATAATTACTATAGAATTCTGACGATGGTGTATAACACTTAAGAGATATTGGGTTTTCAGACTTTATCCATCACCCTGATCTTAAGATACCTAAGAGAAACACTCAAAAACTAGTTCTGTTTCTGTCTTCAGGGGAGTAAAAACCCATTGTCTTGGTATTAAGATAACTAAAAAAAAACAACTCAAAATCTGATTGTGTTTCCATCCTCAGATGAGGGAAAACCAGTCACCCTGGTCTAAAGATAAAAACACTCAGAAACTGATTGTGTTTTCATCCTCATATGAGGGAAAACCAATTGTCCTGGTTATAAAATTAAAAAACACTCAGAAACCAAGGGAGTTCCATCCTCATATGAGAAGAAAACTATACCCCTAGAAAAAGGTAGCCTCAGAACACTCAAAAACTAGTTCTGTTTCTGTCTTCAGGGGAGTAAAAACCCATTGTCTTGGTATTAAGATAGCTAAAAAAAAACTCAGAATCTGATTGTGTTTCCATCCTCAGATGAGGGAAAACCAGTCACCCTGGTCTAAAGATAAAAACACTCAGAAACTGATTGTGTTTTCATCCTCATATGAGGGAAAACCAATTGTCCTGGTTATAAAATTAAAAAAACACTCAGAAACCAAGGGAGTTCCATCCTCATGTGAGAAGAAAACTATACCCCTAGAAAAAGGTAGCCTCAGTCACTGAACAACCTATGTACTAAAACACAAAGGTTATAAATATCTGAGACCAGGCTAAGTTGATGAGAGCTAATAAGAAAAATATACATTACAAATTGTTCCAAACACGCAGAAGCGCGGAACCGGATAGATAGAGCTACAGAAATGTATGTCATGAAACCAAACTAATAACCAGGCCCATGACCCCACGGCATGGACTAGAAAGGAAGAACTAGTAAAAAACTAATAGTGTCTAACTTGAAGAAAGCAGTCTTCTGGGATTTGGCATGTGGGATGTGGCCATGACCGACTAACATAACAACCCCCACCCCAGCTTAAGGGTTAGTGCCCAGCCTTTAACTTTGCCTTTCTCTCCCCCAACACAAAACCCTGCTTGTCCCAGCTCCTTCCCCCCCCCCAACACTACTGTTTTCACTTGTATACTTGCCCTTTCCCCCTTCCTTCACTGCTCTCACATAGCTGTGTATATTTCCAACACCAGTCTGCTTTTACCGGTTCTCACGGTCTCTTCACTTGCGGATTTCTTATATTTTTCCTTCTACCCTGAAGATGGAGGCGATACGTTCCTACGAAACGTCGGTTAACACCACATATACATGGTGCCAAATCCCAGAAGACTGCTTTCTTCATAGTCACCGCCATGAAAGCCTCAAATCTTACATAGTGTCTAACTTGGTCAACAATGGAGTAAATCACGTCTATCTAATTTAGAACCTAATAGAAATCAATAAAAACATATATCACATCATACAGATCTTCTATGTCAATTGGTGACTTCATTGCTGATAATGGGGATCCAAATGGGAGAAAAGTCCAAACTGGGTTGGCTAATTGGGTTGACCAAGCATGCCATATGGGCCGCTTCCTTGTATTTTCTATACCTGATGTAGCTTTCAATATCCAAAATCTTAGCTTCGTCCCTCTTCATAGGCATGTTGAGCTAGTTTAGATTTTTCTAGAATACCTTCTTTGAGGTTATGCCTATGTTCCAGGAGCCGCATGGCCAGAGGTCTGCATGTTTCGCCAATGTAGCTTCTGCCACATTCACAGGGAATGCTATAGACGCACTGTGCTGTCTCTTGCAGATCTCTTTTCGGTCTGGTTTTCATAAGAGTGTTCCTAAGAGTGTGTTTTGTTCGGAAGATGGTCCTAATGTTATATCGATTACCTATCCGTTTAAACTTTTCAGAAACACCCTTCACATATGGAATATATACAGAACACAAAGGTTTTTCCTGTTTCTTCGGACAACTACTGCCCTTGGAATTAATGACCGGGTCAATGAAGCCTTTGGGATAACCGTTCTACTGAAGATCGTGTCTCAGGTTGTTAATTTCTTTGATCAAATCTTGTCGATCTTGGCATATGGTGGAGGCTCTGTCGTGGAGACTTTTAATCAACCCTCTTTTTACATGTGGTGGATGGTTAGATTTGAAGTTGAGGTATTGGCCAGTGTGGGTGGGTTTCCTGTAGACTTGTGTGACCAGTGCCGTCTCTTCCCTGATGACCAGAATGTCCAGAAAAGAGATTATCTGACTCAGTTTCCATAGTGAAGCAAATGGAAGGCCTCAAACTATTGAGATGGTCGAAGAAATTCTGTAATCTCTCTGGACCAGACTACAAATGTGTCATCCACGTATCACAGCCACAACAATGGTTTGTACGGTGCTGAGTTAAGAGCTAGTTTTTCAAAATGCTCCATGAAAATGTTGCTAACGATGGGTGAGAGAGAATTTCCCATAGCCATGCCATCTTTCTGTTGGAAGAACTTGTCGTCGACCTGAAAATAGGTGGTTCTCAAGGAGACTTCCAGCAGCTCCATGATGGCTTCGACCTGCAAGATAGATTGTTCCGTCAGTGTGACATCGTCGTGGAGCTAGTTTTCGATGATTTGTAGGACTTCATCGACTGGTACATACTCCATACATTCTTAACCTCGGCACTAGGTAGAAGTAAATGGTCAACTTCAGTCTCTGGCAGTTTTAGCTCCCCCATTTCACAGGAAAGGGACCCTATTACTCATTGGATAGGAGGCTGTATAGGTCACATAACTGGTCTGGATATTGTGGAGAAGAGAAGAACCTAGTTCCTTGACTATCCAGCCCATCACTATACCAACTGAGCTATCCCACCATTTTCTGCATGCAACTCACTGTTTATAAACTGAAAAATGTTCAGTTTAATTTTACTAAATTGACACTTCCTCTATTCTTTATTGGGCAGGCCAATGAAAATATACAATTTTTTTCTTTTCAAGTTATTTCTTATACTTACCAATTAAAAATATATTTAATTTTGTTAAAAGGCAATTTGTGTCTAATAATGGGAATTCAACCAGTTACATCACTGGAGATGTGACATTGTGTAATTTGGTTGATAGGTACCAACGTTTCAGAGGAACCTTTAGTCTTCAACTTCCTCCCTGAAGGTGGCAATTGCAGGTTCCTTCAAAACATTCATGCCTACCAACCGAACTACATGGCATCACTGTCCAGAAGACTGAGATCTCAATAGTTACTGCTGTTGGAACATCAGATCTATATCATTTATATATATATACATACATACATATAAAAATATGTTGGCAATATGTGGATTTTTATTATTTGACATTTCCTTTTATACAACTAACAATTTAAGGAATGTAAAATGACTAAAGAATTGTCTATGGATCTCAACCTTCACCACATTATGAGACTGATGCTACATGTATACTGTGTTTCATACCTTAATGCCATACAAAAATTCCTTAAAATTATTACAAATGCACAGACAGATGAACACTTGTTAATTACTTATACAGATTACTGATAATTAATACTGATATAATATTCAGTCAGCAGTAGAATTTGTACAATGCATCTTCATTTATTTGTCATCCTGCTTTGCTTTCATTGAAAACATTGTATTGTAATACATATTCTTGCCTTAATGCTTTAACAGTCATTCCTTTGGTTATGATTGTCAACGATACTTCAACTTGGTACTCTTAGAAGAAACGATACTTGCATTTGCCTCTGGAAACTTGATACACATTTTTAATGTAGGCACTAATGAATTATGGTTCAGGCGAAGTGCAGGAGGTGGAGGAATAGGTCATATGGCTGTAAGGACACTGTTTCAATATTTTGGGTTTCGGTATAATTTGTTATTTCTTATGTTTTTCTCTTCTTACACCTGTGAAAATGGAAGAGAAAACAACTGAAGACATGTCTTGTTCTAGCCTCTGATCCCCATTTTACACCGAACAATAGCACAACCTTAACCACAGTATACTAGGTATGCTTACTAACCTATAGCTGGGATACTACAGATACTCTTTTCTTTCTTCCTTTCTCTTAAATTGTCCAACTTATTCATATGACCTAATCCTGTGGATTCAACCTTAGTTCTGCATGGTGTGACAGGTGTCACAAGCAGGTTGCTCCAATACTGATGCTGGGGTTAAGTAGAGGAGGTGTCTCATATTGCCATTTTGTTTGCTCTGGGTCCTTATGCAATACCTGCACTAATTTTATTGGCTCTCCAAGCAATATATGTATAAGTTGTGGGCTAACTTCACTTCTGTGTAGGTATTTCTTGGAGTTGTTACTTTGGTAATGGGTTCTTTACTATGATGGTGTTTTCCTTGACAAGCTGTCACCTTCATTCAGCCTGAGTTGATGGGCATGGAGAGCTTATTTTTCACTGCCTGTTCGATTAGGACCTTGTCTCCAACTTGATCTTCTCCTGTCGCCATATCCTTCCAACCTGATGCCCAGAATTGTGAGGGTCGTTGATCTGTAGGCCACCAGAGGAGTCTGGAGATTGTTAAACCTAAATCCATAAGTTACAATAGCCTCAGTCTTTTAAGGATCAACTTACACTGTCTCTCAACTTTGCCATTTGGCTGAGATCAGAGTAGAATTGCCTTGTAAAGTTCAATTTCATTTCCTCACAAAAACACTTCATTTTCCCAATGTATGAGATATGCTTCACTGTATGTGACTATTCTAGTGGGAAATAAATATCTTGCAAACACATTTTCTAGTGTCTTTATAACCGTATATCCTGTTTCAATTATATTTTTTTATAAGTTATTCTTCAGTTCATAAAATATCCAGTTATGACAAGAACCATATTGCAAACCTATCTGAAACTTTTCCTACCTTTAGGTTCTCATCATAATCCCTAAGTCTACCCATATATCCTTACATGTATATAATTCGGTTTGTATTATAAAATTACTTTACACTATTTGAAATACCTGAAACTATATTGTTAACACATTAAAACTGACTCTGTCTATTTATATTAGGTTTTTGTCTTAATCTAAATATTTTTTTCAATATCATTTAAGTCTTGGTTCTTTAAAATCTAGGTTACACAAATGTAGCAGGAAAGTTTAATCTTTTAAAACAAGAATCATATATCTGTATCATGAAATGCAGTTTTACAATCCAGACTGAAGTGAAATTTCTTCTGCAGAACTTAGCCAAATCTGAAAGCATTAAATGAATTGTTCTCATATCCATATTTGAAACATAATATGAGGAGCCATGCATCCACTGTGAAGTGCAGGTGATTTTTTCTTTCCAGATAGTTGTAAAATGCCATTAGATAGAAGACTAATGGGGTTGGTTGTCAAGAGGAACCTAATGGTAGATAAATCCAAGAGATGTTGATGCAGAGGCACAAATCTGTGAAATTCTGTTTGCAAAATTTGTATTCCAAACAGCTTTCCTTATCTTGAGTAAGACTTGCATAAAACTAAAATATGTGTATAATATGTAGTGATGTGTACTAAATTCTTTTACTGACATACGTAAGCTGTTTGGTAAGTATCATTCAAGGGTGTGTTACTCTCATATTTATTACTTCAGCATATATATTCAGAATAATCAGGAGTAACAGACAGACCCTCTACTTCTCCATGTAATTGCCATAGAAATTGAACATATTTGTCCCAGCATGCACCACATGTTTGGTTCCTACAGGAAGGAAATAAGGGCTCAATGTCAGTAGTGTTGTCCTTCAAAATGCTTCTTTAGATGTCCACAGAATTGGAAGCTGCTAGGTACAAGGAATGGACTGAATGGCGAATGGGCAAGACATTCCCAGCACTTTGCAATCAAGTTGTTGTTGATGCCATTTTAGAAAAAAAGGGGGGGGGGAATTCTCCTCCTCTTCCTGGACCAAGGTGCAACAGTGAAGGGCTGAAGGGCAACATTTAAGACATGATAACGAAGTCAAAGCTTAGATGCACTGGGGGGGGGACAGATGCAGAGCCATAAATTATTATTCTCCACTGGAGTTGAACAGGTCATGTATCAATGGGGAAATTCTTCAGTTGCTCTGGAGATCATGTGGAGACATAGAGGGTAAAAGGTTAAACAAGATGTAAAGTTATCTCTATGCTTAATTAGTTAAGCACCATGCCATGAAGATGTGTCAGGGAGTGGTGGCATAGCTCCACCATTCTCGACCTCGGCACTAGATGGAAGTGAGTTGTCACCTTCACGCCTTGGCCACTTTACCTCCAGGGAAAGAGTCCCCAGTACCCATTGGATAGTGGCTGGATGGGCCCGAAGTTCATGTGAATGCTGCGGAGTGCAGAAGAATCTTTTGCCCTTGCTGGGAATTGAATCCCAGCTGTCCAGCCTATAGCCCATCTCTATACTGACTATGCTATCCTAGCTACTCAGAGACATAGAGGGTTCATTCATTATTCTCTGTTCTGTTGAAAGTCTGTGTTGAAGTAATTCAATTCAATTCAATTCTTGGTTTTATTTACGTGCTGTACTCAACAGCTGGTAGCCAATTACAGAGTCAGCACGAGGACACAATATACAGACAGACTGATGAAAATATTACAAAAATTCAATTGCAATATGCACAATTGAAAGAACACAATTAGATTTTAGAGACGAAGCCAAGCAGTGTCTAAGTATAACATATGTCGAAGGTACTACAAAAGTAAATATATTAATGATGAAGTGATAACAAGTGTCCTGCAAAAAGTTACATGAACAAATTAAATAGACAGATTTTTTAATAATAATTACAATAATAATAAATATAAGAATAATAATAATAGAAATTCATTATATTTTAGGACTGAGAAATGAGATGCTTAGATAATTAATTGAGAAATAAATCTGATGCAACTCTAAGAACAATTAAATAGTCAGATTTTTTAAACTTATTTTAGAATTACTAAAAATGTCTAAAGAGTTACACACTAAATTAGCAGCAGAGACACATCTGGCTGAAGGGCAGTGACTAGAGGAGCAGCAGAACAGGGAAAAATTACGGATGTTCCGAGAGGGAGCTCGAATACCAACTGTTTCTAGGACCGAAGGACAGTTTTTGTCACCTTTAAAAACACATATTAGGAACAAGGCGTCTATGTGGCGACGCCTAGTGTGGAGTGATCGCAGATTTAACATATCAAGCATATTGATGTAATGATACTCCGTGTCATGAAAAAATCGGTTGTGGCAAAGTGCTGCGAATTTTCTTTGTATACGCTCAAGTTTATTAGAGTCAGTGTTGGTCACAGAGTTCCAAACCACAGAAGCGTACTCTAATTTAGATCTGACAAGGGCAGAATATAACGTCATTAGACTGTCTAAGGAGGAAAATGAGAAAGTGATAGTACGAATTAAGCCTAATAATTTTAAGGCATGCAAAAATAAATAATTTACATGTTGATGAAAGTAAAGTTTGGAATCAAAATATACTCCCAAGTCTTTAATGCAGTCAGCGCGAAGTATGACAGAATTACCCAACCTATATGGAAAGTTCAAGGCAGTAGTTTTCCTGGTAAAGGAAATAATTCTAATTTTGCTAAGGTTGGGTTTCATAAACCCAAGTACCAGTGTAACATATCACTGGATTTTACTTACTGAACACCCCTCATATGTTGTTATTTTATGTTAGGGGTATAATATGAATATCTAAATGTGCTCTATTTTCAGAAAAATCCTAACCCTGCATATCAGCATCTTGCAGTAGCTGAAAAAGGTAATCATCCATTGATAATAATTTACAATTGGCCATCACTTGACATTGTATGCTTGCTGAAGCAAGGTGCTGAGAAAATGTACTGCCATATAAACTACAGGTAAGCCAGAATAATTATACAAATAAATTACCATCTATATTTTAATTTTCATTTCGTGCATCCTGTTGTTATTATATACGAGGGTTGGAACTTTAATAGTGGCAACACTGCTGTAGAGATGCCATGCAATGGAACCAAATAATGTCACTTATACCACACATTAGTTACATACCTACCTTACCTCAGAGGAAATGGGCTGTCCCTTCCCACATCACGCACATGCACAGTGATGAGAAGAACAGAGCCGCATGTTAGCTGGCAGTGTATTGTAGTGTTGTCACTATGTTTTCGGAACAGGAACAACGGAGTTGGATAAAAATTGAATATGCCAGAGGCCGTACAGCATGACAGTGTCATCAAGGTCTTCAAGAGGCTTGCGGGGAATCTGCATTGTCTTACGGAACAGTGGCAAGGTGGATAAAAGCCATCAATGAGGGATCCCAAAATGTGGCAGGAATACATCGGCCAGGTCGTCCTAGTGTCAGTGTCTTTCCACACTACTGGAGAGTGATTGACACCATATGATTTGTGAGCTGGGCTGACAGACAGGATTAGCCCATACGACCGTACTTCACATTCTGAAGGAACACCTGGGCATGAGAAAAATTGCATCACCATGGGTTTCACATGATTTGATGGAAGTGCAGAACTGGCTATGATACGACACTACTCGTAACCACTTGGAGCGCTATGAGCGTGAAGGAGAGGCTTTCTTACGCTGTATCATTACTCTGGATGAGACATGGGCCAAATCGTGTGAGCCACAAATGAAACGCCAATCAAACGAATGGTGTCATTATGGGTCACCACGAGAATCAGAAGTTCATCAGAACCCCAGCAATGTGAAAGTTATGGTCATTCTCGTGTACGACTGTGATGGTGTTATCTTAACGCATATCGTTCCCCAACAGCAGACCGTCAATGCACAGTATTACTGTTTATTTTTGGAACATAACCTGCGACAAGCTTTGAGAAAGAAGCGGCAACACTTCCTGCAGAACCCACCCATCATTTTTGAGGACAATGCTCGGCCTCATGCAGTGCAAGCTGTGGCTGATTTGTTCAATTGATGGGGCTGGGAAGTGCTGTACCATCCTCCATACTCCCCGGACTTAAGCCCTTGTGACTTCTACTTGACTCCTAAGAAGAAGGAACCACATTGTGGCATTCACTTCAGAACTGTTCCAGAGATTCTTCAGGCAGTAGACTGCTCCATTTGAACTATCAACACAATAGGCGCTGCTAAAGGTATCCTACGACTTCCACATCGCTGGCAACGAGTTGTACACAATGCTGGTGATAATATTGAAGGACAGTAAAGTTCGAAACATGCATCTATTTTGTATCAGTTGTAAATAAATAGTTACCACTATTAAAGTTCCAATCCTCGTACAATTCTTTATTAGCTACATATAGCTAAGCTAATTTTGTCCTTCACCATTGTATAAATAATAAAGAATTGTATCTATATTTTAAATTATGAAAATATGTATGGAAGAGGTAAAGTAGGTGTAGTGGTGTACAGGATACAATGCAACATTAGCTTCTATGAATTTGTGGAACTGAAGCATCTCTATTGCCATAAGTAGTTCAGAATGCAAGAAATATAATATTAACAATATACAGTGTAAGGTTTTATTCTGCAGAAGCAGCAGTACCTGTTCTCCTGGGATATGGTTGCTTATCTTGTCAGTGTCGTGATATACTGTAATTGCTAACACTCTGAGGAAGGAATAACAGCCAAATTAAGAAACTGAAGTTTACTCATGTAATTAAAAGGAATGAAAAAGACAGGAAATGATGACTCAAATCATATCCAAAAACTGTACCACGAAACTTCTGCATTAAATGAACAGCTATAAGTACCACATATATCAGAGAGTTACTTTCGTGAATTCTGGTCCAGTAGTTCCTTATGCTGTTCAGGCAATGTTATGCAAAATTATAATGTATTTGAAGAGTACAGAGTAAGTTTTGTAATATTTGTTGGTGTTCTATAGTAGCTTCACAGCAGAAAAGATGAAATGGAGCAAAGACAAGATAAGTTACACGGGACCCTACTCTCATCAGTTGATTTTGTTACCTTAATAATATATGGTGAAGGATGCCTTATTATATAATTTTATCAAGTAAATAAAACTGAAGTGTTTTACCTTCATTGATCACAGTGGCCACGCGGTCTAAGGCATGAACTGTCTTTGCCTGCTCAAATGCTGGGATCATGAGTTAGAATCCTACCCGAGTCATGGATGTTTTATAATTTCCCTGTTTCCAAATATTACAATTTTCCCATAAAGATATTGCTTCTTAGCTCATAAAGGAATTTGAGGATATACCGGGTACTCACAAACTTACCTTAAGGTTAAGCTTATGGTCTTTTGGGATATGTCATGTAAATTGGTAAAAAAATATTGAAAGAACCTTTTACTTCATCTTCAGGGTAGAAGAGCAAATCATTGGTACCCCTCTACTAAGCATATATCCCAGAAGGCTACATCACTGATGCTCACCACCATATCAAATCTTTCATACCTTAAGGTTCTTTATTAAATGAAATCAAATTTAGATATTCACGGTAAACATGAGTTAATACTGTGGGAATCATTTAAAATTAGAATAAATAAATTATTTGAGATGATAAATGAATGGTTTAGGAAAAATGAGCTAGTAATAAATTATGAAAAAACTTATTTTCTACAGTTTAAAACTAAAAACAGTAAAAACTTAAATGTTGAAGTTAGTTATTTAAACAATCAAATTCCAAGTATTTCTAATATATCGTTTCTAGGATTAAAAATTGAAAATTTTTTAACGTGGTAAAGTCATATTGATGCAATAATTGATAAGTTAAACAGATCCTGTTTTGCAATCCGATCAGTTAAATCCTTTTTACCACTGGAGACATTAAAAATGATGTATTTTTCCTATGTACATTCTATAATAACATATGGATTAATATTCTGGGGTAACTCCCCGCATAGTATAAAAGTGTTTAGGATTCAGAAAAGGATAATTAGGATTATAACAAATACAACAAAGAGAACATCGTGTCGTAGTTTGTTTCAAGAATTGGATATCCTCCCCCTACAAGCTCAATATATATTGTCGATCTCTCTGTTTGTCATAGTAAATAAGGAATTGTTCACATTCAACTCACAAATGCATAATTATAGTACCAGATCTATCTGTGATCTGCATTATCCACAAACTAGTCTGACACAATTCCAAAAAGGAATATGATACATGGGGGTAAAGATCTTTAATCATTTGCCACCAAAAATCAAATCTATGTCTAATGACTTGAAAAATTTTAAAAGTCAGTTGACAACATTTTTATTGCAAAACTCTTTTTATACATGTGATGAATTCTTTAGTAACAAATTTACCTAGAAATAAGGATAATAGCATAAACAATTTTAATATTGCATAATTTTATGTATAGTGATGTAAAACTGTTTTTTTTTTAATATAAATTTAACACATGTTTTTTTTATCTATTTTAATGATTATAAACTGTACATATATATTTATATTTGTATTGTACTATATTAATTATGTGACTGGTTCTATATCTATGTATATGGATTTATGGAATATACAAGAAATGAATGAATGAATGAATAAATCCACATTGCCAAGCAACAGCTCTGTAAACACATTCCAACACACGACAATAGAGGAATATCCAGAGCTAGGCCATGCCTCAAACACACACACACAAAACAATAGGAGAAATGTTTTCTATTGCTAGGCTGCATGCAATGAGCCAGTCAGCTAGATAGGTATTGATCACATGGTAACCCCAACAGACATGTTTTCTGTGCATGGTCCGTGCAGCAGCTATATAATGAGGCTAAAATAACGCCAAAAATATCCAGGAATCAATCTAGCATTCCAGAAAACAATCCAGCAATCAACGGTATGAGTTGGCTATACAGAGCATGGACAACTGGAGACGAAGAATTCAAACAGTATCAACTCAGCGACAGTGACGACATAAGATACAGGGATACTCTGAGAAGATATACTTATAGAAGCAGAGGAATTTATATTGCTGGGGCGCTACTACACTACAATGAACTGAAGCTAGTTCTTGTAATCTCTATATCAACAATAAATAATTGCACAGAAGTTTAGAGAGTGCTGTCTCTCTAAAGAACGACCAATACCACAATACAAATTTAGAATATGAGTTAATTCATTGTAGCTCAAGTTAACATTTTTGAGACATGTAAATTATGAGAAAGCCATATTGTCTAATATACATAAGAATGGGACTTTTATGTTGCTTTCTATCAGTTTCATGTTCCCTGCTATGAACATTATACAGAACACACAAGTTAACATGGAGTTTACGGCATATTCTTGCCAGTATGTTTGGTCACCCCAGCTGTTGTGATGTGCAAGTATTGCATTAGAGTTTCTGGACATGATTCAAATCCTTATTTCTAATCATTGTTTTACTTACACAAGTACAATTAATTACTTAATTTCGATGTTTTTCTTACTGTAAATGTTCACCTGCTATGTGTTGTGATGTTGTGAAAAAAGCAACAATATTTTGGGATAAGAATGGGCACTTCTGCTTCTTGGATACATAATGGTACCATAGTTATTATATAATGGTTTATATTTCCCTCAGCCCAGATGGGGAGATGCTCTGTTCTCAAGGAGGGGCGCCAGATTATCTGCTGATTGTTTGGAACTGGAAGGCCTCTAAGATAATATTGTGTTGCCAGTCCTGTTCTAATGACGTGTACAAGGCAGCATTTGCCACCTCTGTTCCTGATCACATTATAACATGTGGTATGAAAGTTATTTTTATTGTATCATAACATTATGCATCAACATGTGACAGGAGCCTTCATGGTCTGCTTGTTGCTAACTGGAAGCCATGTTGAAACTGCTTATTATATGGAAAGAGGATTAAAACTATAAATAACTTTCAGAATTACTGCGTTTTGGAATTTTACCATCATCTGGAATTCTAGAAAACACCAAAATAAATAGGTGTTTTTCCCCTTTCCCCACTCACCTGAGGATGGAAACAGATCCAGTTTCCAAAATATCGTGTTTTCTAATTTCTAGAATTCCAGACGATGGTAAAATTCCAAAAACGCAGTAATTCTGAGTGCTATACGCCATTGTCAGAACCCAACAGAATCTACTTATAAATGGTTTATCATATTGTTAGCATATAATCAATTTAAATTTCAATGCAAATTTGTTATTCATCAGAAATACCTAATCTCACTGACTTGAAACATTCTGGAAAGACAGGTATGTTCACACAGTGATACAAAAAATGATTGAATAAGAACATGCTGCTTCCATCTGCATGAAATGTTTCTGACAAAGCTTGCTTATGAAAAGCAAATTTTGTCAAAGATAACTAACCTCTTTCTTTCCTCAACTGGCAGTACAGCATCATCATAACCGTTATCTAGTTCACCACTAAACAACAGAGATACATTTCTCTCAGTAACAACCTGACAAAGTGTAACTTGGGTGGCAGAATGATTGGCCTTCAGATATAAAAGAAACATTGACATACACTTTATTTCTTTTGTTCCATATACACGTATGACAGTTGTCCAGAAAGTAAAGACTGGTAGCATATGTGCACTACTTGCTGACTTTGCCTGGGATGCTTCTTTCCATCCTTCCTACAGTCCAGACCCGGCTCCAAGTGATTTTCACTTGTTCACACACTTGAAGCAGTTCTTGGAAGGCACGTGTATGCATAGCGATGACGGGGTGAAGAAGAGGGTTAAAGGCTGGTTCATTGGACTGGAGACAGATTTCTATGATGCAGGCATACAGAAACTCATCACATGATATAACAATTACCTGAATCTTCACTGGGATTATGTAGAAAGTAATTTAATGTCTGTAGTAATGATGTAAAAAAATTAATTTTATTCAATATATTTTTAATCACCAAACGGTCTTCACTTTCTGGATGACTTATGTACATTATGCAACCTTCAAATGTATTTATATGTAGCTACATGTTATTATGAATGTGGCCAATTGCAACCACTGGGCTGAACCTTCCAAATAAGCAGTTCCCATTCACAGCTACAGTTTTCACTGTTAATGCCTCCGCTGATCCACACGTATATACATTAAATCACGACTTCTCTGAATATGCATGCTATCAACAACAGATATTTGTTTTCAGCAACAGTTATTACTGCAGTGCTTACTGATGCATGGAAACTTCTCATTCCCAACTGGCAGTCCTCTCTGTAACTACTGGCAACAGTGACTTCTACATCAGGTCAAAATAGAGACAGGATTGCTTTATATATACATGGACTGCAAATGTGAATCTGTTTGCAGGTGTGGGGCATATTAATTTCTGGAAGGTGGGAAGAACCTTTACAGGCCTTAAACTTACAGGATCACTTGGAAGATTTGGGAGGACAGAGATAAGTGACATTATAGGTTTTCTGACACTTCCAGATGGAAAGGTATTTGTCATGCAGGGATCACCATGTATTGAGTGACTATAAAATGAAAGAATATGTTACCTCTCCTGTGATAGCTCATTAACCATTAACCTTTTCATCCCCACATTATTCAAGCACTGACACTTAATTATTTATAAAATGTAAAAAAAGGTACAGTTGTCCCTATGCTTAAGTAATTAAGCACTATACCATGAAGATGCGTGGGGGTGTGGATGTATAGATCCATGTTTTCTTGACCTCAGCACTAGTTGGAGGTGAGTGGCCAGCTTCACACTCCGGTCACTTTATCAGCGGGGTAAGAACCCCTGGTACCCATTGGATAGGAGGCCTGGTGGGCCTCAGAGCTGGGCTGGGTGACATGGAGAAGAGAAAATTCTTGACCTTACTGGGGCTTGAACTCTGACCCTTCAGTCATCCAGCCTGTAGCCGGTTGCTTTACCAACTACTATAGTGCTCACAGTGCAAACCGCAACAGATTTCAAAATGTTCATTATGTGAAATTTCACACTAAAGGGAGTATGTAAGAAAACTTGATAGGCCCTATGTTCTTAAAACAGATTGTATACAGGTATCCATTGACTTACATGATTCTAATTTGTGTGAACTTCATGCTCTTGGTGAAATGAGAAGAGCATCAAATGTGTAGATTAGAGGCTCTCACAGTGGTGATAATAAAAAGTACTGTCTTCTTGCATCTGAAAGCATGCAGTCTGATAAGTCATTAGCAACATTTCATATTATGCAGTTTTGAGTCATGTGACCACTGTTTGAAATGCAGCTATCATGTTAGTTGCAGGATACAGGTACAAATACAGAATGTCATTTCAGCCATATATTGTCACTGTTTTTTGTTTAAAATGTCACCTAATACATGTAAATGCATGTCTGTTCTAGGTAATATCTGGCTGTGAGTGGGGCAATATGTTGTTATGGGAAGGAGGACTGATCAAAGTTGAAGTTTCAAGAAAAAAGAAAAAGCATTGTCATGCTGCTCCAATTACTCAGTTTGAATTTGAAAATGGTGATCTCACAACTGTTGGTATGGATGAGCTGTACTGTGCTGCTTCTCTTAGTCTGATTGGTCTGATCAGTCTTGTCTTGGCTGTCACTGTCTGTGATGTACCTGAAGTCACCTCCCCCCTTCCACCTTCTGAGCCCACTCACATCATTCTTGTGTGTTTCTTTTCTACAAGTGCAACCCCTTCCTTTTGCTCTGGGATAGGAGCCTGTTTATTGGTTGGTTTATGCTTGATCCACTTTGTGTCTAAAGTCCAGTGAAGATGCACGCTGAATTCTGTTTCAGTCTTGCTGTTGGTGCCATATTTTGCTATGTAAGTTTGGAAATTTAAGTTTTCAAGCTGCCAGTCAGACTGTTGAGGCAAAGGGCCCTTATCATACATGTCATTGATTTGTGTCCTATATTTTCTTCAGCATGTATATCATGTTGTTACTCATGCAAGTATAATCTGGTTAAGTAGGAGGTTTTGTTGAAAAAAAGTTAGTAATTTTTCTTATTGTATTTGTGAGTACTGTATCTTATGCAAATTATGTGTGACTTCCTGTTATGCAAAGGGGAAACTTTGTTTGCCATGTAGAACATTGTTTAATTATTATAGTTAGTTTGCCAAGGACCTGATTGGTGTAGCTAAAGTGCTACCCTTAGCAGGACCACAGTCATAGCCCAATTCTTGTACTAACTGCTTTGTTCAAGTGTGATCCACATTGTTGGCACACTCTTCATATGTAAATTTCTTGTTATAATTTTTCCTATATTAAATATATTTTTTGTTCCTCTATTTATGTTTTCTTTGCTATATGCATAGTTTTAGTTCCTTGCTGGCTAGATTTGATGGAAAGTGATTGAGCTTTTATAACTAGACATATACTTATTATATCCAGACACCCTGTCCAACTTGGGAGCATGAAACATACAGCTGAATTAGAGGCAATAAAATAGGTCAAAATAGGCCAAGCATAAGGTAATAGGAAACAAGAAGTTCTGGGAAGGGGTATCACCTATTTTCCTTTGATATGACATGGACCCAGCAGAAAATGACTCCAACAATTCTTCATTGCTGCAGAACGTTTTCACTGAGTGCTTACCTAGCATTGACAGGGGGGTACACTTTATCAGGTCTTTGCCTAGCTAAGTCAAGGGGTACACACACACACACACACACAGACTGATGGAAGGGATTTATGATGTATGCCGTTGAGATGGGCTCAGGTATCATGATATAATTACTAAGTTTCATAAAGATTTGTTCAGGCGTTCAAAGTTAATATGTGAGCACTGGCAGAAACAAAGATAGCATGGATATAGCACAAGCCTACTTTCATGTTTCAGAATAAGAAAAGGAAGCTAAAGAATTGAGTTTAAGTGGCAGGCTGGTTGTTGTTATGATTTATTAATTCTGTTCAGCTTAATTTCTTTGGCTGTTGTTTGCTATTTCCTCTGTACTGCAATAACTGAGCAAAATTTCCAGAGCTCCGAAAGCCAATTACTGAATGCTGAACGTGAATTTAGTCATAGATCAAAATTGTTTGGTCACCACTGGAGACTACATACCTTTTTTGACCCCTATTGTTAGATTTATTACTTCTGTCTATTAGTAACTACTATTATTGCTGCTGCTAGCACAATTCCTAGTACTACCACTACCATGACCATCAATATGGAACTGTATAAAATAAACTCCACATAATACATTTTCTTTGAAAACATAGTCTTTTTAAGTTCCATCTACAAATCTCTAGTGTCAGCATTTCTATTTGGAGATTTCTGTGTTCAAAAGTTGGAGAGATAATAGATTACGCAATTCACAGTCACTTAGTGTGAACTAACATGAGAGTGTGGTCACATGAACGTGAGAGAAATGGGGAAGAAGTGGTCATGGCCTATCTCAAGGTACTGTCCCAGTATCTGCATGGAGGGACTGAGGATACAAGAAAGCCTTCAGTAAGGACAGTTGGTGCCCTGGCCAATGTTCAAACCATGTGTCACCTGAACGTAAGAAAGAAGTACTATTATTTCAGTCAGCTTTCCTAGCGATGACAACTCCTTGATAGGAATTCTATAGCAACTGAACATAAGTACTTTCATTACAGGGTTAGATGGGTTTGTAAAGATGTGGTACTTTGAAACAATTGATGCAGTAGATCCACCAGAAGAAAACCGCTTTTTTGAGCTAGAGCCAATGATGGAGATTGAAATTAAGGATGCTGACAATCAAGCTGCTCTCATGTGTGTTGTCAAGATCTCAGAAGATCCTGAAGACACCTTCTGGTATGGTCAGGTATGGGCACAAACAAGTGACATAATGCATGTTAAGGTTCCAAAGGATTAGATCTCAAATATTCTCATTATTGTTGGACATTTAATATTGTGGCATGTAGACCCACTGCTAGACAGTGATTGCTAAACAAGTATCGGCTCCACACACGAGCATGATTCCATGGCAAACAATTGTACTGCAACAGAGGAACAGTGTTTTCTATGTGGTCTGTGCCAACATGTTAGAAACAGGACAGTCAGTCAGTTAGTGAAGCGATTGTTTTGTGAGTGAATGAGTGAGTGCAGTTCAGTCATTGTGAGCTGTTGCTGTGAGAAGCTGGTAGCTGAGGCCAGGGATAGTTCGGGAACCCAGAGGAAGGGGTACATCCATCACCAAGCAACTCAGTGAAGAACGTGACTGAGGACACTAGTCTGTGTGTGACAGTGATTTGTAAAGTGTAGGCATGAGTTGTGTGTTAAAGTGTCCAATAGATCTGATCACCAATCCAAACCCTATCTATAGTCACTCCATACACCACTGAACAACTGAACAATTGAACACCTGAAAATATTATGAAATCTGCTTCATACTCTTATAAACAGGTGTGGTACCTGTGACCGTTAAGTAATGTTAAGTAATGTATTCAACAATACAGAGTTTCATTAAGAAAACCTAATGAAAAAAGAGCACTAGGAAAACCTACTCACAGATAGGAAGATAATATTAAAGTGGATCCTAAAGAAATAGGTTGCAAGGATGTGGACTAGATTCATCTGACTTAGAATGGGGACCAGTGGTGGGCTGTTGTTAACACAGTAATAGACCTTTGGGTTCTATAAAATGCTGAGATACACCAATATGAAATAAAATAATATTAAATATATCTATTAAAATGTAAGCATGGAATAATGGAGATTGATGTATCTCCTGTAGCCTCACATACTGAACTACTATCCTAACACTTCGCGCAGGACATCCCATGCTAATGACTAGACCATTGTACAATATCCATAATATCCATTAGATCAGTGTTTCCTGAAAGTTGTTCTGTGGAACTCTGTGTCTCCGCTAAGTGAAAATAGGGATGCAGCAAGAAAATTTCATAACAGTATAAACATTATAATTTAGATATTATTATAAATTTTCATTAAAAATATTAATTTTTAAGCTTCTATAGCTTAAGAATGTTACTTTCAAAGGAAGAAATTAATAAACTAAATTGTGTTTTTGACTCAGAAGAAGAAACGTGTAATTCATCAGCTTATACCGTTAGCCAGGGCATACTTATGCAAAACTGTATTTTCGAATTACACAGCAACAAAAACACAATACAGAAATAGAAGAAATTTGGTGCCAGATTTGAGAATAAAGCTTTCCAATGTCAAGCGAAACATAAAACTAATTTGTGAGGAAATGAAGAAAAGCCACTCTTTTTGTTTAAAAATATGTGCTATCAAATAATGTATTGATCTCATTGCCTTTTTTAACATTTATTTATCATTATCCTTAGTTATTTATGGTCTAGTCTTGTAGCTTCATATGTAGGAATTTTATTCAGGATTTTGCAAAAACATTTTTAGTGCAACAGAGTTCCATGGCCAAATTAAATTGGGAGACACTGGTTTAGACTAATGCTTTGGCCTGTCCAACATCCATGCCTGTTTTATGGTGCTGTAAGATGAAATTAAGAGATGATGATGCATTTAACAATCAATAAAATAATGTAATGATATCATACTGACCACAATTTAACAGAACAGTGAAATCTATCATTGAAAGTGAATCAAAGGTTTCTCTCTCTTCACAAATGTTTCGTTGATAAAAGGTTACAAGTTTTCACTGTCATGAAGATTCATACTATGGTTTTCTGGGTTGAGATGCCGCGTAGTCTGATATATGCATAACACTGTTTCAGAGGAAAATATTCCCTTCAACTACAGGGTAGAACTCAACTTGATACTCACCCACCAAACTACATGTTGTCATAACCAACAACTTGAGTGATGAATCGTTGCTTTAGTTTGTACCATACTATCACCAGTATTTACTCTGATACACAGAGAGCCAGGATATTTCATTCAGTACAGTCACAGGCTAGTGACTGGACAGATGATAAAACAGGACTCAATTCCCAGCAGGAACAAGAGACATTTCTGTTATCCACAGTGTCAAGAGTGGCTCTAGGGCCCACCCAGTGGGTATGAGGGTCTCTTTCCCTGGGGTCAAAATGGTCCAGGTGTTGATCACCCAGCTCATCCAGTGCCAAGGTTAAGAATTCGTGGAACTATAACTCCATTCCATCATACATCTTCATGGGGGGTATGCAGAATTAGTGAAATAGTGACAGCTCTATGTTTTTTTTACCTTTCTGCACATGTACCACAAAGTTTGCTGCCAAAAATTATCTTTTTTTTGGGGGGACAGAAAACTGATGTTGAGCTTTAATAAAATTACTCAAAAGAAATATCTGGAATAAGAGGATTCCTGATGTCAGCTTATAATACCTATTGCTGTGTGGTTGGCCTCCAGCCAATGCTTTCTCAGCAGACCACATCTGCATTCTTTGCATTTGTAGTGCCCTTCTACTCCTGGGTGAGAACACCTGCCCTAAAGTCTTCACTTAGAAGCATTTCTGGCATGGTATAAATGATATGTGAACATTAGTAGATAACTGAAACCAAGAGATTTAATTCTGTTACAGGATGCCAACGGTGGCATATGGAAATTTGACTTGAACATCAAGAGCTCTCTTCGGCAGTCTCCCGAGCAGCTATTGATATGTCACGCAGGACCAGTAATGGACATGGCCGCTTCACCTGTGGATGAACATCTTGCAACACTTGGAAAGGATGGCAGACTCTTCATTTACAATTATCTTGAAAAGAAACTTCTCCTTGTTAAGAGATTTCCTGCACAGGGCTCCTGCCTCCTCTGGCTGCCACTGCATGTAAGCCACATATAATATAGATGTAACCACTTTTGCACTCAAAAGAGAAATTGGAGGGGGCACAATTAAATATTGGAGAACACAACAATTGAAATAAATGTTACATTTCTGGACATTATCCATCATCCTGTTTTTATTATAAAACCTAATGTTTCGGAGACTGGATTCTGTCTCTGTCTTCAGGTAATCAGTTGGTCCCTATCTCCGGGCACCTGTACCTGAGTCTGAGTCTGAGTCTGAGTCACGTTGCAACTGACGGTCAGTCAGTCTGTCTGTCTTGGTGTCGAGCCCCAGCTGGGGCTCATGACCAGATATTTCTTTAGATGAAAGTTACTGTCTTGTCTATGTGTAGCGCCCTCTCTGACGAGAGGTCGGGTCTGTCATTTGTTAGTCAGTCTGTAATAATTAGTCCATTGTCTGTATTTACACATATTTACAATACACACTTATTTCTTATATAAATGTACAATATTTACACGGCCTCTGTCAGTCCAGGCTAGGTACAGCAGATTATGCCCTTTTATATATATAAATAAATATCCTAGTAGTATTAGCTACCACGGCAGTCTAGTCACTTGAACGGTCGTATGCCTGACCGCCGCCAAGTTTAAGCCTCTTATACTTTTTGTGTCGGGCTTCGCCTTGTCCGATGTTGCGAACATTCTCATTATCATGATTTTGTATGACTTCTGCTTGTTGCCTGCATAATTTTGTTATGTAATCATATACGTACGGAATTTTGAATGCCATGTGCAAATCGCGGACCGGTGTGCGCCTTGGAAAATTGCCAATCGTGCGGAGAACCTTGTTTTGCAGGCGCTGCAATTTCACTAGATGAGTGTCTGCCGCAAACTCCCAGGCGGGACTAGCATAAGTCATTACGGATCTAATAAGAGCTTTATGGAGGGTCAGTTTAATGTTAGCGCTCAATCGCTCACTTTTGAATAGGGAGTACACTCTAATGAATGTTCTGAAGGCCTTGGCTTCGATCATTTCTATGTGTAATCTCCAAGTCACTTTCTTATCGAAGATTACACCTAGATATTTTGCACTATTTACAAATGGAATGTTTCTTCCATTTAGAGTAAGACAAGACTCAGGCGGTCGACGACCACGAGAGAAGTAGACCCCCCGAGTCTTATCTTCATTAATTTTTATATTCCAGCGCTCACACCAGGTCTCCATTGAGCTGAGACCGCGCTGGAGTTTTCTAACAATAAAACCCTCTTTGCGATCTGTCGCATACAGACAGGTGTCGTCTGCAAAGAGGGCCAGGTGAACGCCCTGTGTATGGGGGGCATCATTTATATACAAATTAAAGAGAGTAGGGGAAAGAACAGAACCTTGTGGCACCCCTGCTTGCATTTCCCTTGGCGTTGACATTTCGCCTTCAACAGAGACCCTGAATTTACGTTTAGAGAGAAAGGACCCAATAAGCTTGGTCAAAGAGTTGGGGAATTCCAATTTTGATAATTTAAACAGCAAGCCTGAGTGCCACGTGGTATCGAAGGCTTTTTCGATGTCCAAGAACACTGCAGCCGTAGACATTTTATTGTTGAAATTAAGGGTCACGTGGTCCGCCAGCCTCATACATTGCAATGTCGTGCTGTGACGTGCACAAAAACCAAACTGACTTGCGTTGAGCAGGCCTCTTTCTTCAATATGTTTACGGAGGAACTTTAAAATTACTTTTTCGAATAGTTTTCCTGTCATGGACAGGAGGCTGATCGGACGTAAATTTTGAGGAAATTTTCGGGTCTTTACCTGGTTTAGGTATAGTTATTATTTTTGCTTCCTTCCAAGTATTTGGAAAGTGAGAGAGCCGAAAACAGTGATTGAATAAGTGAGTTAGGTGAACCAATGGGCACCTGTACCAAAGCCAGATAAGATATAGAAGCGAAGCACAGCACAAACCATCTGTGAGAGCTAAGACAAAACATTTTAATATTAAAAAATTCCACATGTATGAGGCCTAGCACAAGAGAACTGATAGCCTGCATAAATAAAATAATTAATACATATAAATTGATAATGAATGACCAAGTTCATTTTATAATATATAATTTGATAGAAAAAGTATTTAATTAATATTAAAATTCATTATTACTTAGCTTTTCAGATATTTCAAGTCATTTTTATAAGTTGAGGAGCTCTCAGAGCTTGTCATTCACATCAAGGGAGTCTCAGATAAAAAGAGTCTTGGAGCCATTATCTTAAATGGCTAGGCAGAGACAGCAGAATAAGGGATACAAATTTATTTCTGAACAGAGAGGAAATAATTTTTCTAGAAACCAGAGCATTCTGTGTTCCTTCAGGACTTTCTAAATGACATGTATAGCTAACTTTAACATCAGAATCTGTTGACATGATTTTCATCTTGATCTTCGAAATTAAATCAAATACACATTCTAATTTCTGATATTCTTCCTCAGTTATAGCGTCATGTTTATGTCCAGAGGGAATTTTTTTCTTCCCTGAGGATGGAGGCAGAATGTTCATCTGGACTGTTGATAACCACTTATCAGACTCTAAGGTGTCATAACCTACAAAACCACAATATGTAACTTACATCTACTTATCCCTAGGCTTTTCAGTTCGCAAGGAACTTCAGCCTTCTTCATGGCAAATTCTCATTCTTCTTTATAATTTGGCATTTTCTTTTGGTCTCTTTACTTACAGCTCCCATAAATCATTCTCTACATCTTCCAGTAATATTTGTCTTGGTTTTCTGATTATTCTTCAACTTTCTGACTTACTTACTTACTTGCTAATGGAGCTGAGCCCTTCTTGAGGAGCCGCCAATTCTGCAGCTACTCAAGAATTTCCCAGCATTTTATGGAACCCGAAGGTTCATCACCGTGTTCACAAGAGCCCTCCACTGGTCCCTATCCTGAGCCAGATCCATTCAATCCATACCATCCCATCCTATCTCTCTAAGATCCATTCTAATATTGTCCACCCACCTACGCCTTGGTCTTCCATGTGGTCTCTTTCCTTCTGGCTTTCTCACCAATATCCTATATGCATTCCTCGTCTCCTCCATTCGTGCTACATGACCTGCCCACCTCATCCACCTTGACTTGATCATTCTAATTATACTTTGAGAACAGTACAAGTTATGAAGCTCCTCATTATGCAGTTTCCATGTTAGGTGGGTCCCTGTCACCACGGCATGGCGCATCCTCAGGTTGTGGATGGAGGAGACGACCTCCAGTTTTGGAGGGAAGCTGTGAATATACTGAATAAGCAGTCGCGGACAGCCGACAAGGGGTGCCCCCCTCTTGGGGGTTGGGCGTGGAGGTGACAACTCCTCACCGTAAAAAATCAGTATGTTACGAAAATAAACACAAAGCCTCAACTTTCTGACTTACTTTCAAAAATTTTCTTCTCCAGCCTTCTTTCATCCATTCTGATCACATGTCCCAACCACTCTTTCATAAATGTTATCAGACAAGGGGGTTTTACATAATTCCATCAGTTCTCCAAACGCCTTGTTCAGTTACTGGTTCATACACCTTCAGAATTTTCCTGTCTTACATTTATAATATATCTTTATTAATCTCTATCTTATACCAGTTAATCGTTTCTACTTACATAGGCGTACAATACAGAAAGTGTACTGGTTGCTGGATTTGGTGATGGCGTAGTACGAGTTGTGGTTGTTTCCTTAGAAGAAATGAAGACTGAGCCAAGCTCAAAGGAAGAATTCATAACATTAATTCAGGCTACAAAACCACATTCTAAACCAATTACAGCAATGAGCATGAATGGTGAGGGAAACGTGTTGGTTACTGGAAGTGAAGATTGTACAGTGTTTGTGTATCAGATTGCACAGAGCTTAAGATACATCTCACTGGTACCTATAGGTTTTGTGACCATGCCCAATGTGGTTACATTCCTCAGCTGGAAACCTCATGCAGTACGTATTATTTATGCTTTCTGTATAATTGTGTCATGTATGAGACCTGAGCTCCAGTTATTTCAGTTACAGTCCCTCTTTCTGGAAGTCACAGACGAAGCAAAATAACCGGTTTTAAGCCCGTCAAAAAAAAAAAATGTGCTTATGCTGTGTACTATTGCATACTGCAGAAAAATCACTGTTAATTTCATTTCATTTCATTTTATTATCATTCAACAATCCATACACACAGGTATTACAACCATTTGAATAAGGAAATTGTCAGTTTTACATCTAATTCTCATGCATATCTTTACAGTGTACATTGCACCACCCTAATATAGGAGGTTTGTCTTCTGAATAATGTTATCTAGATCTAGTTACCATTAATTTCATTGTCTTTACACAAATACAACAAATTAATCAGCTATATATTACATTTACACACTTGATGAATCAAAAGACATAAATTCATCTACAGAATAAAAGGAATGTTTCAGCAAAAAAAGATTTTAATTCCTTTTTAAATGAGTTAAAATTTCCCCTTTGTTTTATTTGATTGGGGACCTTATTATACAAACTAATTCCCATATTATCCATTCAGTTCACCCTTCTTGGTGCTGACACACTCAGTTTTCCCTCACTGTGATCCATGCTTGATGGATGTGAGAGTCTGTAGTGTATAAATTTTTAAAGAAATTTAAATTCCTAATTCATAAGATTTCCAGTAGACAGCCTGAAATTTGGCCACCTTGACATTTTGTATGTGTGGCACACACTCACACTTACTTTTCTTGTGTAAGTTAATAAGCAAATATATTTACATGTGTCTATGTGTGCATGTGTGAGACTTGAGGTTCTGCTGCTGGTGACTGTGCAGATTACTACTGTCTTCTGTGATGTGTCACACAGTCATCTAGTGGGAAGGGATTGCTATTTCAGAGGAACCTGCTGTCTACATCTTCAGGTTCCTCCAGAAGCAGAATTTGCAGTACTTTACTGTTTCATGCACTATTACGTAGCTTTGAATTAATTCTTAAACCCATATTTGAGTTACATTGATCCACTAATAACTAACTTCCTTGCTTTGTGACCAGCCAAGTGCTGGCTCAGAGATGAAGTTCCAAACTTAATTAACTGTAAAGAATGCCATTGGGAATTTTATGAAATGTAGCCTTTTGAATCTTGTTCACATTCTGTACCTGATTTTTCAACACTGCCTGTCACAGATGAGTACACTGCTGGTGTCCTGCTGTGCTGGAACATTTGTGGAAGTGATCCTTCCAGAATATCCTCAGGAATATACAGATGTTTCCTTCCACCTGGTGAAAACCAAAACAAAGAACATCACATTCCAAAGTTGCAAGTCACAGATCCGCAGGGACATGAACTTGAAAGAAAGAGAGGAATGGAAGTTGAAGAAACTAGAAAGAGAGAGAGAAGAGATGGACAAAACCAAGAAAGAGAATCTTGGAACAGATATTGATGAAGAAACATTTCTAGGTATATTTAATTATATCAGTATTGGTAGGGCAGAGCTTTCCAATTCTGCCAGTAGGCAAGATGTGGTAATGTAATGAAAGTGAAGCAGGTGAATTTGGATAGATTAGCAGATGTCTTGATATGTGAATAGGGAAGCTATTGCCTTGATAAATGAGCATATATTGTAATATATTTATTTATATATATGTGCAAAGTGTATATAAAACTCACGTTGTGTTCATTAACTATAACTAAGATTAACACGTTTTCTGCCTTACTTTTTATAAATAATTGTTAAGTGAAGAGCTTGGTGCAGCTTTTATTACAAGAGATAAGTGCTTCTGTTGTGTGTGACCTGCCTCCACTCTTCAAATCACCTCCGTCCCTTCCAGCACTTAATCTTTTCATATTTGTCCCCTTTCTGTTTCATCACATGATTAATTAACTTCAATGCCATTCATTTTAGTTTTTTAAAAATCGTTTTCTTTTGACAAATAATTCAGTTATTTCTTAGATGTCATTATAAAATTAAAATAAGAAGATCATAAGAAATAGTACTATCACAACATATATACAAATCAAAGCATTCCTGTACTATTATCATCGGTACTCTGCTGAAATGTCCTCTTTCTGTCATCAGGTGGTTCAGAATGTGAAGAGGAGTTGGCACCACTGTATGTTCCTGAAGTGCCCAACACAATTCTCTTTGCTCTGTACACTCCAAAGGATACAATATGGCTCTCTGTAGCTGGCTATGATGCAGGTTACATGTATGAATTTGACATGGATAAGAAGGAACCTGTGTGTTGCACTGTGATAGCAGATGCTGATAATATTGAAATTTACAGCTACCTCTTCAAGTAAGTGTTGAGGGCAGCACTGTACTGAAGTCCCGCTGATCTCCCTCAAGCTCTTCTGCTTCCCCTCTAGCTTATCCTATTTTCCTTCTGCTCACACAGATGTTGATAGTGGTGCCCCCATCTGATGACAAATTCCACTGCACTCAATGAAAAACAGCTAGATTTTCTCATAAATTTATCGTGAAATTTCCAGAGGCTATAATGAAAACTGCTACCAGTGTTGAACTTCTTCAAATAAGAGTCAAGGAAACAGTAATAATAATATTGTTATGTAGTTTGTGTTACTATAGACAGGGTGTGGATTTGTGAATAGATTGGCCACTTATACACACAACTCATAAGTACTAGTAGTTACAGCGCCAACACTAATCACCACAGCACCTGCTAAGCCTTTTCCAGCCTGCTGTGTCTTCACCAGCCGTTCCCTGGGAACGACTTCTAACAGCTTCAAATGCTCACGCCATTCCCGGCTGGCCACCATCTCACAACTTAATTTAAACTGACCATGTCCCTTGCTTATAATATCTCAGAACAGACCATGCAGAAACATCCTGTTCCCTTTGCTATAGTCCAGCTGTTGCTGAAATTGAAGGAAGCAACAGAGTAGCTGCAAGGAGTCAAGAAACATACAGACAACTTGCATTGTGTATAAAGGCCATTCTACATAACTAGCACTGAATGTCTTGGCCAGGTGGGTAGCATTTCTAGTTCATATTCAGGAGATCCCAAATTCAAATCTCAGCCTGGTGATTAGCTGACCTGACTGATGTAATACATACCCCCAGGGAGATTCCTGGTACTCATTTCTGTTAGTGGCTGTGCTGACCCCAGGGCCATAATGCGGTTGGATGGCTTAGGTCAATTCAAAACTCCAATGATATCATCAGGAATCGAACCCATGACCTTCCAGCTTGTAGCATAGTGTCTTAACCAACTATGCTACCACTGGTAGATTCAAAGCCAGAAATCCATGCAGATGCATTTACATCAATAAACTTTAATCTCATATATTTCTCTTCTCTCTGATGCATGCTAATATCTTCATTTCTAACTTTATATCTCCATGCCACTCATATACTGGCCTCAGAAATCACATGTGCACAGCCTCTAAATTTTTCCTGTCTTGGGATCTTAGAATCCATGCCTCATTTCCATATTTGATCGCTAGTTTAGGCACTATATTATGATGTCATATTTTTATAGTTATGAATTAATACACATATTAATTTTAAATCAAACTTTTCATACAGCCACAATAAGAAGTATCTAATACTGGGCATGCAAAATGGACAAATCCGAGTGAATCGCGTTAATCCAGACAACCATGCAGACTTGTCTGATTACTGGCTCTACTCCATGCACGATAACACAAATGGAAGAATTCGCCGCATGTGTTTCAACTATGATCACCATTTCATGTTCAGCTGTGGAGATGATGGCAATATCTTTTCATATCACGTGAACTTTGAAGATGAATATGATTATATCATACCCTCGAAGGAACATATTGCATCTCCTGGAATTGTAAGTCTGGATGATTTTCATGCTATTAAGTATTACATTTGAGCCAGGGGGAAGAATGAATATAGGTGATGGAGCTTCAAGCTGACTACTTCTTCCCCCACCATACCTACTCTGAAATCTTCTGCCTGAAAAATGCAGGCATGCCTGCTTGTCATTCATAGTTGTTTACCCAATTTTTATTCGTTATTGTTATTGTTGTTAATACAATATAAGAAATTTTATAGTATATACTATAATTAATTTATGTCAGTAGAAATTCATAATATCTCCAGATGTCCAAAATAACAAATCAAGAATGCAAATTAGAGAGCCTGTGGAAAGATGTAGAGCCAGAATCCAGAAATCAGTTTGTGGGACTGGGGAAAGGCATACTGAAGGGAAGTAGCTGTTAAGTATATTGCTGGGGGAGACTCTGTATTCATTCTTTCCCTTAACTGACTTCAGTTTTATTTTTTCAAATTTAATAGACTATAATTGTGCTAAATGTGGTGATGCACACCTGAGTCATTAATGACTCAAAAGAATGAAAATGATGCATATTTCATGATGTTAAAAGGAAAAAAAAAATTGCAAACTCTAAAGGACTGGTTTTCAGATGACCAAAATATCTGTCACATATTTTTATACCATTGCTTATCAAACTGAAATGTATCCACTATTATACTAGAATTGAATTATCACTGGCATGTCTTCTCAACATATGTAATACATATAATACTTATTAAAACCGTTACATGTTTCAACCATTCTTTTTCATTGTTAAGTTGTAAACAATTATAATACACTTGACACTATTTTATCATGTTTTCTTGTAGGTTACCTTATTTGGATGGATCCATTTCAACTTGGTTTACACTGTGTTATACAACTAAGAATTCTGATTGTGAGATTTGATAAGATTACTGAAAATTACTGGGTTTTCGGACTTTGTCCATTGTCCAGTGTTCCAAAAACTAAAAAACACAACGTTTCAGAAACTAAATCTGTTTCCATTCCCAGGTGAGGGAGGAGCCCCTACTGTGTTGGTCCCTTTAGAAAGGGCTAACCTCAGTCACTTTTCTAAGGGACCCAACAGAGTAGGGCCTCCCCCCTCACCTGGGAACAGAAACAGATCCAGTTTCCCAAACATTTTTTCCAGTTTTTGGAACACTGGACATTAATTAATGCCATCTGTGAGGCACTAATGGTAGATATGTCATCTGTGAGTAAAATATATAATGCCGCAATGTTTTCCACATGAGCTAGTGTCCCCTACACAAACATCGAAAGGAAATATGTATTAGCTGGTTTTTTTATGTAAGATGCTTTTATATTTTACAGTCTGCTCCATCTGAAAATGAAAGCTTGTACTTTTGTGTACTTTCATGTTATGCAGTCTTGTAATTTGCAGATGATTGCTCAGATACAGTGAAAATAATTTTCCATGTAACCTTCTGACCATGATCATAGGAATTCAAACACCTTCTTTACAAAATTTCAGCCAATTCAAGAGAAAGTTTCAGACATTGAAGACATAAAATATCTAAGTCTGGAAGAAACAAAAGCCAAGGCTGAGCATGACAAAAGGATAGCAGCAGCCAATCAGAGAAAACAGAAAGTTCTCCAGAGATTAGAAGAACTCAAAATTAAATTTGGGGATATTATCTCCAGGTAAAAAAAAATGGCAGTAATTTTTTAGTTTGTGTCATTTACTTTTGAGATCATAATATGAAGACGCCTTTTTTTTTTTGTGGGAATCATGTTATACAAAGAACAGGATATGCAAAACTCTAACTTGGATATCAAATCTGGTCTCTTGCTTTTAAGGAAGAACACATATTGAGTCCTAAGGAAAATATTTGGACTTCTGTGGTAACATGCTGATGGGAATGCAATGGATATCTCATTAACACTCCATCTCTCACACATCTGTACCCTGGCCTGTCCATTCGTTGCAAAACAAAACAGGCGAGGCTGATAGGACAAAAGAATTTTGTCTTAACATGACTAGCATGCCCAGGCTTAGGCATGAAAATAACTCTGACAACCCTCCAGAAAAGTGGAACATATCTGAGTGCAATACAGGCTTTAAATATTTTCACGACTTGATAAATGTGACCTCCAGACTCTCTTGTTAAGAAATGTGAAAATTCAGTCTTCTAATTGTGTTTTCTAGGCATTAAAGTTGGAAACTGCCCACCCAACTTTGCTGTAGGACACTACCTGTCCAGCCAGCGTGTAGTCTCTGGCCTCTTGATATATGAGCCCAAGTAAGGTCCCTGAGCAAATCCACCTTCATTTATCGCTTTAGAGTCAGGAAAATGACTTTCCAGCATAAGTTCACTGCTTTCTCTCCTGAGGATGTATATTCCCTTGAAGGAAGCAACATGACCCTGAACATAAATCTGGGATCATCTGCAAGGATTTTATGGGTTTTATGGTTTAGTGGAATGATGAAAAGACTGGGTTGAGAGAGTCCCATGGTATTGCAGTCTCAAATGGACATCCTTTGGCATGTCCTGATGATAATGCGGAGTGCTCATGGGATGATAACTGACATGAAAAAACTGAAGTGGTTGGAGAAAAAACTTCCACTTTATCCATCACAAATCCCTTGTGGACTACCTCAATACTGAGTTTGGGCTTCTGCAGTTAGAAGCATGGCCATGGAGGTACTAAATGGTTAGAAAATGTTTCACATGGTACTCAACCAATAGCTATCAGACCAAAGGTTTTTCTTGAGAACACTCAGTTATATACAAATACAAACATGCATTTTATAGGATTCTGCAATGCTTACTCAGTGCACTTTTCTGTCAGAAGAATACTTTGCAGGATATGCTACAAAATGTATTTATGCCCTTAAGTAATGTGGGCCAAGCGGCCTCCGTAGTCTAGGGGTAATGTTCCCACCTCATGACTTAAGGTACGTGGGTTCAAACCCAGCGGAGGTCGTGGAATTTTTAAGGGCAGAAAAATTCAGGGAACAAGTCCTCTGGGAGGGACTTTAAGCCGTGGGTCACGTGTCGTAGCTTTATGGCACGTAAAAGAACCTCATGCCTCAAGGAGGCCTCTGAGCCAAATTATAAGGATATTTCCCACCCAACAATAGTCTCTAATGCCTCTGGTAGATGGGGGAAGCATCTAGATACTGCTGAGCCAGTAGAGGCTGAACTCGCTGGCTGAGTTGAGACTGATGGCATNATTCTTTATTATTAATGTGCCGAGTCAACAGCCGCAAGGCCAATTACAGACACAGCACAGTGCAGAAGAATGAATGACATTATACACAATCTTATTAAAAGTCGAATACAAATTACAATAATAATGAATAAAGTAAAAGTAAACAAACAAATAGCTGATAATTATGACAGTAATAATAATTTCATTATCATTAAACTAAGTGTTATTACGAATTCAGTGATAATAATAGTAATGTGGGCCTTTGATACCCACACATTATAAATCTTCTATAACAGAGGGATCAAATTGCATCAAAATCAGACAAGGAACTAAAAAATTATAGTTTGATTGTTTCATTCTGGTCCGTCACACTAACAATTACAAACAGGAACAGTGAAAACAGCACAGCAGCTACGAGCAAACCCTGGACGATATAAAGAACCTCCATATCAAGAGAGCTAGGTGGCACAATATCTGCCCCATATAAGAGGGACGATGGGAGGACGAACACGAGCCTGCATGGTTTACGAATTTTAATTATTGACAATACAAAAAAAAATTTGATTAGCATCAAGAAATTTTATACAATTTTTTAAAAAACTTTACATTCCCAGGAAACTGCTGTGTTTGTGAAATGTTCTATTTTGTGTACTATGTATTGTAGCATATAAGTGTACGTACTTTACGTCTAAACAACTTATGTGATGGTGGTTTCCTATTTGTAGTGATGTTTGCCCTCTGAAGATGGTCCACAGAGACCGAAACATGTAAGGGTGTTAAGTTTTCATGTAGTAAAAAACTTACAGGTCGCATTGGACGGAGTGATTTATATTTGTAAAAAATTATACATAAATTCAATTAGGCCCTCAAAATGAAATGAAGCAAATGCATGAGAAAGCAAACAGGCATTTAACACTGACAGAACTGCCATATGTACACTTTTGTTATATCTAAGAATTTAAATAAGATACATGAGAGATAAGATTTGGGGTTCTCACAGCAGTGAATACTGAGATTAGTCTTCTGGAATGTGATACCCTGTAGTCTGGTAGAAAGATATCAGACCATATTGGTGCCATGTGCCACAACACCATAATGTATATAAAAGTTCTTTCATGCTGCTAAGTAGAGAGACCCTTAAAATATTTCACAAAATTTTGTATGTCTGTTACACTCAGTTTGAATAAAATCAGTTTGGCAGTTTGAATACTGTTACTAGCAGATGGACAGAGGTTGTCATTGCTATGAGAAGCTCAAATCTCATTGTGCTTTATGAGAAAACTGTTTCATTGTGTACTTAACTGTGCATCTGTCACCGAAGTTATACATGTATACAGGAACATGAGGTTGCCAGAGTCTCAACGGATTCCTAGGTGTGACCTGGAAATACATCCAGACATTACAAAAGATTTGGATGGCACACTTGAGCAGGAAATCGATCTTGTGAAACAAAAGTTTGCTTTTGAAGTGGAGAAGAGTAGACTGGGGCTACAGAAACTTCAGGATTACTTCATAAATGTGCTAGATTCTATGACAGTCTATGTCTGTAGTATCAGGTAAAGTCCCTCTCAATGTATTTGTCATTTTAATGGATATAACTTTTTCCTTGAAGCATTCATACATAAATTAGGTATAAAATAATGATCTCCAGTAATGACAAGACATTTTCACTGCTCTGAATTGTAATTCACAGTAAATGACTTATTTTCATACCAAGACAAAAGTTGTTTAATATCTTTAGAACAATGACTAATAAAAAAGTATTACAATTGTTAAATTGAAGAATATCTTGTAATGGTATATGCTCTAAACAGTGTTACTGTAGGCATAATTATAGACGTTTCTTCTATAAATGAGCCTGTACTGGGTCTGTGCTGCTTCACTATGGCAACATATATGCACAGTGTCTGGCAGGCTAGCACATGTTAATACAAACACTGATATCAAGAAGTTGAAACCCAGTCAACAGCACCCATAATAGAGACAGGTCCAGTTCTCTATTTCCAGATGATTAAGGTTAATTACTTCTTAAAAATATTTCAAAGGAGATGGATATAAAATTTGTAAACCAAATGATAAAAATCACATGGCGTCTGGCTATACAAGTGTTCTATATCATCATCATCATTGTTGTCATCGTCAACATAATCACCATCGCCACCACCAGCCAATATTCAAGGAGTCAGGCCACTTACTGACCCATGTTGACCTCATCCATCCACTGATCTCCTCAGAGGTCTTCTACCTTGAACTATATGATTTATTTTTAATGGCTTAGAATGTCTGTTTCTTGTCATCCTGTTAACATGTTGAATCCAACTGGTTTCATATATCAATTTCTTTTTCAGCATGAGTTCTGTTTTAACTATTTTATTATGCCTTCATTTATTTCATGGTCCTCCCAAGTGCATTTCACCATTTGTTCCACAAATTTCATTTTAGTATTTTGTATGTAATTGATTATGTAAATGGTGATTCACTTGGAGGAGGCCACAAATTAACAATTATAAATTGTGCAATAATTCACTAATGAAAATGAAATGAAGCAACACTGAGCTTGTGCTTACCTGCCTGGTTCACGCCGTTTCTGCAGCTGCTGCAATCCCTCCTGACCCACTAGCTGTGACAATTGTCAGCATGAAACATCTTGTCATTCTGTGGAGGGTAACTAATTTCAGTATCTTCACTTACATCAAGGCATGTACTCATGTACTCACAAGGTTTCGCTTTCATTAGTAAAACACATACACACCTGGATGCACATTTACATGCAATTGTACATGTATGTATATGTATGTGTGTGTACCCTTTTTACCTGCCTCTTATATAGCCTTTCAACAGCTGTTGCTGCTGTTATTTACTTATCTTCACATACCTCCTGTTCTGTCAATTTCTCCTTGGTGCTGAAGATCACAGCCACTTCCTCTTAAAATGTTTTACAACTGCCCAAGCAAAGGAAGTCATACCGATCCTTCAAGAAATAACCCTTACCTATGAGAGGAGTGGTGGAAGGGGCAACTGTGACAGTCAAAGCAGCTTATACCTGCTCTGGAGTGGCACTTACTGATTTGGAGACAGGCTCATTGCACAAGAAGCACAGATGTTAGTTAGGTACTACAATCAAAGGAGCAAATCTGGAAGGAGTTTTGTGTGATCAGTGACAAATACTAAGAGGTGCATCATGACAGATTTAAAGAGAGGACATTATATGTTGAAAGAATCCTTACTGAGATTTTTCACGGTTTTCTCAAGTAGCTACAGGCGGATGTCGGATAGAATATTGAAATAAGCCATGATTATCTCCTTCCACACCCTTGTCTAGTCACCATCCATGACCACTTTCCATTCCATACTAGTCTATAATCACTCTGTTTTCCAACTGCTTTTTGCTGGTATCTTGCTTGCCTTATTCTTTGACCCTGAAAGTGGAGGCAGGACGCCCCTCTGAACTTCTACCAGACTACACAGCACTAAATTCTAGAAGCTCAGAAGCTAGTACTCTTCAAGACTATAATAACACAAGAGTTATAAAATTATTTTTTCTTTTTTGGAGAAAATCGTCCCACTGTCATTGATTGAAGCACCAGTATAACTACTTGATCTCAGTGTTTGCTGCTATAATATTAGAATGTTGGTATACATTCTGCGATCTGTGATATGATGCTGTTTCATCTTTTAGACAGGTACCAACATTTCAGAGGGGCTTGATCTCTGCATGTTCTACCCTGCAGCAGGCTGATCTACCAGCAACCCTCTGGGCTTGTACCTGAGACTCAACCTGGACAATGGTTATCCTGACTGAGGCTTTCTGTGTTTTCTCAGCTCCTTCAGGCATATGCCAACATGGTACCTCAGTTAGGCCACAATCACTTCCTTCCAAATCCTTTCCAATTCATTATTCATCAGTCATCCTACTATATAGCCTAGATACTGACCACATCATTAAATACAGAAACATACGCAGGGTTCCTTCCAAATTTTGGCACCTTCCTGTCAGACAACTTGGCATTGCAACCTATAAGACAATAATCTTAATATTCACTGCCATGGGAGCCTCAAAGCTGATGTATAATGTTGATATTTGATATTTTATGTTTCAGAACAAATAAGAGAGTGTCCACATTTAGACAGAGAAAGCTTGGTAAGGAATTTGATGATGCAAAGGCAGCAGTGCAGTTCAAAATAGAAGAAGCTGAAAAGAGAGGCAGGTAACTTTTGAATATGTGGAAAATATGTTAAATTAAAATTGTACTACAATGGAACCCGGGTTGTAAGAATTGCCATACAATTTCAATCCAAATTTTTTGCACATTTAAATTATTATCTGGAATGCAAACTTATTTTTAATTGAAGTTCAATATTACATTCCAGTCTGTGGCACTTCTTTTTTTAAATATATATTATTTGTTTTAAAATTATTTTACTGGCTTTTGGAATTCCTTCAGTGATGACTACAAAGAGTACAGTTTTCTGTGTTGCAATGCTGCACAGTTTTGAGATAGACTAACATTTTGAGAGAAAATACTTTCTCCATCCTAAATGCTGGAGAAAAGGACAAGCAAGAAACTGATAGTTGCAGGCAGCAAACTGAGCCAATCTGACCTGATGGACTGTACTGTTAAAATTACTTGCTTTCATAGCTTTGGAACAAAAAGTTTAAAGAAATTATCCAAACTGTACTACATTATACTAATATTTGTTTTGTAAACTGTGTTAAGACTATGTACTTATGTGACTTATCTCTCATTTAAATTCAGACAAGCTGGAGGATTCTTTAAGGTACTGTAATATGAAAATCAAATTCTAATAAGTTTTGCATGTACTATTAAAAATTAAGATTATGCCAGTTGAGATGAAATATGCTTAGAAATAAGGATAATAACATAAACAATTTTAATATTGCATAATTTTATGTATAGTGATGTAAGATTGTTTTTTTTTATATAAATTTAACACTTTTTTTTATCTATTTTAATGATTATAAACTGTACATATATATTTATATTTGTATTGTACTATATTAATTATGTGACTGGTTCTATATCTATGTATATGGATTTATGGAATATACAATAAATGAATGAATGAATGAATGAATGAATGAATGAATGAATGAAGTTGTTTTATGTCATTCCTAAAGGTCACATCAAATCCACATAGTACAAGAAGAAGCACCAGAAGAGGCAGAAAGAAAAATTCCTCAGATGGAAGCTTTTCTCAGAGCAGTTCCAACCAATACTCCTGAATACAAAGCCAACAAAAAGTTACAGAGACTGGTAAAAAAATATATGCAGAGAAAACAGAGAGAGGAACAAAGGGGGCATGAGGTATGATTCATATTGCAAGTTTGGGTCTTTGAATTGCTTTGTGTAATAAATCTGTCAGTGACATAATCATAGATATTTTAGAACTATTATCTTCAACGCTATCCATTGTCTGAGTTTGTTATACCCATTATGTTTTAGAAATCAGTTATATTTTAGCTTTAAGTGGATAGGATATGAAATAAAACCCACTGTACTGGACCTCTTTGTATCATGAAATGGACATGGTTCGATTACTGGCAGGGCAAGGACATTTTCATCTTCTCCAGAGTCTCCAGACTGGCTGTGGGAGCCTGCTCAGCCTCCTATCCAATGGCTCCTGAGGGCTAATTCCCTGGAGGAATGAAGGTCTAGCTTCATGTTAGCATGCTAGCTCCTAGCTAGCTCTAGCTCACCTCTAGGCAGTGCTGATTTTAAAAATGCGCTGAGCTCTACCCTCACTTCCCCATATGTCTACATGGAATGGTGCTTATTAAGCAAAGAACAGCTTTACTTTTGTATTTACATATACATAGGTCAGCCTGTGAAAGTGCTTGGCAGTGAACCTGGGGGCAACAGTACAAAATTGCATTAACAAGAATGGAAAGTTAACACCTGTTAAAAATTCTTGAGGCTTAGAGAGTAGCCTGTTGTTGAGATCCTAGAGGGTTTCTGCAGCCGAGCAGAAGAAACACAGGAGGTCAGAAATATGTGTGTCAGAATGCTGTAATGATCATTTCATGCAAGCTGCGATGAAGAAAAAATATATGGCATTTCTCATCATAATGTGGGCATTTCGTCAGGATATTCAAAACTCTAAGGGTTATGCGAAAAGAACATCCTGTACCAGAGATTTATACACACTTGGTCGTCGACTTACGACCTATGCGACTTATGACCGGCCGCACTTACGACCACAAAGGAATGAAAAACAAAAGATGATTAAAATGTAAAAGTTTTTAAAAATAAATTATAAATATGATAAAAAGATTAGAAAGTTTAAAAAGTACTTTTAATAAATATAATAAAAATAAATATATGGCTGACATACAAGCAGATAGACTTACAACCTGTCAGTCAGAACGGAAGTCAGGCGTAAGTCGACGACCAAGCGTATGTCTAAATTACAGTATTTCAGTTCTTCTTTAATTTTTCAAGACACCAACCAAATGAACTGAACAATTCCATGGTATCTTACAGTGGGATGTGCTTCTTAAACAGAAGCCTGATGAAACAAAACCGCACCCGGATGACATAGCAGCTATCACAGAGGCAGAAGAAGCTATTGGAGATTACAAGCTGAAGTCAGCACCAAATTACAGGGTGCCTAATCATTTACGCATGACAACAGTCAAGAAATATGACCAACTTCTTGAAGCAAGAAAAAGAGTAAGTTGATTATTAGAAAACATCTTGAAGCAGAATGTCATTTTTATACAAATAAATAACATTCTTTCTTTCCTTCTGGAAAGAAGCTTTTACAGTATTTTTTAACACTTTACAGCGCAGAAGTTGCTGTATGTATCATCTGCTTCATCATTCTGAAATTCTGCATTTTGTCCATGCAATGTATTTATGTGTTTTATACAATTCTAAGAAAAAAAAAAGGATTATTTCCATAAACCATATTTTCATAATGCTCTTTGTACTGGTGATGCACTGTGTTTTCTGCGATGTATGAACTGACTTTTTTATATTATTCAAATGAACTTCATATTTCAAAAGGTTACAAATATGTACACTATCCACAAAGAGCTTGCACACTCAGATGGAGTTGCAAGAGTTGCGCTGTTTGAAGGCATACCATATGTCTTAAGAGAAAGAGGGAAACAGTGGCAACACGGTGATAATTGGGGTTCTAAGACCGGTGACTATGATGATTACTTGTTCGTGAATCTAACACCATGCAGTCCGGTAGAACATCACTAGAGTTTTGGGGCAGTTTGCTGCCTCCATCTTCACAGTAGGAGCAAAGATGGCTGAACCAAGGTCCCCATAACACTGAAATTAACTACAAGACTTCATGATATCACATCTTAACGGGTGAAATGAGAAATCAATTATTTGCACACAAATGCTTCAGTGTAACCCCCTGGCACTCAGACCTGAGGACTGCGCTGGCGAGGGCCAGCAGCAGTTGTAAATGACAGACCCATCCTCTCATCAGAGAGGATGTTACATAAGGACTATGACCACAAGTGTTCAGTTGAATAAATTATTGGTCATGAGTCTCAAGCGGCTTGTTGCCAAGATGAACTGATTGGCAGTAAACCGCCAGTTGTAACGTAACTTTGACTCTGACTCTGCAGTCAGTTGTCAGCAGTTCAGTTCGGTGAAGTAATGTGAAGTAGCTGGTTGGTTGGTGAGAGTTTGGTTGTCAGTTGTCAGTTGAAAGTCAGCCTGTGAAGAGAAGACTTGGAGCTTGGTGTGAATTTGCCACCAGCCTGGGACCCAGTTAGTTAAGTTGTCAGTTGACAAAGAGTTCTACATGCGTGGCTGTGACAAAAGGACCTGAGTGCAGGAAGCTGAAGAATAACCACTAGTAGAAGCCATTGCCAGGAAACAGCTAGTGGAGACTGTAATAGACTGAGGAGAGTATTCTGTGTGTGTCAGTTGTCTGTAAAGTGTAGTTCTGAGTGGTGTATACAAGTGGTCAATAAATCCATTCACCAATCTATACACCATGTATAGTCACACACCCATGAATAAGTGACAATATCCCAGTTGAAGACTGGGTACTTCTTCTTGTATAGTATTATTTGGTTAAATTCCTGTTTCCACAACTACTATGTTTCTGGACATTATCCATTGTCATGTTTTTATTCAAAACACTATCCTGTTTAAATAAAAACAGAATGATTGATAATATCCAGAAACACAATAGTTGTATTAATATACCACTCTCACAGACTTTTAGATCTTATTTGCATCTATTTCTGACTGTACATTTTGAGACTTGTATGTATCTTGCAGCTATTCCTGATCAAAGACAATTTCAACAGGAAGGTTTATGATCTTCGGAACAAGAAGACTGTACTTATAGAGAGTTTCAGTGAACTTAATGCTACACTTGAATGCATCCATAAAGAACTGGAACCAGTGCAAAGAAAGTTTCTATCTGACATTCCAAAGTTTTATGAAGAACTTGAGTTTCCAGAAAGGGGAACTAAGGTAGGTTGTATGAGATTTGAAGTTCTTATGGCAAATACTGGGTCTTTTTGAATGTGAAATGTATTCTGTTAGATAAATAGACAGATAGGAACCTGCTGTCTCCATCTTCAAGGTAGGAGAGACACCATCATAAGGATGGATGAAGCAGGTTCCTCCAAAATATTAGTAACTATCTATCAGACTACATGGCAACATAGGAGACAACAATCTCAAGGTAAGTTTGTTTGTTATTGATATAAACTGAAATAAACTCATTATGGCTATGAACATATTAAAAAAATCGAAATCAAAATTTAAAACAAAATTTCAACCTAATCTACACTAACAGCGAATTCAGTAGTGGCATTTCCTATGCACTAGTCTGATTTGTAACAACAGAATTCAACATACGCTGATGATATTTAAATTAGGCCAGTTTCTAGGAAGATTCTACCCATTACATAATAAAACTATGACCAAAGAGGCATCAAATGCAAGCATGTAAAGTTGATATTGTATTTAATTAAGCATCACACCATGTAGATGTATGGGAGACTGGAAGTATAGCTAGGATGTCCACATTTCCCCCGAGGAAAGAGTCCATATTACCTATTGGATAGAAGTATGAGTGGGCCTCAGAGCCAGTCCAGATGCAGTTGGGAACAGAAAAGAGGTACTAAACACAAAGTGTGGTAACAAGATACAGACAACTGTCAGAAAGAGGACACTTTGAAACCATATAAGAACAGTGAATGAAAGCCTCAGTGATGAACACACAGACATAGTCTCCTTCTGATGACAGCAAAACTTATTTCTTAATGAGATTTCAAGTGGGATGCAACACCATGTGCAGTGCCAGATGTGGGTCATAGTTTGATAGGAATTTGCTTGAGAATCTAAGGATGGTTTGTCTGAAACACTTTTGTACCAGACTACACAGAACACATCCCAGAACATCATGGTCTTATTCCCTAACATACACCAATGTCAAGTGCAGGTTATGCAGCGTCACATGTAAAATGAACCATTGATTATGATGTATACGCTCCTGTTATAGAGGAATCATATAACTTTAATTGTTTCTTGCATCCTGTTGTGTATTTGATCAATATTAGAGTCAATTTTACCGACCACACAACACGTTTTTATTATTATTACACTACATGTTTCGACCTCAAGAGGTCATCCTCAGGTGTACGAACACAGCTGTATAATTACACGCAAGCGTGAGCCTGAATAAGATACAGGATCGAATAAGTGAGAAAGCGAATGTGATTGCGTGTAATTATACAGCTGTGTTCGTACACCTGAGGATGACCTCTTGAGGTCGAAACATGTAGTGTAATAATAATAAAAACGTGTTGTGTGGTCGGTAAAATTGACTCTAATATTGATCATATAAGACTTCAAGTTTTGTGGTGACTAAAGTGGTAAAATCTTATCAGAGGCTAAACTTGTCAATTTGTTACTGAAGTTCACTTCAGAGATTTTCTCTGTCTCGGTCGTCAGGAAGTAATTGTCTTCATTTTGTAATGAACTGGTTTGTGTTACAATTTTGTAACATTTTAGCAATATGTAACATGCTTTATGAGATCTGAAGTCACAGCTATGAAGATTGCTGTCTTTTGGGGTGTTACATCATGCAGTTTGGTAAATGGTTTTTCAGAGCAACCTCTTCTGTGGTAGTAGTGAGTTCCTCCAAAACTTTGATTGAATAGGTGCCAGACTACACGGCGTCACAATCCAATCTTTGTAACGTGAATTGTTTTCTAGCTGTCTGCATATTCAAGATTTACAGTTATATTCAAAAATTAAATTTCTGGTAGAAAAAACTATGGAAATTGAATTATAAATTATGTTTTATGAGATACTTAATCTTGTAGAATTAGTTTGGATTTACAGTTTTGCCATCTTTCTGTACAAAATGTTTTGTAACAATTTTCCTGATGACAGGAAATGTTCTACAAGAAATATCATATACAGACTAAAATTCATTTTCTGGACAGCTGTAATGAAACTTAGCTATGTGTCTGACTCAGTGACAGTATCACATGTCACCATATTACATTATGCTATACAGGCTGCATCATGTGATTTGAGTGCTCTTTGTTTCATCAGCTGACTGAAGAGGACAAAGAAGCATTAATGGCACAGAAATTACAGTCATCTGACTCTGATAATCCCATGACAGATGGCGCAGCTGGTGATACAGAACCTGTAGATGAAGAGTATGAGGCTGTCCTGGGTTCACACTATCCACAAGCTGAAGTAGGAACATTACAGCAAAATATTTGCAAGCCATACTTTGCAAGCGAGTGCCATGTCTCAACAGAACAGCTGGGAGCACTGGCCACTGAAGATAACACTGTTACAGCTTGGGAGACTGAGCTGTGCAAATGTAGGATGAAGAGGTGGGCTCCTGTCCTTGAAGATCTGGTAGAAGTTTCAAATATTTAACAGCGTTCATACCAATAAATGTGATACTTATAACGAAAAACATAGGAAGTCTGTTAGATGCTAGTAACGAGGGTGGTCTGACACAGCCACAGAGAAAACAATATATATGTTGATATTTTGTCACCAGAATGCAGGACAAAATGATACCATAAAGACACCCAATAGATCCTTCGAAAATGTGGCAAAATTCACATGACAATAACAACTCAAAATTTGATTAATGAGGAAAAGATGAGATCAAATTTTGGAATGCATGCTACCATTCAGCTCAGAATCCTTTGTTTTACTTTCTGCCATCTAAAATGTAAAGATTAATTCTTCATGGAGCTGAGCCCTTCTTAAAAAGCTGCCAGTTGTTCAGCTATTCGAGAACTTCCCAGCATTTTATGGAACCCAAAGGTCCATTACCATAATCACAATATTCCTCCACTGGTCCCTATCCTAAGCCAGGTCAATCCAGCCCATACCACCCCATCCTATCTCTCAAAGTGTGGAGTGAGGGGAAAGAAGAAAGAACTAAATTAAATTGTTACACTTAAGATGGTGTTTATCTTATATATATTGTGCGAGTGTAACAGGATGCTCAAATATAATATAATATCTCAAAGATTCACTTTAATATTATCCATCCCCTACATCTTTGTCTCCCTAATGGTCTCGTTCCTTCTGGCTTTCCCATCAATATTCTATATGCATTCTTCTTCAACCCTTTTGTGCAATATGACATGCCCAGCTCATCGTCCTTGACTTGATCATTGTAATTATACTTTGTGAAGAGTACAATTTATGAAGCTCCTCATTATGCAGTTTTCTCCAACCTCCTGTCACTTCATCTCTCTTCAGTCCAAATATTCACATCAGCACCCTGTTCTCAAACAAGTTAAAGGAGAGGGAGGAAGGAAAAGGAGAGGAATAATAAGAGGACAGACAAATACAGAGGATGGGAAAGCAATATGAGAGGAAGGATGAAAGGAGATAAAAATACAAAATGAAAAGAGTAAATAAAGAATAGTGCTGTGTGGAATTACAAAATATATGATTTTCCCCCAGTGGATTAAACCTATGAATGTTCTAATAATTTGCAGCCAGATGATGGGGCAAATATGATGACAAATATGTGTTGTTGTGGCATACAATTAAACTGTATTTTATCTGTAAACAACAACAAATTAAAAGACTTTCTGTGAATTTTCAGTATGCATTACACCGATGTAATAATATTTACCATTTTGATTAAATTAAAGTTAAAATTGAAATTGAAGAATTTGGTTTCTGTTTGCCTCTTAGGAAACTCTACGAACAGGATCAGATATTGACTGAAGCAGGATTGAAAATTGAAACTTTTGACAAAGAGGTTGAAGATTTGTCAAACCTGAAGATAAGAGTTGCAGTAGAAGCAAAGTTTCTCGAGTTGCATTTACTCACGTTGCAACAGGAACTTATTATTCTCAGAGATTTTGAAGATGTGGAAGATGAAGTATCAAATAGAGTTCTTAATTCATTAAAAGAAAAACATGAGCTTGAAAGAATGGTATGTCTCATCCTTGTCTTTAGGTTTCCACTGCATGTGTTTAATGCATGACTTCAGATTTTGAGATTTGTCATGTCACATGTTGAAGCTCTTCTGTTTCAGCATACAGTACCCTCAGTGTTCTCAACCTCATGATAACAACTGCATTGTGTACTGAGACATTAGAATTGCTTTCAACACTACATTCCGAAAGCTGAAGTTACACAGGTTATGTCTCATGCTGAATTTAAATCATTAGCAAGCAAGCTACAGCAGGTTGTTGCAGAAGTAACAGTTTACCTCATATAACTGATATATGATCTCTTTGTTTCCTCATGAATGACACGTCTTCCTGGACTGCTTCTATGCTGTCTACAGATATAATTTAGAACACTCCCATCACTCCTAATTAAAAAGAAAGTGAAAAGTAAAGCTATCCCTGTGACAGGCCATGAAGGCCCATATGGTTGTGAGACATTGAGGGTCCCACATTATCCAGACAATCGGCTCAAAGATGGTGGTAAAGTTGTCAGCCTTACATGCCGGCTGCGCCTTACTCCCCAGGAAAATTATTTAATTAATTCCTGGTACTCATTTCTGTTAGAGGCTGAGTGAACCCCAGGGCCATAGTGCAGCTGGAAGGATTAGGTCAATTGAAAAAAATCCAATGATCTCATTGGGACTTGAACCTGTGACCTTCCGGCTTATATAAAATTAGAAAAAAAAAATGCTATATGCTATATGTTGTAACGCCTGCATAGACCAAAAAAAAAACTGGAGAATGTGAAATGTTTTAAATATTTGGGTAGCTTGTTAACAGATGATGGAAGGTGTACTAGTGAAATTAAATCCAGGATTGCCATGGCAAAAGCTGCATTTAGCAAGAAGAAGTATCTTTTTACCAGCAAATTGGACTTAAATTTGAGGAAGAAACTAGTGAAATGCTACATTTGGAGCATAGCTCTGTATGGGGCTGAAACATGGACACTTAGGGCAGTAGATCAGAAACATCTGGAAAGTTTCGAAATGTGGTGTTGGAGAAGGATGGAGAAGATCAGTTGGACCGATTATGTGAGAAATGAAGAAGTGTTAATTAGAGTCAGTGAGCAGAGGAATATCCTATACGAAATAAGAAAACGGAAGGGTAATTGGATTGGTCATGTTTTACACAGAAACTGCCTTCTAAAAGAAGTTATTGAAGGAAAGATAGAGGGGCGGATAGAAGTGACAAGAAGACAAGGAAGAAGACGTAAGAAGATGCTGGATGACCTTGGGGACAGAAGAGGATACTGTCATTTGAAGGAGAAAGCTCTAGATTGCATTAAGTGGAGGAATTGTTTTTGAAGAGACTGTGGACCTGTTGTCTGACAGATTACTGATGATGATGATATGCTATATGCTCCTGCTGTGACAGCATCATAAAATGCCCCCCTCCCAAAATTGCCCAACTGGAGAAAAAGTTAAGTCAGTGAAGTTCTGTATCACGAACCTTGTTTGTGACCACTATAAAGGCAAAGAAAGCTTCAGACATCAAGGAACTGTATCAATCTATCACTGCATTGTTGAATATTTTCCTCTTTGATTGTTATTCACATCTCTTTATGCAGGAACTCGTCAAATATATTTTGGGGGAGTAGAATACTCATTTCAGTTTCCCAATCTAAGAGATTCCCCTGTTTTGTGTTCATAAATAAATAAATAAATAATGTATCATTTTTTGCAATTTAATATTTGTATCGCTCATTTTAATGTTCAACCCATGTTTAGCAAATGAAAGTCCAGTCCCTACATAAAGTCTGTACCTTGATTTAGGTTTACATTTACCTAACTGGAAGATTGGATATCCCCCCCCCCTGTTTTCAGGGTTACTGTAATGCTAATGGAGGCCAGTCAAGCCAGACTGAGTGCACCTCAGTCAGATGGTGTAAATGCACACTCATCTCGTTTTTAAACCACTGTCACACTGCATGAGTCAAGTCAGATTCAGCCTGGCTACATTCCATTCAGTCAGCGTACCAGCAGCTTTCAGGTTATGTGACTCAGCAGGTCATTTACAAATTAGACTCCTTATACTAGCAGGAGAAAGTAATTCTTCCCCTTCATGCTGTTCTTTTGTTACAGATTAATGACTTGCAAAAGCAAGTTCAAATAAAGCAAACAGAAATTAAAGCCCTGCTAAATAAAGAGGTAGAATTTCAAGATAGGTTTCAGATGGCAACGAATAACAGCAAGTTTTCTGACTTTTTGAGAAAGATTTACAAGTATAAACCATCAAGAGTTCGAAATGCTGAAGACGGTAAGAGCTTGAAACAAGCAGTAACAGTAAATATATTATACAAATCTACACATGGGTGCTGCCAGGGATTTTTTTCTGATGGTGGGGGTTAAAATATTAGTTTGCAAATGTATATTTTAGCTTTCATGAATATTTTTTATGGATCCCCCTAGAATTGTGCCAAAAAGTATGTTTCAAATCCTTTGGTATTAATATTTGACATAATGCATTATTTTTAACATTGATTTTCCCAAAAAACTTTAGAGGGGGGCAGATACCTGGCTTACATTGTAGTTTTCCTCAGTCCCTCCAGGAAAATTCTGGGATAGTACCTTAAATTAGGCAGTGAACACCTTCCATATCCTTTCCAATTCATTATCCAATCATTCAGTTCTACATATTCTGAGGTACTGACAGTACTGCTAAATAAACTGAACCAGAAGTTAATCAGACCTTGACAAACTTGATCCAAGCAGGAGATAAAGCATTCAGTCTTGTAAACATGTTAATGAACCTCTAGGTTACATAAGAGGAAGGAAATTTTCTTGAGTAGCTGATCTGTTAGCTTCTCAAGAATGTTTCTGCTCCATGGAGTTAGTTAGCACTGTGTTATTACCCTGTACTCACAGGATCAGTAAGTTTTGCAAAGAACACACCACACAGCACATAAAGGTAATCTTTCCAGGAATATTACATGCCTATTCCTTGATTAAATTCCTCTGATAACTCCATCTCCCTCTCTATGTGTACTTGCATAAAGCAAAGGCAGAGCTATCCCTGGGGAGGCCCATAGGATTGTGAGGTGTCAATGTTGTCACATTTTCTAGACAGTCGGCTCACAGAAGGCAGTGAGGTCTCAGCCTTATGCACTGGCTGACTGCCCTTTGCCCCCAGGAAGATTCCCGGTACTCATTTCTGTTAAGGCTGAGTCGACCCCAGGGCCATAGTGCTGCTGGAAGTATTTGTAAATTGAAAAACCCATAACCTTCCGGCTCATAGCCTGGTGCCTCAACCAACTACGCTACCGCGTGCCCTATGTGTGCCTGGAACTGTCCAGAAAATTCGTGCTTTAAATGTTTACTATACAGTAAGTTGTCTTCAGCAAGCACCTTTTTGAAGCAGTACTACACTTTGCTTAAGAGTTTTGTGGTCTTTTGTTAAAGTTATTTTACAACAGTTTATCTCAAGTATTGGTATATGTCTCTTTGAAATAGTCATGATTTTAAGACTATTGTCTTCTGGGACATGATGTAGTTTAGTCTTGGTGCGTAAATGCCAAACGTCTGGAGGAACGTGCTGCCTCCATCTTCAAGGCAGAAGTAAGTCAGACAGTAAAAGCTACACATATGAGTAATATAGGGAAGAGAGTATTGGGCCAGGGCTCCAAGTGGTCAAACAGGAGAATGTGGCTCTGAAAGGGGGAGTGACAAGTCACTGATTAACTCCATGGAGCAGAGTCCTTGAGAAGCTAATAGTTGCTCAGCTAATCAGGAAATTTTCAGCATTTCATGGACCTTGACAGCACAGCACACTGTTCATGATAGCCTGCCAGTTGTCCCTATCTTGAGTCACATCAGTGCAGTCCGCTCCCTTCTATCCTGTCTATATCCTCCCACCTGTAACTTTAATTTTGTCAAGGTGTCTCATTCCTTCAGGCTCTCCTAATGACACTTTATATTCATTTCCCATCTCTCCCATGTGCGCTCCACGCTGTCTTTCAGATCCCCTTCAGTTTATAAGTCTAATACAGTAAACCCTCACTGAATGGTTACAGTCAATGCAGATGAAAATATAAGAAATACTTTAAAAAACACATGGCATTTAGGAGCAAGATGACTTTCAGACTGTGTTGAGGGCAGCTGGAGAGACCGAAACCATGCAAGAAAATATCCAAGATTGGCTCAAGCTGGATGAAGGAGACTGCGGATTTCACTTTCTGACAGAGAAAGAAAACTGCTGCAATGATATTTTTGTATTTATTTTCATCGGCACTATCTATATTATTACATTTTCCACTTATTAGTTTTCTAACATGTTTTTGGCCTTTTAGTGCTACCTTTTGCTTCATTCATCCAGATTAGCAAGGGTTTACTGTAGTTGGCAGGGAGTATCAACTACACGATTGCAAAAGGGCAATTATATAACTGGAACAGGGCTGTAACAGTGCTCTCTGAAACAGCGGCATCTGGTCACGAGAATGAACGGTGTCACATACTAAAATGACAGTAATATTAACATTCATCACCCTGAGAACATCAAATCTAATACTGCTTTAATTTTATTGAACTGTTTACAATTGTTTAAGCTATTATTGTTAGTGAATTTATTTCAGGCTCAGAATTAAGCAACTGTTTATCATCCTCACCTTCAAGCAGCAATGAGTCACTTGATAACACAGCCAACACTGGGTCAGAGGGGCTTGGTCCAGTCACACTGCATGAAAACACGTGCCCTGAGGGATGTGCGCAAGACCTCTACAATATGACGTTTGAGCTGAGAGCTGAACGGTGAGCAGTTAACATAATCGCATAGGTTAAGCATGCAGCATACATACTGCATTTGAACTCTGTAACATATGATTCAGTTTACTTTACTGCTTGACATAAACAGTATGGACATAGTAGGCTGATAGGAATATGTAAATGTCAAAATTCTGATTTGGCTGTCTCCAGACTACACGTATATGACATTACAACCAGAAGATTGTACTTCTTATAGTCACTGTTGTGAGAAGCTCAACCACCACATGGTAATAAACCTTTGTGCACTACAATGAGACAGTTTCTTCTTTAGCTGAATGTGTAACATTTCCTCAAGAATGATTCTACTCCATTGAGTCAGTTAGTTATGTGGTTGGTTGGCCATAATTTTTTTGGTATGCAACTACTGTTCCATCCAAGTTTACTCTGAATGCCATGTAAGTGACATTTGTAGGCAACATTTCATTAACTTAATAATTCCAAATCTGCCACAGATTATTTGTGTTATTTCCTCCACACTGTTTTGTTCCTGTGGTTACTGTAGAAAATACACCTGACTTCACTTGCTGCTTTACATTGTTTATGTCTGTTGTGCAAGATGCTGAACTGTTTATAATTGTCCTATATAGCCACTTAAAAATCCTTGAGTTTGTATCAAACAAAATGCATTTTTCTTTGTTTCTGGACATGCACCCTGTGAAGCTCTTTTTGCTTCCACTTTCAAATGTTGTCCTCTCCCATTTACAGTTATTGTATTTTGTATTTTGGGTGCATCAAGGTATACCTTTCATGTCCTCCAGGTGACTCCTCAATCTATGTGGGATTTGAAAAGTGTACCTAAAATATTGAGAATATGACCTTCTGTGATATGATGCCATGTAGCCTGGTAAGTGAGTACCATCTTCCAGGTAACAGAAGAACTATGTCTACTCTTGTGGCGGCAGCAGGCACATCTGCAATGTTGACACTTATTTACAGAATTACGCATTGTCACATCAGAGAGGAACAGAGTCTTAACATTTCCCACTGTGAGCACCCCAAGTATTACACAGTTTTCCTGTATTCTGATGAGTTCTGCTCCAAAGGCTTTCATGAATGTGTTGGGTAGGAGAGGTGAATGTGGTGATGCCTTCAACATTTAGATATTATTTTAACTGGTGAGCAAAAAATGTGGAGCTGATGTGATGTTCCACTTGCATCATGAGGTCCCAGGGGATGCTTTCTAGGTGACGTATGTTGAGTCAGACACTGGGACCTTAGTGAAAGGCAATTCCATGCAGAAACTGAAGAGACTGTCTTCTCCCAGTATGGTAAACTGAATCAAGATCTTCCTGAAATTGGGTTAAGTTTTCCATACAAGATGTGAGGGCTAGGATTGGGGGCAGGGAAGGTGTTCGTGTGCTGCTCTATCAGACAGCCAGTTTTACTTACTGTTGGTCACAGCTGATTTGTGGTTTTTGGCAGACCTTAAAAAGTTAAAGTTTCAATGTCCATATCTGTCATGCATTTCTGAATTTCTTATAGAATGTATGAACACTGAATGAATTTCTTGGTATGTGTTTCCACTTATCTGATGGGATTGACAGAGGTGAGTTTACATGTAAAGTCCGCTAGGAGGATGGTGATTTTTTCCAAGCACTTCACTGAATCTATGATGACAGCAGCAGTCTCCTTGTCTTATTGCTTGTTCTTCTTGCCAATCAGTGATGGATTTCAGAATGCAGCCAGTTTCATATCACATCTCATGTACAATTGTGGGTGAAATGAGAAACAGCTGCTTCTATTCCAGAGAGTATTTTCTGCAGTAATAACAAAATTGAGGTGCCTTGCAAGGGCCGATGTGGCTCCGTTAATGTTGAGTAGAGGTTCAGGTGCTCTTTAAAGACATATATACTGCAGCCAGGTACGAGGCTCTACTTCCTTGTGAAGATACAGCTTGGTCTTTCTTAGGCTGCAGCACTACACAGAGGTCAGTGGTTAGCATTATGCCCCAGCTGCATTATTCCTAGGGAAAGGGTCCCCAGTGCAGATTGGGTAGGATGCTGCATAGGCCCCAGAACCAGTGTGGATATGGTAGCTAAGAGAAAAATCTCCATATCTGCCAATGATTGAACCCTGATTCTGTGGTCATCCAACCCATAGCCCAGTCACTATACACACTGAGCAACCTGGCTTTCTTCCTCTGTATTTCACTAAATTTCTTAAGTTGTTCCATATTACTCTGAAGAGTGGGCCTAGAGGCTCGGTATGTTGCAATCTACCCTACTTCCTTCCAGTCCAGTTTGTGGAAAATGTAAGTCGTGGAACATCCATGTATGCCATTTCTTTCGTCTATCGATGACATTCACACAAGATGGCAACTGCAGTGCCCTCCAAACAATAAAAGGGTTTCAACAGACAATTTAACTCAAAGTTAAAGCCAACATTATATAGCGGTAAGGTCACGTGACACCAGGCAGTCTAGTAGATAAATACCAAGTTTTCAAACTTGCCAACTATATCCATCTATTCTCGAGACAGAGACAGAGGTTCAACAAAGTAGTTACATATCTATCAGTATACATGGCATGAGGTCCCAGAAGTTCATATTGTCATTTACTGGTGCCAGTAGATGTGAACACTGACATGCCTGATATATGAATTTGATGTGTTCCAGTCATGGCTGTGAACAAGAACTTATTGAAATAAGGAAGCAAGTAGAAGCACTGAAGAAAGAACTGGAACTGAGTCTAAACAAGATAAAATCTGTGGAAGAAACACTCAAAATTAACGAAGAAGAACTGGAAATTCTTGAGGTTTGATCATAAACAACAAATTTACATAGGAAACTGTATTGTTCATCTTTTACTGTTATATTCTGCACAGATAAAACCTTCCTTTAAGATTACAGTCTTCTGGGATGAGACACCATGTAGTCATGTATATATGTACCAATGTTCTGGGGGAAACCATCCCAGAACACCATAATCTTCACACCCAATGTCAGAACCTTGCACCTTAGAACCTGACTGACACTTTGTAACCTTCATTCTTCATATTTTGGGCCATCTTTATGGAGCAAACAGTAAATAACATGTCAATGAGCATGTTGGCTCAAATGGCAATCCTTCTAACATATTTTGGAAGCACCCAAGCATCATGGCCCTTAAATTAGGTCATAACACTTTCCTTCCACAACTTTTCCATTCATTATTCACCAATCATTCTATCATTTAGTGCTATACAATATAAGCTGAAAGCATCGTAAAATATACACAAGACATACAGTGCACTCAGTTCTTACTATGTCATTCTCAGATTTACATTTTGCAGACAGAACATAATCAGGAATAATTCTATCTTGTGGGATATAACATTATGTAGTCCATTAAAAGTCAAGCAATGTTTCAGAGGAACATGTTGCCTCCATCTTTGGAGTTGAAGAATAAGCCAAAGCGAGAAACCAGCATGAAGCAGGCAGCCAGCAGAGCTCTCGTTGCTTGTCTGGCTTATTCTTCGACCCCAAAAATGGAAGTAATGTCTTCCTCCAAAATGTCAGTTAAACTGGAACAGACTATACAGCGCTATATCCCGGAAGACAGAACTCTTCATAACCACCGCTGTGAGAACCTCAGATCCTACACAGCGTTATATCCCGGAAGACAGAACTCTTCATAACCACCGCTGTGAGAACCTCAGATCCTACACAGCGTTATATCCCGGAAGACAGAACTCTTCATAACCACCGCTGTGAGAACCTCAGATCCTACACAGCGTTATATCCCGGAAGATAGAACGCTTCATAACCACCGCTGTGTGAACCTTGAATCCTGTAAAAATGAATGATCAGGTTTTGAGATCTGAGGCTTTCATAGCAGCGGCTACAAAGGTTGCTGCCCTCTGGGACATGATGCTGTGCAGTCTGGTACATCAGTGGAGTCACATCACAAGAGACATATTAAGGAGTGCACTTTCAGTGACTAGTCTGCATAATGCACAGTTTTCACCTAACTGCACACCATGAACATGACTGCATTGTAATCCTGCCTGCATATACTGGGTGTTCCTAAAAGAATGGTGGGGTTTCGGATATGTATATATTTTGTATTTCTTACTGTGTACAATCATATATGTCAATCAGAGGCTTAACTGTCCAGATTTTATGTGCATCCATCAAAGTGTCTCTATGTGTGCACCTTTCATTCCCCGGCACACATCAATGCAATAGTCAAATTCCTGCCACACCCACTGCAGCATTTCAGATGTGATGGTTGATTCTGTTTCAAATATCCTGGAGCGATTGGGGTAATGGGGGTACATAAATGGTGTCCTTCACGTACCCCCACAAGAAGAAATCACATGGAGTTATGCCCGGGGACTGGGGTGGCCATTGGAGAAAGGGGGCATCTTCACCTGCAGCACATCCAATCTATCATTTGCCTAACTGTTGGAAATGGAGCTAGGAAAGAGTGTGATATACAAAATGAAAATTTGAGAGCCACGTTATGAATCTGTATATGTTTTGCTTTTCATCTCCAAAAACTGACGGAGATATATGACAATGAAATCCCACCATTCTTTTAGGAACACCCTGTATTAAACTAACTGACTGACTGACTCCAGTGAGCAGTCCTTCTTCAGAATCTAATAGGTGCTCAGCCAGTTGAGAAACTTCAGCATTTTATGGAACCCAATTTCATAACCATGAGTTGGCCAGCAGTCCTCATCCTCAGCCAACCTCCCATTGTATTTTTTTAAATCCATTTTTATATCTCCTCATACACTCCCAGGTCATGTGAGTGGTCTCTTTCCTTCAGGTGTTCCTATCTAACTTCTATATACATTTCTCCTCTCACCCCTCTCACCCTCCTTGACTTCATCACCCTAATAATATTTGGCAACTAGTACTGGTTATGAAGCTCATCATATGCAGTTTTCTCCAGCCCTTGCCTGTAGCTGTTCTTGTAATGGCCTAGCTCAGGGAGAGAAACAGGACTCCTCTTGGGTTATTTTGACTGGCCGTGACTTGGGTGACAAGGAGCGCACTCAGGTTGCAGCCAGTCAACATGACCTGAGAGGAGTCATGTTTCCCTTCCTGAGCTATGTCATTATAAGAATGGCTATACCATTTCCTGCCCCTTATAACCAAATACTGTCCTCGGCACCCTGTTCTCCAACACCCTCTGTCTATGTTCATCTCTTAATATGCGAGACCAAGTTTCACATCCATACAAAATAGTATGAGACATTTCAGTTTTCTATTTCACATTTGCAACACCAAAGAACTAAAATTGAATGCTAGCAAGCATTCCCCAGGTTCAATCTTCTCTTTATTTTCTTCATTATTGAAATTTTCATTTTCTGGTGTCACTGCCACATACTTGAAATCTGTAACATCTTGTGTTCATTACAGACAGAAAAGCAACAGAAGTTAAATGAGGTAGAGTGTTTGGTTGTACTGAAACTTAGTCAGATCCAAAACTTCAAAAAGGGTACCAACACCATGGAGAATCTATCCAACAGTCTGCTCTTCTCACAGAAAACACTACAACAGCTGTACTCCCGTGCAGGAGAACTGAAGAAGGAGACAGAAATTCAGATGGAGAAACACACGTAGGATACAAGATGCCTTTGGCACTTTTTATTGACAGTTTAAAGCACAAGTATTTTATGTCCACTTTTGATTAATTCTGAGCAACTGTCTGTCCTTGTTTTCTAAATGTGCTGTGTTCTGAACAATTACTGTTAAGACCAGGAATAACCTTGGTTATGAGACAAGTGATTATGAAATATTGTATGTCATACCAGAACACTGTGTTGATGCATCTTTATTCTGAGTTTAATATATGCTACATACACAATATCTGTGCTTTAAACAGTAAGAACATAAACTGTGTTATAACAAAAGTAAGCTATTTCAAACATAATAATAACCATCAGGGCTTAACTGAACCATATTTTGAGTTTAAGAACTTGTTGCCAATATTTTAACCCAATGGAGCACAGTTCTTCATAGTAACTGACAATTAACTCATAAAATCCATGGCTTTCATGGAATCCAGGGGAAATTTTCATTAACATATTCATAAGAGCTCAGCAATGGACCCTAAAAACAGGACCTGAAGATGGCAACAATAAATCAGTGTTTGTCTGTACTACAGTGTTAAACATTTCTGAAAAAAGGTATTTTATACCCTACCATTAGCCCACTTTCCTTACATTGTAATAGTAAAAGGAGTCTTCGAGATCACCTTGCTGTCTGCGTGTCTTTCTTTTGGTCTGTGTATCCCCCCCCCCCAAGTTTCTGAGTTAAAACAGTAGAGCCCTGTGTGTCTGTATGTGTGCCCCCACCCACATTGTTGCTAGGCTACAATTATGTAAAAGAACTGTTGTACAGGTTACTTTCTATGCAGACCATGTCATATCAAAAAGCACAATAGACCACTGGAGGTCGCGGTGCAAGGGCCGAGAAGGCCTACCTCTCATGCATTCATGTCATATCAAAGGAAAGTAAGTGATTAGTTCTTCCCCGTAGTTCTTGTTATTATTATGCTTATTCTATCAAGCTCTCTTCAGAACTTTTCACGATCATGATGTGTGTATTCAGTGAAATCATGATTTCAGAACATCCCTCAAAGAACTATAATATATAAGTATGGAAGAGTGGAAAGATTATACATGAAAACAGTAGCTAGAGGTAGGAATTGTCATGTATTACCATCCAGTGTCGTGGGATATTTTACTGCTTTTCTTTTTCAAGAAACTGATATATTGGGTGTCACATAAAGCAGGATCTGCATCTAACTGATACTAACCAAAATTAACCTCACCATTTAGCGCAGACTTTCACAAACAAAACTCATCCAAATACAGTACTTCCAGTAGTTTGGAGGTGAAACATGCAGGCACATGAACATAATGTTGCCATTATGCAAATATACATGATTACTGATTTTAGGTTTTCATGGTGGTTAATTAATGATGTTGATTGAGTTCTTAGATTGTGGCGATGTTGCCAGCATTTCAGAGAAACATACTGTCTCCCATCTTCAGGGCTGAAATAAGCCAAGTAGGGAAGTGACTAGTTATATACAGATGACGGAAAGGAGCCAGGTTACGGAGGATAGGACTGGCCAATCAAAGCCTTAAATGGGGAACACAGTAGTAGTTGCCAGTTCACAGGGCACAGCAGGAAGAGGCTCACTGAGAGAAGAAAGGAAGACAAAGAAATGGAAGATGGCGGAACAATTGTGAGAAAGTGTAGGAGGAAGATGAGAGTAGCAGGAAAGGAGATAAGGGGGAAAGGGAGCAAAATGAGGCCTTAAAAAGGGAAGGTTCCAGGTCTCTCAAAAGGATCAGAGCATAGAAAACTCGAAATCCTGGCTTTTCCATGGAAGGAACCTTCATCTGTTTGTTCAGAATACAGCGGAGAGGCGTCCATTTCTTTACCTCCATCCTGTATAACCATCCGCTTCCTTGATCACACAGCAGGGAGGCATGTGATCACGGATTCAATTCCTGATGAGGTCATTGGATTCTTCCATTGACCTGATCCATCCAGCTGCACTATGGCCCTGGGGTCGACCTAGACTCTAACAGAAATGAGTATCAGAAATCTTCCTGGGGGTAAAGGGCGGCTGGCGCATAAAGCTGACAACTGTGAGCCGATTGTCTAGAAAATGTGGGATCCTTGATGTCTCACAACCCTATGGGCCTCCACAGCCCATTACAGGGAGAGCGTTACCTTTTACGTCATGCAGACAGTATGTTCATCTGAAACAATGGAAACCTTCTATGAGACTACATGGTGTGACATCCCAGACAACCACACTTACATTATTAGCTTTTATGAAAACTTTAAATCTTCTAAATGCAGCGTAGTGCAGCTTGCTACTTTTGTTTGATACAGATTTTCATTTTTATTGCAGGAAGAATCAAAAACATTTCTGCAGACTGAAGGCTGACTGCCAGCATATGACAGAGATGATTCACAAACTGAAGGCAGACATAAAAGAGGGTATGCGAAGGAAGTTTGGTCAAGAAATTGACCTCGATGAGTTGGAAGAGTCAGTCTTGTGGAGACTTGTGGCTGAAATGAAATATTCCACAAAAGACATAAAGAAGGCATACGAGAGGAGGATATTTGAAATGCAGGTAGTTATTAATTGCACAGCTTAACATGTTTATATTAACTATTATGCTACAAACATTACCATCTACTTGACTATAAAGTTAAAAGGAAAAACGTCACCCCGCAACCAGCAAAGTGCTGGGTCAGAGATGAAGCCCCCAATTTGAAAGCCAAGGCTGCGATAATGTGCTGCGTGATTGAGGTTGTGACACACGTTAGGGGGTGGTGACAGAAGTCTGGAGCAATGGTGGAATGATGATTAGCAGAGGAAAACTGAAGAAAGTGGGACAACACCTGCTCCTGTGCCAGTTCACCACGACAAAGTCACCAGGTTCCACAGTGACAAGACACTACCTAATCACCTGATGTGCAGAACAAAGGCAGCACATTTAATAATTGCAGGCACCCAATAACTCAAGAACTGCCAAAAGTGGATATGAAATATTTGTGCTTTAAACCACTGGTATGTTCAATAAACATATACAATTCATATCTTTTTAACAATTTTTATCATAGGCTTCCCAGGGTACACTTGCTTTGAAATGGTCTCACCTGGATCCTAATTTAAAAGATGTTCCTATCCCCCGTCTGAGTATGAAGATACAATTTCCTGCTGTGACTCAGTCATCATTAGCAACCACTGCTGACTGCCTCCAAGAAATTATTCAAGTGTTCTTCGTCCATCACGTATGAGACACTTTTACCTTATACAGTAAATGCATTTGAATTTGTCACATACTTCAGATAAGAAATATTAAAATCATTACTTTCAAATTTAAAACAATAATCTGACATGTGAAGCGCAACTATGTCAAAATGCTTATTTTGTGTCTTTAGGAGAAACTTCGTGAAAAGCAAGAACATCTCTCTAGATATATACAAGAAAATACGGAGAAGCTACATTTGCTGACCACCTTGGAAGAAGAAAAACATAATTTAGACAAGTTATTAAGAATTCAAGCCTCCAAACTAGTAAGTTCATCAATAAAATGTATATAGCAAGTTTACTTGTAGTTACTGTAACAATGTATTCCATTTTGAAGATGTCAGTTACAGCCAAGCCTATTAACCTGGGCAAGGGTAAACGGAAGATGCGAAGATGCTTTGGTGTCGCAAGTGGGTAAATCTGGAAAGTCACAACCACATCACGGGGGAGGGGGGACCAGACACTGGGGGACAAGTTCTGCTGAATCTCAGTACCTTAAGAGAGACTGAAACAATACTCCCCTGCATAGGGAAATGTGCAGTCTGCAACAATAACTGGGATGACAAGGGTTTATGTGTAACACAGTCTGTGTGGTAAGGCCAGCTAAAGGAGCCAGAGGCTTCTAATGTGGCCAGAGGACATTTATAGTATGGGTATTCATGAAATGTATGACATGAGTGGTAGAATTTATGTGGTAAGTCATGTCACACTTTGCACTCTCCACCAAATATCATTAATGTCATTAAACTGTGGAGCTACAAGTTAGGACAGGAATGAATCTCAAAGGGACTACACTGAAAAATTGAACAAAATTTTGATGGAGAAACTAATAATAACACTAAAATCAATCTTAAGAGAAACCAGCTGCAGTAATTGGAACTGGTTCAGCATAGGGTCTGGTATGATTGTAGAGAACTGTTTGAATAGCTAAATGCTTAATTATGCACTGTGTCACAAAGACATATGGGGGAGTGGATTTTTTTGACCTCAGCACTAGCTGGAGGTGAGTGGTTAGCTTCATGCTCCGGCTGATTTAACACTGGGGAAAAAGCTCCTAGTGCCCATTAGAAACAAGGCTGGGTGGGCCCCAGAGCTGGTCTGGATAATGTGGAGAAGAGAAAATTCTTGACTCTACTGGAACTCAAACTTCCACGGCACTGTCACCCAGCCCGTAGCCAGTCGCTATATCGACTGTGCTATCCTGCCTCCTGTGAAAGAAAATCACCATAGATAACTCATTCTGAATCTCCAAACACACTTCTCATGATCTTACCAGCTGACAGCTATGTCTTGAAATTTTTGTGTGATCTCTTGTGACTCTATTCCATGCTGGACCACTTTGGCTCTGGAGTGAAGTAGTGCACCAACAACCAGTCAAAGGTTGCTATTCGCTCTAGGAATGTTTCCCTTTAATTCAAGCCAGCGCACATGTTCAGCGGATACAGCAACAATTTGCACCTTCTGGCTGAATATTAACATCTGCACACACGCCTTCTTGAAGAGTTAAATGTTCATGGGTGATTGTCTCAACACTTCCGGCACCTATGCCACTATTCAGTGCATTATCACACATTGCAATTCCCCAGTTTCCCACAATCAGCTCTTTGATGTGGCAAAAGTTCATATCACAGTTGCTGCCTCAATGTAAGTATGCAAGAGTTCTGAGACCTCTTTGCAGCCTTCAGAAAACTTACTGCACAAATCACAGGCAAACAGTCTCTTCCCATACTGTCTGTTTAACCTATGGAGAATTCATGCTTGTTTCACTCACTTTCTCTTCACTAGTGAGATGATGATACAGTCATCTTGTTCTAGAGTTAATGTGCGGAACCAGGGTTTATGGCCATCTGCCAGGCAGTGACTGACATGTCCATAAATAAGTTTTTCCCTGGTGCCCACATCTTCAGGGGGACAAATAGGGACCAGGTTAACCTTGAGCCACCAACACATATAGGCAAATTCCAGAACGATTTTCAGTTCAAAAACATACCAATATGGAAATATTCTAAGAACTGAGACAAGAATTTTCTGTAACATGCCAAAATTTTCATTATAGTCATAATTTATAGGTAAAAGGGTAAAAAAGGTAAGGTTATCCCTGTAAGAGGTCGTGGAGGCCCATAGGGTTGTCACCCTTATGGGCCAGCCACCCTTTACACTCAGGAAGATTCCTGATACTCATTTCTGTTAGAGGCTGAGTTGACCCCAGGGCCTTCATGCAGCTGGAAGGATCTCGTCAATTGAAAAATCCAGTGATCTCATCAGGAATCGAAACTGTGAAGCACACTGAAGTGTAATACTTATCTCTTCTGATATCAGCCACTGATGCAGTATGGGCTGAAAAAGGAAGCAAGAGAAAAGTCTTGTTGACAAGCTGATTTGTGTTAGCACTGCTAACCGTTATAAGTCTGATGAATCAGACAGTCTGTGTGCTACTGCATACAGTAAAAGTACTCAGAGTGTCTGAAAATTCTCAGAGTTCAAGACTGACAAATCAAGATACAGATATCTAATATTTCTTGATATGATCCCCACACACATACTTGTTACAAAGTGTTCCACTTCCTCCTCCTGCCTCATTCACCCCGGGGGTGATGACTACAAACATACACTGAAATGTTGGAACAGCTCCTACAGAATGGCTAAACCCTGAAAGCTAAGTTTCACAAGTGACATAAAGCAATTTACTTTTCAGGAGGAAGCTTCAGATGAGAACCAAGACCCATATGCATCTGAGATTGAGAAACTGATTCAAATTAAGAAACGCCAAGCTCTCGAGATTGAAAGTTTAAAGAACGAAATAAGACTGCTGAGTGTGAAAAGCAAACCACTGCCACCTATTCTGGGGACTCTGGGGCCCGAAGCAGAGTCAGGACAGCCTCTTCCTACAATGCCCGAAGAAACGTCTGCAGAAGAAGAGGAAGGATCAGAAGAGATGGACCTTACTGGTATACGGGGGATTCTGAACAAAATAACTCAATCCATTCCTGCAGAAGCTGGGCACACATTATCTGTGCAGCCAGAAGGTGGTGGTGTTCATCAGATTCTAGCAGAAATAACAGATAATTTAAATTCAAGAGAACCCTCTATACATGACATCACCACTGTACAAGAAATATTTAATGAAATCAAACAGAAATCTCAGTCTATTACGGATATAATTCATGCAGTAAGGAACATGGTTCATAACATTGTTGCAGGTCAAACTGCCGGAAAAAGTCCAGAAGAGATGTCATACATCCTATGCATAGTACAAGATATCATTGACAAGGTACATAACTCTTCCAGCAGTGAGGAGTCTACACACACTGTAAAACATATTCTTCCCAATATAATAGAAAAAATTACAGGAAGACAGCCTACAGAAGGAGATCCTAATGACACTGAAGGAATTCTTCAGTGTGTAGCACAGCAACTTCATTCAAGTGAAGTTTTACTTAATCCTATTTTTGCTGTCCAGCAGATCATATGTGATGTCATTAGTGTCCTTCAGGCCACAGAAATATCTACAAATGAGAAACAAGATAAGGTCAAGCAACTACTGGATGATGTTACTGGCAAATCCGCAGAAGACTCGACAAATTGTACAGACAGTGTCAGAAACGTTATCAGAGAACCGGTAGAAGATATTACTAGATTAGCTCTAGCAGAGAGTGACAATGTTCTTACTGAAATGGAAAGTCTAAGAGAATTTAAAGACACTGCACAAGGAAAGGAAATTCTTCAAGAAACTTGTGCAGAGGTTCTCTCTCACATTAAAGAAACTTCTGACAGTGAAGAAACTGAACAAGGCACTGAAGATGCAGATGACCCAGTATCAGAAAAATAACATGATCAGAACTGTAATAGAATGAGAATGCACTCCAATAATTTTGTTGAAACAAAATGACATACAGGATTCACACAGCCTTTCAAGAAGTAAAACATTATAGAAAAATAATGAACAAAGTATGTGGTTGTATAAGCAGCCTCCATAGTCTAGGGGTAACGTTTCCACCTCATGACTCAAGGTACGTGGGTTCAAACCCGGTGGAGGTCGTGGAATTTTTAAGGGCGGAAAGAATTCAGGGAACAAGTCCTCTGGGAGGGACTTTAAGCCGTGGGTCCCGTGTCATAGATTTACGGCACGCAAAAGAACCTCATGTCTCTAAGAGACCTCTGAGCTAAATTAGGCAATTTTCCCACCCAAGTAGTTCCCAATGCCTCTGGTAGATGGCGAAAGTATTAGGTACCACTGCCAGATGAGGACCGACCTCGCTGACAGAAAGGGACTAATTATCAGATACCACTGCCAGTAGAGGGCCGACCTCGCCGGCAGAAAGGGGCTGATAGCGAGCACCAGTACTGGTAGGGTATGGAGACAGTAGAAATTAAAAGGGGGACGCACAATAGATAAACTACTGGTCGTGGTGCATGGGGAAAACCCACCCCCTCTAAGAATGAATGAATCAATGAATGAATGTGGCTGTATAAAAACTGAAGAAGAATAAAGATATAAAAATTGATCAGTATTTTATTATAGGACAGTACTGAGTAAGCAATTCTGTTATTATGTACACAGTGGATCTTCCTTGGGATCAACCACAGTGAGATCTATTTACTGGATGAATCTGCTGTTACTTATAAAAACCAAAGAAAATTTGGATGAATGCACCATAGTCTCTGTATAAATCCTGCTATCTCTTATTACACTTGCAGAACTGTGGAGTGGAAGTGTTGTCTCTGTGATGCAATGTATTTCTGATATTTGTACAATGTTTCATTAATTTGCCATAGAAATATTGTAACATGACACCTGAAGGCCAGAACAGTGGAGCCAGACGATAAGCCAATTTCTAGGCAATGGCTTGGTAAAAACACTTCTGCGACAACGCCCAACAATTGAAGTATTGTTGAGAGATGGTGTTTTCCATTGGGTATGTCCTGGGACTATATAACAAGGAACCCAGGCCAGCTCAAAGGATTGAGGAATCGAGAGAGTGAGTTGAGGGTTGGCAGTTCACTTGTGAAGAAAAAAGTTAATGATGAAGAGAAAACTTTATGTGCTGTAGTATAGTGATATTTGGAGTGTGAGACTATTATAGTTCCTGTGTTAAAATCCATTGCCAGGTAACGGATAATGGACACCATACTAGACTGAGGATGCTAGCATGTGTAACAGTGAACCATCAAGTGTGGAAATAGAGATAGGGTTATAGTTGTTTGTAGTACAACCTGTAAGCAGTCAATAAATCAAGTCATTAATCCAAACCCCATCTACAGTCACACACATATACACGTGACAATATTATGGAGTTTACTTCACTATCATTTGCTGAAAATTTGTAGCAAACAAAGTATTATAAAGATACTCTTGTGCTATTCTCTATCATGCATCTTGGCCCAACATATCAAGTGTTTAAAAAAATTAAATCAAACTGGCGGAAATAAGATCATGGGAAAGATGATTGTCATGTGTCAGAGTGACTCTTGACTGGGTTCTGGATTGGATATGGGATTTACTGACTGCTTTAACACACAACTCGTAATTCTACTTAATCATAGCGTCATCACTAATTTCCATACACTTAACAAATCACTATTACAAATGCTGTCATTTCCAAGCCTGCAGTGTCTGCACTAGTATTTACCTGGTAATGGCTATTCCTCTGCTTCTTGGCTCAAGTCCTCTCTGAATGGCAGTTCCCTTCCAGCTGCCTTCTCTTTACTGACTAACTCCCAAGCTGGCCATCGTTTCACACCAAACTCCTAGTCTTCTCTTCACAGCCCAACTTTCAACTGAGTACTCTTACACCTAAGTGGTTGCCCCACACCGTCCCAATTATAACTACTTGGCACAGACTGCACAGAAAACACTGTTCCTCTGTTGCTGTTCAATTGTCAAGCAACACACGTTTGTCTTGTTTGTTTCGTGGCCATTGCCTAGAAAAGAATGTTGTTTCAGAGCTGTTCACTAGCAACGGCTGTTTCTCTGGCTCCACAGTTCTTGCTTAGAGCAAATATGCCATATTATTAAGCGTAATAATGAAACACAAATTCAGTACATAATAATAATAATAATAATTAAAATCCTTTTACAAAAGAAGATTACTTCACTTTACAATTATATACACATTATAGATACCGAAACAGCTTAATACCTAAAGGCATGGGCACACCAAGGAAACTGGCAACTGCAATTTTCGAGAATTGTTATCAGCCTGAGTTGAACATGTTACTGAATGGAGCAGCACAAATTGAGGAAACAGCAACGCAACTCACAGAAAGACTGAGAAACTTAACTTCCAGGCAACTGAGCTTATCAGTCTTCTCACAATTGCATTGCTGAATGGTTTCCTAGTGTCAGCTGTTCTATAATGCACTTCAGTATTCGTTTCTTAAGATGGCACGAAAAGTTGATGAAGCTGCTAATTTTGTTTTTGCGAAGTTAACTGAGCAAGAGCCTGGTATATATGGCAATGCCACCCGGATTATGCTAGGCAGAACAAAATAAATTTGGCTTCAGAAAGAATTTCTCATGAGACGAAGTAGTCTGGATCCAGGTTAAGTTAATTCAAAACAATATACGCTCCTCCACTGTCACAGAAGAACGGATGTGCCAAATTTTTCTTTTCCTAATATTGTATTGTATTGTCCTGTTGCATTAATATTTCATTTATTTCTCATATATTTTCATCTTAAATATAATTTATTATATAGTCACCCTCCTTCCACATTTCATGGTTCAGCTGTATACAACCATCATCAGGTGTCTTCTATGTTGCTAAAACTGTTGCACTGTATGTCAAAATTTTGTATCATGTGTGAATGCGGTATTTCCTGATTAAAATAAATTGACCTTAATTAAAACAAATTATCTTCCATTGCAGAAGGTAAGTTTGCACGAAATTAAAAAACACAATCCTGCATTATATTGGACGAACATACGTACTTAAGATGATGTGAGGAACTACTCAAGAAGTTTCGTCATTGTGTGCCTGCTAATCTGGAAACCAGTTGCCTGCTTGAAATTGGCGATTTTTCTCAGAAACTGCGGTTGTGTTGCAGTGGCCAGTTTCTTTGGTATGTCCTTGCCCTATGTCTCTTATATCACCAGTAACAGCTATGTATCACTTACCAATTGTAGTTGCATTTTATAATTATTACATTTCATGCTTCATGCTTAGCCAATTGCTGCTGTAGAAAATAACTGGGAGTTCTGTTATGCCCAACATTTGAAATTATCACTCTGATTCCTTTGTGTTACTTTTTTAACTCTTTCCTACCCTTGGCTGGAAGGCTTCTAACACAATTTTCCTATGTAGATCCACTGCTGGAAGCCTTCAATCATCAACTTGCAAATTCATTGCTGGATATAGGTTACATGCTGCCTGTTATATCTTTGCCTTTTACCTTCTTTGACACATCATTTTTATTTTGGAAGAGAAAATGGCAGTAGTTTCATACTTTTTAATTTTCACACAAATTAATTTCTAGTTGGCAGAAATAGAAATGACGGGAAATGGTTGATCAAAACAGAATGTAATTTCCAAGCTGCTGACTTATTCCACACACTATTTCAGCTATGTGAAAGACTAGTTACGTTCAACATGCAGAATATTCTTGTCCACTTCCTAGATACATATTTGTACACTGAACCTTCTGAAAGAAAGTTCTTGTCATGTGGTCCCACAGAGCTGAATAAGCAACTTCAGCCAGTCAGAAGAAATCAGTGAATCCATGATTATCTGTTTGTGGCTTCAGCATAAACAGTCCTTTGTTCATGCACATGGTTTTCTGGTGGTATACATAATAGGAATAAAGCAGGGCCATTCACTGTTTCTTGAAGCTCTTCAAGATGGGATATATATTATCAAAGGCTTCATAAATTTCTTGTCTTACTTTTGCTCCTGAAATTAAAATTTATAACACCATGAGCAAATATGTAAAACCAGTGAGGTGAAAATTATTCTGATGACTATTCACATAGCATTAAAAACATACCTGTTAGCACAACTTTACCCGATACGAATATCAACAAGACAATTCTTGGCTTAACCATTCGGTATATTAAACCAGGAAACAATTCTGGTTCATAGCTGAAAATAAAAATCAATCTTGTTAGATTAAATTAGGCTGAGTGCTTCAAAGTATCAAACTACTGGAGGGTAGAGGACAGTCTTGCGGAACAGTTTACAACTTAATTAAATGTACATACTCTATACTGTGAAGATGAAAACGATTTCCCCTGTAAAGCTTTAAAGTAACATGTAACATATCTCTGTTTACTTCCTAATACCACAGAAGTGGTACACCATAACCAATCATATTATTTTGTTGGATACCATTCTTAAAATTAAAAGGAGACACACAGTGATACAGTTTACTCACTGAGATGTACATTCAAACAGACATATACTTGGTCATCCTATTGGTTTCACGTGACAGACCTCAGACATGATTTTACTAAACTAGTCTATGTGGATACCTTCTATGTGGCACCAAAGCTACAGTGCTGAAAACCCCCACTTTACCACACGTGTCACTTCTTCAGTTAGAGACATTGTACAATGAACATTTTATTTAACTGGAGTCCAAACTAGGTCCATCTAAACAATTCACCCGACAATCCACCAAAAAACCAATTACAAAGCACAGAATAATTCCGTACCTGCTAAACTGTCCATGTGTAAGCACAAGGCCTTCCAGTCGAATAGGAAACTTCACATCACAACTTCCAACCATATTCTGGATTTTGAAGTCAAGGAACTTTGCCTAGGAAGGAGGGGAAAAAAGATAATGTCCATAATTACTCTCTTAATGATGACAGGAGTCTGCAAAGGTACATCAATACATAGCTTGATAAGCATATATCGGTCCATGAATTGCACATGACTTTCAAAATTCCTTATGTGTATGACTACACAACTAAATTATGCAGGACACAGGCAGAAGTAATCCTAAACCATGCAAATCCAATTGTACAACAACTGCACAACAGGAAGTCTAAGAGGATTAAACCTTGTGGCAGTCACAGTTTCACAATGGTTAAATAAGTTAAGGCATAACCTGCTACACGAGCCTACACTGACAGAAATCCTCCGTATACCTTGTATAAATGTTACTTAGCATGCTGCAGTGACCTGGATACTGTCGATATGCTGGTGCTAAAACCATAGTGTCCCTCCACTTCTAGAACACGTAAATGTCTGGGACAGAACAAAACATATGATCATGGATTTTGATGTGACTCAAAGCCAAGAATAACTGTGCTGACAAGTGCCAGCAGCAATTTGGCTGACTGTCTAGTCAGCATCCTGTTCCACTTTTCACTTAGTTTTAATTAGTTCCACAGTCATTAAAACTTACTATAAGCTAGTCACTTTAAAAGTTTTTTATGACATGTTTCAACCTACAAGTATGTGGTCATCAGGTCTTAGTAGTTGTGGGTGAGGAAACTCTTTCTGCATCGATGCTTAGTTGCAGTTGGAGACAAGACAAGAAGGAATACACACATATGCACCAGGGCAGCCACACACTAAGCATCAATGTAGAAAGACAGCAATTTCCTCACCCACAACTGTAACACCTGATGATAACCACATAGGTTGAAGCACGTTGTAAACACTTTCACAGTGACTAGCTTCTAATGAGTTTTCATGTGATGGTATTCTCTCTCTCTCTCACACACACACACACACATCCAGGCGCTCTCTCTTTCTCTCTTGCATCTGCTTGAATGGTAGTGCATCACAGGAAACTAAGACTATCATGTACTTCACTGAATATTCACTATACTGAAAAATGTTTTCAGTAACCCTTAGATAAAGCACAATAGATCACTGTAGGTCATAGTGCAAGGGCTGAGAAGGCACACCCTTATACATTCAACCCTTAGATATTTTAGTTAGTTGCAGAAGCAGGGTGAGGAAAAGTCCCTTTACAGTGCAGCCTCAAATGGTCCTAATGTACCAGCCTCTGCCAATGAATATGGAACTTTGATGGAACTACTGGCAGTGAAAAACTAAAGTGCTCAGAGAAAAACCTGCCCCAGCACCCCCTTGTCCACAACAAATCCCATGTGACCTGCCATGGGACTGAACCTGAGCCTGAGACTAAGCACCAGAGCTAAGGCACAGCCAATGTTTGAGTATTACTGCTACTCTAACTAACCGGAAACCCAAGTTTTTGAATGATGCGAGCATATTTTCTTGCGGCAAGCCGTGAATCTTCTTCACTCTTCGCCCCAGTGCACACCATTTTTCCTGAACTGAATATAAGTGCTGTTGTCCGAGGTTCACGTATTCTCATGATGACAGCAGCGAAACGTTTTGGATTGTACTCAGCATTACGGGCATGAAGTGCAATCTTCTTGAGATCCAGCTTGCAGCCCAAGTTGACAGTCGATACAATGTTCCTGGAATAGTGCACAAAATGTAACAGTCTGCTCTATATAGTTCAGAATTGGGGTTTGTGGACCTGAAAAGAGAAAAATGGTGAATTTACTGAAACTTTTATAACTAACTTCATATCTGTCTGTCCCTCTCCCTCATTTCTTTTTAAAGCCATGTTGTAAGAGGTTAGATGGGACCATATTTAGACAGTGGGGCTGAAGGTGGCCCAGGTGTAAGCTAAATTGTGAAGGCAGTTCAATAGGAATTAGATCAGGAAATGGACAAAAAGAATTTTATGGCTGTAGAAATCTAGTTGGCCTCTGCAGGATTAATTACCAATTTCTATTGCAGTGGTAATTACTGAGGTGATACACTTGCATTTGTGTTGGGTGGGCAAGTCAGGCCACGAGGGTGGCCAACATAGACTTCATTGCACTTGTCCCACATTACAACAGCAAACACAGAGAGAACTCTCTGTCTTAAGAATCTCTGGGAGACGCACACAAACTGAGGTTTTCAATATATGGCGGTTGTGAAAACCACACAAAGAAACAGTTCATCTTCTTATAAGAGCTGTTTTATTCGGTTATGATAGAATCATTTCTTTATGCAAGTACATACATACATACATACATACATATACATTTGCGTTTCAGATTATTCACAAATGTGCACAGGCACAGAATATAAAACATGTCAACAAGCCAACAAGACATTGGAAACTTGTACATTCACAAACAAAATCACTAGCATATATAATCCATACTTGTCAAAAAAACACATAAAATTGTTAAAAGGAAATAGATTGCAGCAAATACACATACAATAGTTAAAAAGCAATACAAATTGCAGCAAGAATATATAAGCACAGCCAAGGACATGGAGTTAAATGAAGTGTACACTGTCAGACACCTCTTGACAGGTCTTGACAGAAAAGCAAGAATTCCTCAACAGTATAAGAAGGGTATTGAAATAAATGTTTAAACATACTATATACAAATATATACTACCAAATTAATTTGTAAAACAATTAAAGGCATACAAAATAAACACAATGGTTGTGTGGGAATAATTTCCAGCAAAGACAAAACGTCAATAACGATGTTCTGATCACAGTCATACTGAATGAAAATTCACTAGATGCAGTGTTTATGTTGTGCCCTGGCTGCAATGAAAAGAAGTACAGTCAACTCTCGATTATCCGGGATAATGGTGGGCATGGAAATCACGATTAATTGAAAATCCGGTTAAGACAAATGTTATTAAAAGTAGTACTGTAATACTGTACCTTCATAATACTATAGGCCTACCTGTATTTAAATTTACTCAACCTCATTTTTATGTCATCTCATGGCCTATTTAATACTTTGTTTACATTATACTGAAATGTGAATTAGTTATTTCAATCACAGTGTTCAACAACATCCAACACTTTTTACGAATATTCACACTTAACACTTACAAAAATTAATATTGTCGTTTGCTTTTTCGCAGCATTTTCCTTTTTACAGATATCCATACGAAGCCTACATAATATTAGCTTGTCACTTAATAAACTGTTCTCTTCACTCTCAAGATAGTCTAGTAAGGATTCCAAATGATTAAGAGCAGCACCATGTGATATTTTCTTAATAGCAGCACTGTCCACCTCTTCCTCATTCTCACTTTCTTTCTGCTCTTCTGGCTGCACCCCCGCTGAACTTACGGTTTCGTCACTGCTTAACATTTCGAAGCCCGGTTCACACAAGTTTCTGTTGAATACTTAACACAACACACTTCCTTTTACACTCTGACATTTTGCTAACGCACTTGAAGATCAATACAAAGAGACCAACTGGGGCGGTGTATCTGTCCTTGAAACTTTCCACAAATCCTTGCATTCTTTCACCCCTACCCTAGAACATTGTGTTAGCATAACGGGACCAAAAACTGCAGAGCTCGGTTCACACTAGTGCGAAAATAGTGTTACAACTCACCACGTGAAACAAACGTGAATGAATACTAAACAACATATAAGCCTCAAAAAAGCCCCAGTTAAGCCGCAAACCAGTTAATCCGCCCCTGGATAATTGAGAGTTGACTGTATTCACCAAATGTGGGGAACACTAAAGAGGAATATCACTGTACATTAATAGAAACTAGATTTTCAATCTGTTGGCATTCTTTCTGTGTATTTATGTAAAGTTTTGTTGCTTGTTATGCTCAATCATGCATGTGTGCACTCCAGCACACACTCAGAAACACACACACATCTATGATCTGTATTTTGTTTTAAAGTGAGGGGTTAATTCCATGTGTGTCTGCTGGTTCTTTATAATTGTCAATGTTGGTATTAAATTTGTGTTCACTTAGAGCAGATCTATAAATATAAGTGAGGCCTTCATATAAACTCCTAGGTGTTCCCTCATGGGACTCGGTAACAGTCACACCTGGGACTAAGAGTGCATCTTGGCCGTATCAAGTTTTGGAGTTGGGTTCTAAAATTTTGGTGGTGTCTGAAAAACAATCATTTGGTGTTTCCTTCACACTCACTTTCTCTCCTAACAATTAGGGGGCATGCAGTAACAAAGTTGGTTAAGCCACTATGCTATAAGTCAGAAGGTTGCGGATTTGAATCCCAATGAGCCCACTGGATTTTTCAAATTGATCTAATCCTTCTGGACACAATATGGCCGGGTGTTTTCTTGGGGGTAAAGGGCAGCTGGCACATAAGGCTGACAACCTCACTGCCATCTGTGAGCCAACTGTCTAGACAGCATGGGAACCTTGACATCTCACAACCGTTTGGGCCTCCATGGCCTACTACAGGAATACCTTTATCCACTAACAATTATACAAACATCTGTTTACAATGGAGAATTACAACTATCACTTTAAATTTGAATACTGACACACTTTAAGCTTATCTTATTAAATGCTAGGCAGAAAAATAGACTGAAATAATACTGTCTTACTGGCAAAACCATGATTTAAGAAGTCTGTATTAATGTAACAAAAATCACCATTGTCTTGGAAACAAACAACTACAGGAAATTTGAATGCACATCACTTTCCCAGCTATATCCATGCACTTGTTCACATCAGGTGTGGCTATGACATAACACTGCTCACTAAAAGCACTGCACAGTCCAGTTACGGACAGCTGTCACCAGAATGAAAACACTGCAATGCAAACCATTCTCACTCCCTAGCCCTAGGCACATCCCTGCTGCACCCAAGGCTTACTTTGTAGCCCACATTCCTTTTGCTGTCAAACTGACTCTATGCAAGCAAATAACTTTGTTTGCTGCTGCATATAAAACTGGAAACCAAATAAGCCAATCCAAATCTCACTCAGTGCTAATGGCTCAACTTTCATACTGCATGGTCTATATTATAGCAGAACCCAATGATTTCTAATGCCAAATCTCACAGAAAGTGACAAAATGAAATTCATCCAAGTATGTATTTGAACTTACTGAAGCTGTGGAATTATCCCTGGATCGGCTGATGAGGGTGTCATGGGTGTCATTGGACTTGGTGTAGCTGGACCCATATTCGAAAGTGTTGCCATCTGACTCGAAGGAGTTACCATTGGAGACATTAGGTTTTGCTAAAACAGAAACAGTACAGCAAGAGTAAGCCACTGTACAGCCTGTCATAACTGACTGGTAGAAAGCCAGCATGTGTATAAAAGAATGCTTATAAAATAAGAACAATTTCAGGCAAAAAACAAAGGCATTAAAAAGTAAAAGTAAAGCTATCCTTGTAACAGGCCGTGAAGGTCCATAGGGTTATGAGACGCTGAGGGTCCCGCATTATCTAGACAATTGGCTCAAAGCTGGCGGTAAGGTTGTCAGCCTTACGTGCAGGCCGTGCTTTACTCCCCAGGGAAATTATTTAATTAATTCATGGTACTCATTTCTGTTAGAGGCTGAGTAGACCCCAGGGCCATAGGGCAGCTGGAAGGAGTAGGTCAACTGAAAGAAATCCACTTCAAAAGTCAGATAGTGGGGGTTGCCACCTTAAGGTCTTCAAATTGGCGTTCCTGGAATTTTAATACATCAATTATGGATGTAAAGCACGCCTGAGAATTCGATAAAATCAGCGATGGGATAACTTACTGGTGTCTGAGGCTGCATTAAACTCTGTGGTGTAAACCCTGATGGTGCATAAGTGTGCATCGTTTTCTGTGGGGTGGACAAAACAGGCATCTGTTGTAAAGACGTAGGAGGTGGCGGAAGTTGTTGCTGCTGTTGTTGTTGCTGTTGTTGAGCGTGAGGAAGAATCTGTTGATCTTCCTCTGGCTGATGAAGAGGGGTTCCTATACTAGGTATGCTGAATCCTGGGCTTGGTAACATCTGATCCATCTTGAAGCTCTATAGTTACTGCCCTGTATCAAGAAACGATGTAACTATTGTTAAACTTTCGTTCAAAAAAGTGACTTTTATATGTCCACTTATATCGCATCACTTCTCGTTAACAGTCACCGACTTCACATCCCATATCGCTACCATATTGAAATGCTAACAGTGGTGCCATCACAATTGTTTAAGACAGTAATTTACCAACCCAATATAGGCCCGCTGAAATAACAAAGAGAATTTTCAGGTTCGAATTTCCTTCACACATAAGAATTAAATACGGTAGGACTGAAATCGCGGGAGAAATAATATGAAATAAGTGAAAATGCAGTTAACTCAAGGGTTTACATACCTGACCTGAATTTGGAAGGTGTGCTGTTCGTGTCTCGACCAGGACACTTATTTTACGTGGAATATTATACTGTCACGTTAAGGCAGGTAAGTGAGGAAATGATGGGTTCTAGTTCAGATGATTTGTTTTATTAACAACTTGGTTACGCGCACTCTTTTGCTTGCACGCACCGTCGCACACATAAAGTCTTCTAAATCACACTTAACCTCCATACAGGCAACCTTCTGCCTCAACAGAGAATCAGTATTGGTTATATAGTTTCCGCACTGACCACACAGAAAACAGCCAATACTGTGGGAACGTGTTTGCTGAGCGATTGCCCAGCAACGGACTCCATAGAAACCAGTTACGTGATAGCTACCACAGTTGCGTGAGGTGTTTACAGAGGCGTTGCTTGGCAACGATTCCGATAGTTATTTACTGCTGCATAGCAACCACCGCGGTTGTGTAACTTGGCAACCTACTTGTCAAGTCTGTCTTCATGGTAACTCGTTCCACATCCCGTTGCCCAACGACGGTTTGACATCTCACAATACATATCTAGGTCAGTGAATCCCCCCCCCCAAACACGTCATTTTAAAATTTGTTCGGGTTCGAGACCGGGTGTAGTCAAGTGGGATTTGTGGTGGATAAAGTGGCGCTGGGGCAGTATTTCTCCGAGTACATCGGTTTCCCCTGCCAATCTTCATTCCACTAAATTTTCCATCATCACCTGGGGCAGGTATAATTGGCCAATCAATGGCCAACTTGCCGAGTGGACCCAGCTGGACTCCACCCCCCACCCCCAACACTATGCGAATTAAAAGAAAATATTAGAACATAGTCCAAAAGTTTCTTCCTCCCATGGTCACATTTTCAGTCAGAGCTTTCTCTTGTACAACCAGCAGAAGACATGCTCCAGAATTCTGTAAAACATAACTTCCAATATTTTTCTGACTTGCCATTCCTGTTATAAGAAGGAATGTTTTGAAATCTAACATAGTGAAGTTTCCTTTCTTGTAGCATAAATAATGTACGTATAAAGAACATGTCGCATTATTTTCTGGGAAATCTGTTTGGTATAACTATATTGTTACAATTAATATGTTTTTGGACATTATCCATCATCTTGTCTTTCTTAAAAAAATCTGTCCTGTTTCTTTTAAAAACATGTTTCAGGAACTGGATTCTGTCCCCATCCTCAGGTAAAACCAACTCAGTTGGGTCCAATAGGGACTAGCTCTGTCTACTGGACCCAACTGAATAGGTTTTACCTGAGGATGGGGACAGAATCCAGTCCCCAAAACATTGTGTTTTTAGAAGAAACATTATGTTTTTTTTAAGAATAGACAAGATGATGGATAATGTCTAAAAACATATTAATTGTAACAATTTACCATCGTCACAAACTTTTAGATCTAACTAACTATATTGGATGTCACATTTTTGCAACAGCACTAGTGCTGTCCAGCTGCATCACTTCAGCATCTATCCTGTTACTCTGACTTAAAAGTATGTCCACCACTCTAGTACCAGGGTACGTAAAATGCTGTTCCCTGGTGATAAACAGTTAGCTCAGTTGAAATCTGGCCACTAGCCCTAGGGGACTGAAAATCCCAGTTACTGAGATTATAAATTTATTCAAGTTAAAAGCCAGCCATGAGGCCCACAGTATTGTACAGTAGCGTTCAATATCTCATCTGATCCCTGAGTAGCAGCATAAATCATTCAGATGGAAGATATAAGCATCACAAAACACACCTCACAACAGTGCTGTCAAATGTACCACTGAAATTTAGGAGAATCTTATCTCCCACAAAAATTTCAAATCTCCTTTCTGGACAAATAAAGAGGTTCATTCAGTTCATATATTAAGGGAACAACTGCAATTTGGAATGTCATTGTCCACTCAAGCTTTGACTAAAGTTGATCATTTAGAGTAAAGCCACCTCCTCCTCCTGTAACTGGCAACATCTGAGATTTGTAATGTGTATGAGGTCTCAAAAAGAAACAGCACTCACAGGTTGCTCCTGATGTACCTGTCACTTCAAGTTTAAGCTGGTGATACAGCACTAACAGTAGGTGCTGGAGACAGCATTGAAGACTCAGCAGAAATATTAATAAAGTCCCCAAAAGTATAAATAAAATCCAAGGAAAGCCTGAAGTAAGGCTGGTTCATAAATAAGGTTAAATTATAGCATCCTGTTGCACATTGCTTGGTAACAGATGTCTCTGATATTCCATCTTACATGCAAACCCCCTGAAAAATTTGTTTAAAAAATACTACAAGCTGGAAGGTCGCAGGTTCAAGTCACAATGAGGTCATCGGATTTTTTTCAGTTGACCTAATCCTTCCAGCTGCACTATGGCCCTGGGGTTGACTCAGCCTCTAACAGAAATGAGTACCAGGAATTAATTAAATAATTTTCCTGGGGAGTAAAGCGCGGCCGGCGCGTAAGGCTGACAACCTTACCGCCATCTTTGAGCCGATTGTCTAGAACAGGGGTCTCCAAACTTTTTGAACCGCGGGCCACATTAGGTAATTCAGCACTTTCAATGGGCTGGATAAAATGAGAAATTAATAACTCAAGGTACAGTAAAACTTGGTTTGCGACACCTTGTCTATTGCGTCAAATATTCAATGGTACGAACTAATTCCTCATAAAGCAACTGTTTTTATACCTTGCTTAGTACGACATGCACAAATGCATCAACCTCGTACGTAACGTCATTTTCATTCCTGAATTTCTCTGATATCGAGGGAAAGTTCGATGTGTCTGCCCACCCTCACTTTCTCTACTTGCTGGCGTGACTGTCCTGGAAGAATACGACCGCGGGCTGCAAGAGGAGCGTGGGTTTTATGCGAAAACAAGGATGTGGGGTGGGACTGCGTGAATAGTGCAAGAGGACGCGGCAGGTTGTTAACTGCATTCCTTTCCTAGAATCTTGTCTAACAGGACCTCAGTCCTAACAGAACTTACCCTATAGTGTTCCTGCCTAACCCCAGAGAAGTGCAGTAGCGAAAACATGGCAATGAAAAGGAAAGTTTTAAGCATTGAAGAGAACGTTAAAGTGATTCATGAAATACTGTGTGTATTGTCAGTGAAAAGCGCTGTAATATGTCTTTGATATTACACATTTGGGCAATTCCACTTTAATGTTACGTTAGTCTGTACTTAACTACGTATTTCACTAAAAAATGCAACATTTTAACTCGGTTTTTGGTAGATTTTTACGTGACTAACATAAGGCTACTGTGGAAGTGCCAATTTCGGTTACAACGACATTCGTTTATAACGACACTATTTTTAGGTCCCTTTGATGACGTTATAACAAAGTTCTACTGTATATGAGTTTTATTGAAAGCACAGAATTTCATGATCTAAATACAAATTACGTGAGAATAAATTATTGTATATTAATGACAACAGACAGTAGCAGCAAATGCTCATATTTTCATCACAAATTATAATAAAACAATTAATGTGAATGATGGAAATCTTTTTGCATTCTTAAAATCTGATTAAATTGAGGTTCAAATTTTGAATGCTAATCACAAGTAACGACTTTAAATGTTCATCGAATAAATTTGCCCTGTATTTCGACTTTATGTACCTCATCTGGGAAAAAGTTTGTTCACACAGATGTCGTCCCAAAAATGGAGATAAATTTACAAGCAAATTTCTTTAAATTTGTAAATTGCTGAGTTCAGAAATTTATAAAATTCGATCAAATTTCCTTCCTTGTATTTGTCTTTAATATTATAATTTTCCCAAAGTTCAATAATTTCCATATGAATTTGACTTGGGACATCTGCAGCATCACAGTCAAACACATTTTGAAACAATCTAATTTCCTGAGCACTGGAATCCAAATCAGCAAATCGCTTCCAAAATTGTTCTTTCAAATCTGAAATGACTACATATGCAAACGAGGAAGGAAATTCTGCTTCGCCCTTTTTATGCAACTCTGCACAGTATAGCATATGAACAAAGTTACAATTTTTCACTTGGCTTTCCAGAAGTATCAACTTAGCTCTGAATGCCTTGATAAGTGCAAATAAATCACAGACTAAGTTATTTTCACCCTGCAACTTTAAATTCAAATGGTTCATCAGATCAGCTAAAAATGCTAATTTCCAAAGCCACTCGGTATCTGATAAAAGTGGTTCGTGATGGTTTTTCTCGATAAGAAATACATCAATTTTATTCCTGAGGTGAAAGAAGCGCGAAAGAACCTTTCCACAGCTAAGCCATCGAACTGCAGTATAATATGTCAGGTCAATAATCTCGGGATCACATTTACCAGTACTCATTGGAAAATTAGTTCAATTGGCGCATTTCTGCACAATTCTTTCGGGGGCCCGGGTAAAATCACATCACGGGCCGCATGTGACCCGCGGACCATAGTTTGGATACCACTGGTCTAGAAAATGTGGGACCCTCAACCTCTCACAACCCTATGGGCCTTCACGTCCTGTTACAGGGATAGCTTTACTTACTTACTTTTTTTACATATACACAATGAGTCTTCTAGACCTGTTTCAAATCACAATGTACACTACATGTTTTGACAATCATTGGTCATCATTGGGTGTTTTAAAACTGTTTGTGGACACTGTTGTGCTTGCATTTTGTGCTTCTAATGTTCTATGTTTAGTCTGATCGCACATTTGTGTCTTTCGTTGTGCTGGGTGTTTCCTCCTGCTGTGTTGTATGTTTAGACCACAAGGGCTGGACTGCTTGCAGGATCTTCTGCAATTACCAGGAAAATCCCAAGAACCATAGCTGGTATTTATAATTTTAATCGTTTCCNCCATAGCTGGGTTAAAATCCACAGAAGATGGGTTTTACATCTTCCTAATAATTCTTGTGTACCATGACCTTTGAAATTTTAATACTCTCATGTGTCAGAGTGACTCTCAATGACTTTTTGGTTGGAGATTGGATATACATACTAACCACTTTACCATACAACTCATAATTACAAGTAATTACAGTGCTATCGCTAACCTCCACACTTTAAAAATTACTACAGCATGCACTTTTCCAGTCTTTTCCAGCCTGCTGTGTCTTCACCATCTGTTCCCTTGTAATGGCTTCTAACAGTGGAGATTCTTCAGCTTCCATGCTCACTTCATTGTTCACTGACTCTCAACTAACTTGGCTGCCCCATTTGTCCTCCATATAATGTCTCGGCATGGCCCACATAGCAAACACCACACATTGGTGTACTCCAATCGTTTCCATGGGAACATGCCTGCCCATGAAGGCATCACTCAGCAACAGCTGCATATTCTTGCTTATTAAGAATCCGCTGCCTAGAAGTGGATGTTGTTTCATTTTTTTTTTTTGAGGTCGTTATCGAGTAATGGGTATGCATGCTACAGTACCTCTCCTTATCCTAAAATTTACTGTATGCTGTTATACCCCTCATCCTTAAACCTATGCAGGTGCTACAATGCATAATTAAATCTAAGGCACTGCTATACAGTGATGTTACACTGGTGTTCCCAATCATCGTTTTAATTTCTGACGTTTTTTCGTGTTTATTTTATGATGGTGTAGATCTCAGATTATGAAGCATCAAATGGTAGGACGAGTACTTAACAAAAGATTGGAGGAAGGAGTTGTGATTCAATTGAGATACTATTCTGGAATTTGTCTGGAAGGACTGAGGAAAGCCACGGAAAGCCTGAGTTAAGATAACTGGCGCCCTGACAGAGATTCAAACTGAGAACCTCTCAAATACAACCTGTTCAGTTTTGATGCTCTCAAAGAAACCCTGTTGTCCATACGCAGCATAAGAGCACATCACTGTTATAGTATTATGGCATGTACACACGTTGCTAGGCAATGGCCGTGAAATAGGTAACTATACAACATCCACTGCTGGGCAATGGCTCCACAAACAAGCATGTTTCCAAGGCAACAAGAGAATACAGCAATAATGGTCAAGAAGTTTTCTATGCGGTCCATGCCGATGTTATAAATACAGAATCTAAGCCGAGCTTCTTCTATTGCACCACAGTAGGTCAGAAACATCATCCAGTGTCATATCAGGCTGCAGCCATGTGAAAGGAGAAATGCACAGGAGAAGGGCAAAATGAGCTCCCAAGGGATCCTCTGGGAGGACGTTCTGACACAGCCTTCACTTTACTAGCTGAACTTCCATTTCTCTTGACAGCCGTGCAAGGGATTACCATTCCACATTCAATGACACTGCTTTGACCATCTCCCAAAACGTATGAGTTCAAAATAACAGATTCACTCAACAGAATTTAGGTACCGATTTTATGCAAGCTATGCAGCAAACAAATATCTGTAATCAAGAAATGAACTTAGTACCATCTCAAAGCTTGTGCTTTCAGTCTGTTCTGCATTTTTCATGAAAACACAATGTGATCTGCCTTCAGAATCAATGTGGCTGGCCTATGTCAATCTTGGGGAGGGGGAGGGGATTTGTCCCATGGAAAGTTAGAGGGTTATCAGCAGGAACTTGTCAACATGTTCATATTAAGATCACATCTAGGTGTAAACAAATCTTGAGAGAGAAGTCTCACAGCTCTACCCTGGGTTTGGTTCAGTGCTGCAATCAAAGTGAATCTGAAATTACCCCTTCCATTCAGACAGAAGACAGTATTTATGGGTGCTGACTAGTGTCTGCTAACCATTTTTTTTTTAATTTGCTTAGTAGGTGGGGTCCAACTGGGTCCACTCGGCACCGAGACCACTGATTGGCCTATTGTACCTGCCCCAGGTGATTATGATGATGGAGAATTTGGTGGAATGAAGATTGGCAGGGTAAACCAGCCCCAGCGCCACTTTATCCAGCACAAATCCCACTTGACCCGGGCCACCGCAGTGGGTACTAACCAGTTACTATTCAATAGCAAAACTCATAATTTACACAGGAAAGAGATATATTAAAACTAAAACTGCTAACACAGGGAATAGTAAAGTCACAGAGTCTTCTCAGGCAATCAGCCACGTCTAAATGAAGATAGTATTTGACATTATGGATATGGTCTCCATGTTCACTGTCAGGGAGCTGATGTGGATGGTGCAGCTGTTCTCTGTTTATACAACATCCTCTAAGCATGTGAACAGCAGAATGTGAGATGTGTATATAATCGATGGGCAGACATCACTGGCTACATCAATTCCTCGCCGCGGTCTCCAAAATGCTGGATAGTTACTGCACAGCTGACTGCTCTACACATTATGTCCCCATGAAAGCTTAAAACATTATCATGTAATGTGTGACTACAGACAGGGTTTGAATTGCTGAATGGACTTACTGACCACTTATACACACGACTCAGAACTACAGGCAATTACAGTGCTATCGCTGATCTACATACTTTATAAAACACTATAGCACATGCCAAGCCGTAGTCTTTTGTAGTCCTCCCTAGTTGTTGCTTGGTAACAGCTCTCAACAATGGAGATTCTTCAGCTAATACTACTCACAACTGAACTCTTTGCTCCAACTGTCCTGGTTATAACATTTTGGCATGAATCACATAGAAAACAACCCGTTTCCAACGGTAACTCTCTTGTTGCATGCATATTCGTTCTGCAAGAATGTGTTTACCAAGCCACTGCCCTGAAACAGTTGCAGTTACAAAGTCACCACTTAGCAATGAGTCTCTATGCCACAAAATTGTAGCATGTACACCAGTTGCTAGGCAATGATAATAATAGGCTAAATAAGCAGCTATACAATAGCTGTTCCTAAGTAATTGCTCTGCAGACAATGGCCGCTGCTAGGTAATGGCACAAAGTACTAGAAGAGCTGTTGGAAGCGGTGTTCTCTATGAGGTCCATGCTACAGCTATGAGACGGCAGTTAGAAGATTAAGAGACAAGCGTTGAGATGGCCGCCAGCCTGGGAATCAGTCAGTCAGTGGAGTGGAGTGTGTTAGTCAGTCAGGGAACTGCTGTGAGCCATTGCTGTAAGAAGCTGGTAGCTGAGCCCAGGGTTAGTTTGGAAACCCAAATGAAGCAGAACGTCCGCCGTAAAAGCCACTACCACGCAACGGCTAGTGAAGACACAGCAGGCTGAGAAGGCTTAAGTGTGTGAATTAGAGATAGCGCTGTAGTTGCTTGTAGTCATGAATCTGTAAGAGCCCAGTAACTCCAATTACCAATCCAAATCCTGTCTACAGTCACTCATGCACGTGAAAGTATAATATAAAGAAAAAAGCACTTTGCACCTGTCTATTAGCTGTTGTATTCTGTCACATTACAGACATAAGTTTTGCAATATATAACAAAACATTTGTTGCCTGTTATGTGTAAAAACAAATTTTCTAAGATGAAGTGACAAACAGACACAATTTAACGTGATGCTGCCATTATTGCAGCAGCATTTTCAAAATCAATTTTTTCAGTGATATTCTTTGTTTTTATATTTTCATCTTGATTTGCAATGAAAATCATACCACTGTCCTCTTCCTTCCAACCATACTTCTTCACCCAGTGTTTTAGTGTCTGATCTGTAAACACACAGAGAAATGATTTTCAACATTCCAATCTTTAATCCCTGCTGTCTAACATGACATGGGTTGACATGATGGTCCATAATGGACTGTACCAATGAATAACAAAGTTAATCTTTATCAGCTGGAAACAGATGATTTTAAATCTTCAGCACTACTGTTTTGGAGCATAGATTATAATAGGAGCATAATTCAGGGTAATTCACAAGTCCCTCCAGAAATTCCGAACTTGGCAGTGCAACAATAAAGAGACACACAGCAGAAAGGAGCATATCAATAGGTAGAGAATCTCTCCAAGCTTGTTTGGCTAACAGGCGCCATGGCATACGTGCAGGTTTCACCACAAGGGGGCAGATATGATGAAACACGGCAAGGACAGGTTTTCAGTGACGAGGCAATGTTTCACGTGTGTCGCAAGTGAACTGTCACAATGCATGCATTTGGGGCATGGAAAATCCTCATGCAATGGTGGAACACGTCTGTGATTCACGTAAAGTGGATGTCTTTTCTGCAGTTTCCTCTTGCAAAGTCTACAGGCCATTTCCCTTTGGGTAATCAACTGTTACCCGTATCAACTACCTGGGCACGCTGCAACTGTGCCTATTGCCACAATTACAGGAAGATAGCAAGTATTTCCTTTTCCAACAAGATGGGGCCCCACCACACTTCCATTCTGACATTCATGCTACTGTACCGCAGAGTTCGGAAATCCTTGAGGGACTTAGGAATTACCCTGTCCACAAATATGGAATTTCAAGTATTCTAGTACTGTAGAGCTGGTTACCAAAAATTACCTTGGGGGGTGAGGGATGGTATTAGCACAGGCATCTCCAAAATTAAACGGCATTAATGTTCCCAAAATTGGTAATGGAATTCAACTCTTTGTTACTCCTCTTGTTTCACAGCCAACGCTGTCAGTATCCTGATTATGTAGTGCTAATGATATGATGATTAATGCATACAGAGCAATTAGTGGAATGACAGCTGGCAGGGGAAATCACAATGTTTTGAGCAAACCTACCCTTGTGCCAGTCTGTCCACCAAAAATCTCACATGATCTGACCTGGGACTGAACCCAGGCTACTGCAGTGGGAAGCCATACACTAAATGCTCGAGCCATATCTGCCTTTGTCAACTGAAGATAAGTAATTCAATTAATACTATAATATTATTCATTTTAGCCAATTATAAATGCTACTTCTTGTTTTTGTTTTACAGAACTTATAACAGAGAACATTTACACGAAATCACATCAGTGTGAAATTCATGTACAAGTCAAGATAACTGGGGGTTCCCTCTGTTGAGGACATTCAATGCTTGGCCAGCTGGACTGTGCTCATGTGGTGTCAGTGCAGAGTCAGTAAACGTTAATGTCAAGCACTGACCGATTTCACATGTGTCTTCTCAAAGTGCTTAAGTTCATTTACAGAGTCATAATTTTAACTAGTTTATTTCATGCACTCAAGTTATATAAACTGTAGAGCACATTCAAGTATCAAATGTGGGGATCACAGTATTTCTGACCAGAAAGCCACTGTCTACTGACCTAAAATAATAATCTGAAGGCCAGACACACACTAAAATGGCATATCCTTCAGAGTGTGGAGCTACAAAGTGCTGACATTTCGAGGCTCCCTGACGTGTGGAATTGAACAAACACACCCATCACACTCTACTGTTCTAGTTCAGTACTCACTGCAGATGTTCAAGTGAAAGATTAAGCTGGCAAGCAGACATGACACAAGTCAGGCTTCATGACGTGCATTCAAAGTTGCTTATTGATCTGTGCTGTGTTCTTCTGGGTTACGATATATGTCATCTGACAGGCGGATACAAACATTCTAACAAATACACTCTCATTTTACAGTGAAGAAATGAGCAACGTTGGGAAAGGAGAGGTAAAGAGAAATACTCTCACTTCTACCCTGAAGATGGAGACAGTATGTTCTTCTGAAACACTGGTAACCACACATCCTACCACTTGGTGTCACAACTTAAGGACCACAATATTAATCATTATCACAGTGAAACTTTCATACATCAGAATAATGATGACAGTGGTTATGGTAACGTTACTTGGCTGATGTTTCCCTATGAGCTATGGATATAACAACCGATAAAAGTAAGGCACACAAAAATTAAAATGTAAATGAAAGGAAACCCTAAAAATTACAAACAATACATGAGAAAAACTGTTGAGTTTTTGGACATTATCCATCCACCTGTTCTTTTATTAAAAATACAATATTTCTGACATTGGATTCCGTCTGCAGTCCCTATCTCCGGACACCAACACAAGCTATCAGTGGGAGTTTAGATGAACATTAAAAAACTCCACACACACATGCATCTATGGCCATGCGTAACTTAATGGCCAGAATGTGCGGATTTTTTTATGTTCCTCTTAACTCCCACTGACAGCGTGTGTCATGACTGGTTTAGACATCCTCTTTTGTGCCTGCAGACATGGACTAGCTCTATTGTTTGGGCCGAACTCAGTAGGCTTCTACTTGATGGAGACAGAATCCTGTCCCAGAAATGTATTTTAAAAAAAAACAGGGTGGCCAATATTCAAAAACTCAATAACTGTTGTATTAATACACCAACGTCAAAAAGTTTTATATGTTAGAATATGAGAAGAATGCTGCATTTCTGTCATTGTACGTACCTGTTGGAATCAAGGTTCTAGTACACTTGCATAAGAGCACAATAATTCTGTTTCACATGTGGCATATGGACATAACACAGAATATTCTTCCAACTTGTAGGATCTGAGGTTCTCACAGCGGTGGTCATGAAGAGTTCTGTCTTCTGGGATATAGCGCTGTGTAGGATCTGAGGTTCTCACAGCGGTGGTTATGAAGAGTTCTATCTTTTTCAATATTATGCCTGTAGTCTGCTGGAAGTCTGAGCCGTCTTGCCAAGCAGAGCTGAACCTATTATCCCCTAACTGTTGTGGGTATACATACTTCTTGAAAGTGGACTGGAAATCAAGATCACTAGCAGCGTCTAATAAAACAAATACCAATCACAACAGCTGAAGAAGAAAAAGGGAACTGGGAACCGAAAGGTTCAGGATGCACAGAAGTGAAGAAGATGGACACTTTCTGATGAAGTGTAGCAAACTTTACTGAAGAGAATTTCTGAGATAGTGTACAGATAAAGAAAACAACATGTGCAAAAAATGGCTGACACAGAAGTACGAACACTAGTTTAAATTTGAGAAAGAGAGATCGCAATACCATGAACCGTTACACAGACTAACGTGCATAAGCAGCAGGGTAACACAGAATTACTTCTGGGTTGCATAAGCAAACCAATGCACAAAATGGCAAGCAACAGGCTCATCAAATCAGTTACAAAAGAAAACAAGCCCACATAAACTACTGTGCCTACACAACAGGGAGCAGCACAGCTGACTAGGGCACAAAAATATAAATCACAGACTTGAAGCTCTCAACTGGTCACAAAAACAAAAAGTAAAGTACTGTATGCAATGAAAACTTGCCTCATATAACTTGTGTGTGCTAGTACTCACCGTACTAAACACAGGCTAGGGCCCCTTCCTAGACCCTGGTCACATCTCAGCCAAATGACGAATTTCAAACAACCAAGGCATAGGCAGAATTAAACCAATGGTGAGAGGGACATGCGGTAGCGTACTTGGTTAAGGCACTATGCTACAAGCCAGAAGGTCATGGCTTCAATTCGTGATGAGGTCATTGGATATTTTCAATTGACCTAATCCTTCCAGCCACATTATGGCCCTGCGGTCAACGCAGCCTCTAACAGAAATGAGTACCAGGAATCTTCCTGAGGGTAAAGGGCAGCTCGCACACAAGGACGAAAACCTCACCGCACCATCTGCGACCCTATTGCCTAGAAATGTGGGAGCCTCATTTCACAAGCCTATGGACCTCTATGGCCTGTTACAGGGATAGCTTTACCTTTTCTCTTTTATCAGTCTGACATTTAGAAGATGAATGAAAGGTTCACAGGCAAGGCAGTGACTGACCAGGAGGGTAACAATGACAGTAAAAAAGGAAGGGAAAAGGATGCATCACTGATTCAAAGAGATGATGTGATGCATGACATACTGGAGGTGGTGGACAGGCCAGGTAATGTCCTGCTACAGAATAAGGAATGGCCAGTGGCTAAAGGCATCATAGAGACAGCTGAACCAAGACTGGCTCAAATCAACCACTGTTGCCAAGAAAACATGCTGTCTCCATTTTCAGGTTTGAAGAATAAGTAAAATGTAAAGTTGTCCCTGTGCTTAACTAATTAAGCACTATGCCATGAAGACATATAGTGGAGTGGATGTATAGATCCACACTTTTTTGACCTCGGCACTAGCTGGAGCCCCCCATTCCCAACGGATAGGAGGTTGGGTGGACCCCAGAGCAGTTTGGACGACTTGGAGAAGAGAAAATTCTCGACCCTACCGGGACTTGAACTCCTATCCCTCGGCTGTCCAGCCCATAGCCAGTAGCTATATCAACTTCACCATCCTGAATTTGAATAATAAGTAAGTCAATCAAAAAAACAGCATGAAGCTGGCAGCAAACGCTTAGTTCCTGAAAACTAATATCCAGACATCAAAAATATTCCAGGTATAGTAGTCACGAGGAACCTGAAAATCAGCAAGGAACAAAATTCAATGAAGTCTCTGTGGGCAATCAACCTACGAATGTGGAGCTGGTGTCCGATGTTTCAGACACTGTCCCTGTCTATGTCATCATGATTTGATACGATGAAGAGCCACCTAACTCTGTCCACTCTTCCTTCTTGCAACACGTTTCACACTGGTTTCATGCATAACATGTTCCTCAAAATGTGAGTTGACTTTCAACAGACTAGACATTGTTGTATCCCAGAAAGACAGAACTTCTGTTATAACACATCAACAGATACTCAAGAATTCTTTATCAGCAACAACCATTACAATACTGCCATATCATAGAACAAAATATCAAATCTGGTATTATCGTAGTTTCAAATGAGAACCCAATGAGGTGGGTCATTAAAATACAGTTTGTAGCAAGCAAGGAGAGAAGGCTTTCCTTCAGTCTGCTGCTGAAAGCTCACCAAAGGCAAGCCACTTCCCATATACTGTGTGTATTACATGTGGTGTCTCATCCCTTTGACAATATGCCCAATCAAAGTTTCAATACAGACTCAACCTAGGTTTTTGTGAATGAAAGTCTACCCTGGTTATATGTATTAATGATAGACCCACGCTAGTGCATGCAGGGCTGATGCGCACATCACCCGAAGGAAATTTGTTCAAGAACCACCACCCCAAAATGTCTGGCTTTTTCAAGTAATGGTGTTGCATCTCACATAAGTGTAACCAACCCTCATACTCACTTTTATGAGAACCTCATATCTAACAGACCACTAAGTGATTTCCATAACTAACAAAAAAAGAGAACACAATATTTTGACATTCTTTAACAAATTATAAAAATAGTAAAAAATATTGTCTTTCCCTTACCATCCACACCTCCAAGAAGACTGGCCAGTACAACCCTGTCAACTGTTTGGAATGTAATACCAACAACATGGCACACAAATTTTCTAATGGAATCATGAAAACCAGTTATCTGAGAACACAGCTCAGGCATTGAATGAACACGGCCCCAGAACTGCTGGAAATCACAACTCTCTAGAATGTCTGCCAAATACATTATATGACCTATCTGTGGATCTGCAAGCTGAGAAAATCACAGAATTACATATCAGTAATTAAGCTTCCCATGTTAAAACCAAGATTGTGCACAAATATATAACTTACATGTTTTGCACTCAAAAGGCATTTACACAGCACAAAGTCTGTGTGAGGGAAATTCGTGAGCGCTTTTAGTAAAATCTGACATGTGACACTGCTATTGTACCGCGGTGGATTAAATTGATATAACTTCAAAACAGCAAGGTTAGCTTCAAGATCATAAGTATTTTCCCTAGACTGATACTCAACATAACTCTCCAGGGTCTGTAGATTATCTGGGTTATATCTGAAAGGAAATTAATTTATTACGATAAGTAAATTTAACAAAACAAGTCCTCGTGGCTGCATAAAACGACAGGAAAGAATGCTTATAATAACACTGCACAAACATTAACTAAAAAAAAAAATCATATGCTATAGCAATAATCATTACTTCAGTAATATGCTTTTAACCTTATAATTCACCTTTCTATTCCTGTCAGCATTTTAGCCACAGTCTGCCTCATTGCTTCCGCCATCTTTTACAACCAAGAGGACAGCCCTGCGAAACTCCCATGTTATTGGTGGACAACATGGCCGCCATGACACCACGGTGCAATGCCGCTGCCATCTCTACGCCATCAAAGTGGCCAATAGGGCCGAGAGCACAATCGGTAAGAAGGTATGCTAACATAGCAACTATTTTGAGTGCTCCCCTCACAATGCTTTGTTCGCTAGAAAAGCAATAAATACTTCTACAACCTGATCTCTTCTACTGCAGAGGTTTCCCCCCCCCCAGCCTATTTCTATTTTTGAACTGTGTTCAATATCACTAGTCAAAGAGGATGAGGTTGGCTGGGCATGTAGCACGAATGAGGGCGGCAAGGAATGCGTATAGGATATTGGTGGGAAAGCCAGAAGGAAAGAGACTACTGGGAAGACCAAGGTGTAGGTGGGTGGATAATATTAAAATGTATCCCAGAGAGATAGGATGGTATGGATTGGATTTATCTGGTTCAGGATAGGGACCAGTGGAGGGCTCTTGTGAACATGGTAATGAACCTTCAGGCTCCATAAAATGCTGGAAAATTCTTGAGTAGCTGCAGAATTGGTGGCTCCTCCAGAAGGGCTCAGCTCCATGAGTAAGTAAGTAAGTAAATTCAACTGCCTCACAATTATAGATTTTATGAGGGACCACTGATCGATTACACGAGTTTCTTCAGTTTCTGTGCGTGTCACGAGTTCCTTGTTCAGTCTGTCCTGTATTTCTTTCCATTCAGGTGTCTTCCTTAGAAGCACCCACTTGAAATTCTCAGTGTTTTCTAAACTGCACTTCCACTTGTTGAGATATTCTAAGCTGGTTTCATAGAAATTCTCGACTACCTCAAAAGAAACTTAGCCTGATTCATTTCTCATGAATCTACTAATATTTTCAGTTGTTTTCGACATCAGGAATTACAAACACTTCATTTTTCTGGAATGTAAATTGTTTACAAGATTTTCAATGTTCTTGTCTACTTCTGCTGATGACCTGCTATCTTTTTCAAGTAAGCTAATGTATGTCTGGAACGTAGACACTTGATATCGTGCAGATGACAACCACAATTTCAAACAAGGATCTTCAAACAATTTTCGCGACACAGAAGGGAATTTTTCTTGAGAAAGAAAATGGGAGCTAAGGCCATCGAGCTTTCTTAAAATTCTGTCAGTTGGTGGATCAAGGAACAAACATCTTATACTTCTATGCTCTAACAATTTAGCGTAATTATTTCTTGCGAAGTCTCAGAAGTTTCTCAGTTCTGCAACTCTGAGTGTGTAATATTGAAGTATTGTATATTTTTACTGCAAAACATTCAATATCAATTGATAAACAGTCGACAGCACACTGGAGACAATATATATATATATATATATGTGCCCCACAACTAATACCGATAATCTGCCTTATCAGTTAGGTTTCTAGTTTTCGCCACATACTATTTTTGCCAAGACTTTTGCAACCACCAAATTGGTGTTCGTGTTATCTGCACACGAAGCAACAATTTTCTTTTGCAAGGCAAATTTGACACGTACTTCCTTCAACATAAATTAATAACCTTCCCAAATAAAAATATTATTTACCAAAATCACATAGATCTAGTTTTTTTTAAATCTGGTGTGCTCAACACACAATATAATTGAAGTGCATTATCTGTTGAGATGTGACACGAGTAGGCCGTCAGAAGTTCGCAGACTTTTCAGAGATCGTGTTGATACATCATCAGGGTAGAACATATGCTAAGCAAGCTTTTTGTCAGAGAAAAACTTATTTATTTAATTATTCTGTTTTATTTACCGATTATTTCAACAGCTAACATTATACTGGCTAAAGACATGGTCTTTCATGGGATTTCTGTGAGAAGCGTAGAGTTATTTCCAGGATTGAATTTATTTGCTAGTATACATGGAATGTAATACGATGTGACACATTTCACGCTGCATACCCCTGACATCTAGTGGCGGAAATATGAATTTTAACATTCTGTTACTGTCGTTGCGTCTGGTGGCAATTTTACGCAAGCGCGGAATTGCGTCATAATTTCAGGTATAGACTACCGTTTACCTTTCCAGTTCCTGCATTACAGAGAACACACTACGTCCCTATTACCACGGGTTAATATTGCTCCTATAACAACGTTTTTAGAGATGATGTGTGTGAAATAAGCCGTTTTCACTAAAACTAATAGGCTAATAATGATAGATGATGATGATGATGATTGTGGAGCAGTTGGTGGAATGAAGATTGGGAGGGGAAACCGAAGTGCTCCAAGCAAAACTGCCCCAGCGTCACTTTGTCCGCCACGAAACCCATATGATCAGACCCGGACTCGAACTCAGGCCGCCGCTGCAGGATGCCAGCAACTAACAACCTGTGCTATGACGTGGCCAAGCTCACCACTTACCTCCACCTAGTGCCGAGATCAAGAATACTGGAGCTATATCCCCACTGTCCCCGTGCTTAATTAATTAAGCCCAGGGATAACTTTACTTGGAAGAATACCTTTACAATTCAGGACAGAAGAACATAGCGGTGAGCTTACGGAACTGTGGGTTACTCTACAAACGAATTGTCGAGCAGTGACGCGACGCATCGGCATGAGAGATGAAGTAGGTCACGGAAGAGCGAATGCCTTATCGTTCCTATTATCCGAGCAGCCGATCAGAGTAACCGCGCGGTCTGAGGCATTAACTGTCTTCGCTCGCTCGAACGCTGGGATCGAATCCTACTCAAGACATGAATGTCTGTGCAGGTAGCGGTGTTGCTTCGGGCTGATCCCCCGTGAACATGTGCAGATTAAGGAACAGATAAAAGCGGCCAAGGCCCAACAGAGGGCTACAGAAGCGTAACGCTGTCTTGTCTTTCTCAATTTGTTTCTTACTGTAAAGTTCCTTATAATATTTATATCACAGTTTTCTGAGCAAGTGTTCCAATTCAGTGATGCGTATTTTATCCTTCAGAAGGGGACATATCGCACCAAGATGACTTTCCCATTCCGGTTATATGGAGTCTGTTCTATGGTCAAAGCATCCGAACCCCTGGGAAATGTGCTCCAAATTTCAGCAATAAATATGTAACATGCAAGAAATGAAATCAAGCCACATCATCAATGGACGAATCCTTTAGCAATTAATTTATAATAGAAAGAAGTGCGACTTTTAGTGAATACTATTAAAACAGGGGTAAAAGGTAAAGCTATCCCTGTAACAAGCCGTGGAGGCCCATTGCGTTGTGAGACGTCGGGGCTCACACATTTTCTAAACAATCGCCTCACAGATGGCCGTTAAGTTGTCAGCGTTAAGCGCCGACCGCCCTTTACCCCCAGGAAGATTCCTGGTATTCATTTCTGTTAGAGGCTGAGTTAACCCCAGGGCCACAGTGGGGCTGGAAGGATTATGTCAATTAACAAATGTAATGACCTCAACGGGAATGGAAACCGCGACCTTCTGGCTCGTAGTGTAGTGTCTGGAGTTCTTTAGTTAGCTTATTAATCTATTTACATAGTTGAATCCTATTGTTATTATCCTTTGTTTGCAAGTGGTGCAGAGGAAAATCGTGTCTGTCTCTCAGCTAATCAATGGATACCGATTAAAACGTACAAGAATAATTTACAACACGAGCGTCCAGATAATATTAATTCTGGAGGCTTCGATATGACGAGGGAGAGTCGGTAAGTAGGTCACAAATGGAAGCAGAACAGCTGCAATGGATGTATCACTAGGTAGCAGCACAGTCCAGCTTCGTGACAGTCTAGGTAGCAGACGTGCATGCGCATGTTCAGAGGCTGGTTTTAGTAGTCAAAATGGCGACTGTTTTTCAGGATTATACTACTGAAGTGCAGCTTTCTGTTGTAGGTAAAATGACTCAACTGCAAAGGAAATTCATAAAAAATGTTTCCTGTTTACTGTGGTGTTTGTCACGTAAAGCGGTTCACATGTGGGTGGCAAAATTTCGCTCATGAAGAAGAAGTTGAAACGGAGGTGCGGAAGTGGCTGCGGGTTTCGGCGCACTGGTAAAGCGGTGGGACAAATGTACCAATGTTCGTGGAGGATATGTCAGAAACAAATGTTTTTCCCAGGTTCAAATTTCACATGTTTTACGTTTTACTGTACATCCATTTGTGACCTGTGTCCTGACTCTCATTCATGTAAATATTGAGTTCACAGGAAAGAAACCAGGATCTGTGGCTTTCACGTTGGTGCTTATGAGATTTTAATCATGTGGAATGTGACGCCATGTAGTCTGATAGAAGTTTACATACTTTTGGAGAAATGTACTGTTTACATCTTCAGGAAGAATCAATTAACCAAGCAAGTATCAGGCAGCGAGGATCTCTCTTTGACGTTTGTTTCATTTTCCTCTGCAAACGACGGCAAATTCCAACCAGATTACACGGCGTAACAAGATGAGGAAATACACGTATATTTCTGAGTGCATTATCATTAGATTTCCAGCGGTAGATTTGTACGTGAGATGAGCGAATGTAATGTGAGCTGAAACACAGCGTAGCCTAGCGGAAGTTACCGAAGTTTCCGAGGAACATCATACCGCCATGTCTAGAGGGTCAGGTTCCACTACGGTATGACCCAGAAAGTAGTATTTCAGGTTCTGTATAAGCATTAAATGAACGCAAATCCCATCGAAATATACGAACAGCCCAAACAAGTTAGGAATTAGTTCTGAGTGAGCAGCTGTGTGAACGTGAGGCCCTCTCCGTCACACTCACCATGGGCTGGTGTGAACCTCTGATGATGGAGCCCGGACAAAGTCTTCGAAACGTCCGATAGTAACTCCGTATTCACACGGCTGACCGCCCGTCAAGACTTACTTGTTTCCTGTCGCAGTGAACGCTTCAACTCACATAAAGCACACGCGGAAATTATGTGAACTCCATACGAAGTCATAGTCACGTGGTTGAGTGATTATAGGCGGGGTTTGGATTGGTAATTGGATTTATTGAAAACTTAGAGAACCTAACTACAAATAATTATAGCGCTATCGGTAATTCACACGCTCTACAGTTCACTACAGCATTTACTAAGTCTTCTGTCTACTG